CGACCTTGGATGGGATGGGAACCCTTGCATTCACGTTCCTGCTGACTGGGAATGCGGCACGCGTCCTGGAGGTGCCGACTGAAGAATGAACTAAAGTGGGCGAGGAGAAAAGGGGAATATACCCACTCTCAAGATGAAATGTATTGGTAAACTGTATTTCAATATTAGAGCAATAAATCATGTAAAATATCAAAATCAAGACATTTTGAGTAAAAAAGAGAGACAAAAGTTTTTAAAAATATATATATATATAAATTTCGATGGGATGTGGATCATTTACTTCTTGTTTCGTAAATTTAGGTAATTCATCTCTTTTTATTTTTGATAAAACCAAAATATTTTTGTTATTGCAATTAAAATACTTTATCGGTTCAGTGTACCTTTAAAACTTGTATTATTCCATGTTTTTTTTTTTCTCAAATAAATGTAAAAAAAATATTCAAATAGCCATTGTAAGAATATTTTTGTTATTATTATTTAACTTCAATAAATGTTCTAAGATATCAAATCCAGAGTTATACAAAAATTGACAGGGCTTTCAATTACCAAATTGAAGCTTCTAAATACATGGGTATTTATAAATATAATGACATTTTTATGACAGTTTATTTCACATATATTTTTCAATTTTTCAATTCATACTGAAAAAACATGCCAAGGTACCTTGAAATCTCAGGAAATCGTAGGAGCTAGCAGACACGGTGAGTACCCTTATGGAGGGGGGATGAAAGCTTATCCCCTCCAATACTCCAAAGGTTAGAAGACTACTTTGGTGTATTCTTCAAACAATATAAGATTCACCTGGAGCATTGTAGGATTAGGTGTATATTGAAGGCGATAAGTAAATACGTAGGAAATCATAATAAAATTTTTCACAGTATTAGTCTGCTTATTCAATAGCATAAATTCGCTCTAGCGGATCCAGGATTTAATTTTGGGAAGGCTTCAGCCCTAATTATTTATATGAAATGGTGTTTTTTTAAGTTTTATGAAATGTAATTACACGAACAATAATACTTTTTTTTGTCCTCCCCTTTCTCCCCTTTAAGGCTATACGGGGTTTTCCCGGATCAGAGGGAAGGGCGGGGATTAATGACAGAGTTAAAAGACTCCTCCGGCACAGGAACGTGAACTCGTGACTATAGTTATCTTATATACATGATCAGGTTGCCGGGCAACGGCATTACTGTGCACCCGCGTCAGCCCGTTCGGACACACCATCCCCCACGAACAATAAACTTTTAGAGATAATTTTTTATACTTTTTTTTGTGAGCCATGGTTCTATTTTTCTCCTTTGAAGGGGAAGGCTTCAGTCCGAAACTCCTCTCCTCCATAGATCCGCCTGTGCCACCTCGTATATTGTATCCATTGTACACAACCATTTGCTCACTGACCAACATACCAATTATATTCACGAACCAACTAGTTCTAAATATAACAAGAAATAATTAATCACGTTATAATTTTTTAAAAATATTTTATTTTAACTAAATTGGCACATTAATTTGAGTAACTACAGCTAAGTCTTTTATCATTTCATGATCTAATAATTTGCCTAGACCTATTGAGACTAGAGTTCGCGCTCCATTAAGATCGAAATGTAAACAAGGATAGTTGGCACAAGATCTGGGAAAACTGAGGGGGGGAGGGGATCAGTCTTTCGACTGCACCGGATCTGATGGGACGCCGCCAGAGGAAGGTAGTCTTAAAGTATATTCATTATAGATCGATATAGCAATTGTTAATTAATTATAAAATTATTATAATTAAACAACACTATTCTAAGCGAAACTTCGAAATTACGACTTTAAAAACTACCGTAATTATCTTTTAATTTAAAAAGTATAACTTTATTTTAAATAATATACGTGGTTGTTAATATTTTTTTTTTTAAATCTGTGATATCAAGATATGGTAGAATACGGTGCAAGATATATCTTTATAGCTTTAATTTTAGGCGACCTTTTATTGTTCAATGTATTCATATTTTATATATTGTTATTAATGTTATTCTACATGCTTTCGTCATTATTTCTATTCTTCCTCAGTTCAGTTGTGTTTTCTCTATATTTATTTTCGTTTGTTGCTTGATACAAGAGATTTTGAAATGCATGATTTTTTTTTATTAACTCTTTTTCTTATCAAGTAAATTTATATTTTTTAAATTCACCTATGAATTGTTGTTTTGTAAATTCAATTTTTGAACATCGATATTTTTTTATTAATTAAACAAACAAAATAACAATATATAAATACTTTCGTTTACAAGTGGGTTGACAAAAGTTAGATTTAATTTGATTGGGATTAGTAGAATGTAATATTCGTTAAAGTAACTATTTTTAACCTAGGTTTTTTAAGAGAAATATATTATATTTTAAAAGAGGAAAAATTTAAAATATTATAATGAAAGACAAGACAACAAGAAAAAAAGAGATGGTAAGTATAATGCATATATATTTTGCTAACAATGAATTGCACTTAATTAAGTGAAAATATTATTATAGCATTTTCTTTTTCTTATGGAGAAAGTTAAGAAAATTTCCACTACCATTTTATGTTTTAGATATCAAGAAATGAATTTGGTTCAGTCACTTGGTCTATCTATCTGTCTATCTACCTCTTATCAAATTCGAAATGACAATTTCGTTAATGGAAGCGCAAATATATTTTCCTTGACACATCAACACATATGTATTTCAAAATTCAAAAATTTATACTTTAATATACAATCCATCAAAATCTTTATTTTCCATCAGTATGTTAGTTGACTGGAAATTTCTGTTCAAAAATTAAATATTAGAGGATAACAAGTACAATACAAGGATAATTATTACAATACAAATAATCGTAAACAAACAATTTTTTACCTATTTTAAAATCGAATATCGCTATAGTTCAGTTATTTATTAAATAATATTCGTACTTTTTCTTTTGACTTACTATTAAATTCTTGCTGAAAGCAATCTAACCTCAATATCTCTATTTCCATGTCTATTTTTAAACGGAAGATTTATATTTAAATATAACAAATTCAAAATTTAAATGACGTCATGATAAATGCGCTTTTGAGGCCCACTCTGGGGTATTGTAGTATATATAGAACTGAAAATCATAAAGGTTCACAGGTTATTTTTTTCAAACGGTTATACATAGATGTGGATTATTCCATATATGAATGGTGCAAATTCTTTTTTACATCAATTAGGGCGTCCATTAATTTCATCCTTTTACTGCTGTATTTCCTACGAATAAGAGGAAATCTTAATTTGATGGAAGAGATAACAAGAGCAGAGGCAGGAGGTTCAACTGTGAAGGGTGAGGAAATGTTCAAGAAGTATAACAATTTCCGATCTGCATTTCTTAACAAGAAATTTTCTTTGTAGATATTTATGCAATTGGCGCAAGCCCAAAATTCCCAAGGATAGGGAATTGATAATTAAGAAGCATGTTTATCAAAAACTCTCTTTTCCATTATCTTTTTAAGAGTAAAAAAGGCATCTAATAACAGATTTTATAGGAAATTTTATAAAATAATAATAAAAATTTAGATCCAGTCCCACAAAAGTGATATCTGAGCTCTCCTCTCCGTCCAAAACTAGAAAACATGTTTGTGGGTTAAAATACACAACAAACGTTTATAGATGTTCACACATATTGAATTACCAAGTTTGATGGAAATCAGAAAGTTGTTTCAAGTTCTTAAGGGGCGTTGCGCATAGGTGCTGACAAACCTGACAAACTGAAGATTAGGAATTCGAGCCACGCTGCCGAAAAAGCTGGATAGGAGAAGGGAAAAAAGTGCTGTAATGCCAACATTAGAAATCCTTTTTTCGATTAATTTTAATTTTCCTTTTTCTTAAATAATTTTTACCGAAGCAATAAATATTGTACGATATTCTAAATTGATATTTTAATTTATTTAAATACTTGATGCATTCCCTGATAACATTACATTATTTTATTACTAAAATATTGAAATGAATTAATTATTTATTTTTGCAACATTAAATTTTCTGTACTCAATGTAGGAAAATCTCCCTTAGAGATACCCATCCCCTCCAAGGTCGATGGCGCATGAGTCATCCTCTCCCTCCATCCTAAGATATTCTATTGCTCTTATGTTCTTAAACAGTGAAAACAAAAAAGTAGAATTTAAAAAATCGCCGATCGAATACAATAACTCTATTTTAGGTCTGTTCCATGTTTCCTCTTGTCTGAAATGTTTCATTTCGAAAATTCATAACCCTGTCGAAGCGTGCCCCCTCCACACTCAAAAATTCAAAACTCCGAAAAAATGTGCCCCCTAAAAAATTATAATTAGCGCAAACAAAACTTCTTTGTAGGCACCCATGTTAAGATATGCTGTTTATAAATATGTAAGATAACTGATAGATATTTATTTATCTATAATTTAATAAAATAATAAGTTTACTTATTTATCCTTTATATTAATTCTAAGGTTACGTCACTCTGTAGTTTAATTATTTCTTGAAAATGAGCAAACTGCTCGAAACGTCATTAAAAATTATAATAAATAGTTAATAAAGGCTTATATATATTCCTGGAGAAAGCATTTGTAAGTACATTAAGTGCCCTTGAAAAACTTCTACCGAAATAACTAAATATTAATTATTTCTTGTATTTTTACGCCAGACAAATGACACTTCTATTGTTCATTGTAATTATTCTAGGAGACTAAATAAATGTCCCAGAATAAAATTTACTTTTCTTCTTACCATTGATTCAATTAAGTGCCTAGATAGATACCTTTCTTATGACTCCATGATTATTTTTCCACTAACGAAAGCAGTCTCTCGTTAGTAAACGTGGCCACTATAAATCCTGCAGGCCCCATTGCGGGACTGAGCACTCCATCAGCGCTCCGGTGACATTTAGATGAGGACTGATTTAGATCTCCCTTGGCTCTCACCCGCTAAATTAATCCATATCTATTACCGTATTTTATCTGTTGGCTACACTGTCCAGCCGTGGAGTCTCCATGTCCAAGTCTAGTGAATCTGGTCTCGTGTCCGATTACATCAATGTCGTACGAAAACAGAAGTGGTTGGCTAAACAGAAATCTGTTGTTTTTTTAACTGTTATTTCCAGTAAACGAATTCACAATTCCATTTAGATTGATAAGTAAACATGAAACAGATGAAACGAATAATATTAATTACAAGATCTGACGAACCCCGAGATTCGATGACGTGTCGTCCGTCAGACGTGTAATTTGACGACAGGGTGTGATATATGAGTTGGCATGAGTATAGAGGGCACGTGGAATGGATTTTTTCCTGTTTTAATTATTTCAAACATTGTCATTTCTTCTGTATGTTCGTTTGAAAACCAATAAAATCAATAAACAGGCCAAATATTCTATAGAAAACCTTTTCTTCAAAATAACTAATGCATATTTCTCACCATGAAGTAAACGACCACGTTTATAACCGAACAAAGTACAAGTGTAATCGAGGGTTACCCATAAGAGATTGTATGCATTTTAATTTTGAAAGATATTTGATTTATGAGGTTTTGAATGTTTGAGGAGAGGCACATTTTAATGACGATATGAATTTTTGGAAGGAACTATATTTTTGCGAGGTTCAATTAAAATGAACTCTTCAGGAGAAAACATGGGGACGGAATGGTCAAGCGGGCTAACGCGGGTACAAAACGCGCCTTGCTCGGCAATCAGATAAACAGAAGTATGCATGATAAAATAATTAAAATGTCGCATCCCTGCGCCAGGGGGCTTTTGACTCTGGTATTACTCCCCCACCCTCTCCCATGGCTAGGGAAAATCCTGAACAGCCTAAAAAAAGAGGAAGGGGTAGACCAAAACAAAATAAAAGAGGGGAGCATAGAACAAACACAGCAAACATTATCGTATTCGATCTGCAATGTTTCCAATTATACTTCCGCTTGCATTTTTTTTTTTAAGAAAAGGGCAATAAAATTTCTTGAGGGAGGCTTGCGATCTCGGGGGAGATGGGCACCCCTAAAGTTTTGGACTGAATCCCTCCCTCCCCACCTCTCTCCTCCAAATGCAAAAATATTTTTGTCATCTTCTATGTTTGTTTATGTCAATGATCTTAATTAAATACTTAGATAATCACAACATATTCTCTTTTTATGCTATAATGAATATACAAAGTTTAAAAGTAATCTCACTTGAGAAAAAAAATGTATCTATAATAGGATTTTAGTTTTCCTTTAAGGAGATCACTTATCTTTTCAGATCAGAGTAATTACCATTATTGAAAGAAAAAGAAAATGCTTTTACACATAAATTTCTAATATTTTTTCTAGAAATTCTATAAAATTCCTAAAATAGCTTCAGCTCAAAAAATCATTCAAATCACTTTTTAAATCCACCAACTCTATCAATATTTTATGTAACGGAATAATAGTGGCACTTTAAATAAAATAACAAATTCTCAATTATCCAGTTTCATATATATATATATATATATATATATATATATATATATATATATATATATATATATATATATATATATATATATATTATGTCTACAATATTTACATATTCGGTAGTTACTTAACAGTATCTGTTAAACTTTTCAATATTGAATAACGGGTCAATTATTTTTTAATACTGTATCTCATAATCATTTTATTTCGATGAATTCCTGTTGCAGAGAAGGGGTAATGTCACTACTCCTGTCAATGAAACAACCACGGAAGAGGATAATGAAACAGAGCAAATTTCACAATTCTATAAAATACAAATTTCAGATATAATGGGAAGGTAAGATTGAGTTTTTGCTCCATTTATTTATTATCTTGATATTTTGGTAGATTAAGCAAGCAATGATTATTTTAATGGTTCATGTTTGTGATCAATAATCAAGGAGAGATGTTTGCAATTCCTGGAAACTGAAATGTGATTGGTTCAGCCATAAAAAAACCTGAATAGCCTCTTTAATATAAAAGTGGTATTTGATATTTAAAATATGAAATTAATGTAGAATTGTTTATAATAATAATCTTGTTAGATTAAATATTAGCAAGGTGGTAATATAAATCATGCATAATTTAAGTTCACTCAAATTTTAAAGTTTGGACATTGGATTTGGCCCTTTTTGTAGAAAGGTAAATATATCTAATTGGTTAAACTGGTTATTAATTAAACTGTTAATATATATTTCTTGGAAGACCTAAATTGGTGGTTTGGCATACAGTGCACTTGATATATTAATTTATAGTTTTGACCTTTCTTCAGTAATTATTTTTCTTGTTTGTAGCCCAAAGATCTAGGTTAACAAAACAGTATTTAACAGTTAAGAGTTCTTATTAGCAAGTGAAAAGGAATAATTAATGTAGAAATATATATATTTTTAAATATTATTCATTTGGTTCTATATTGCTATTAAAAATATTTGTCATTTTCTTCATTTAATGTTTTTATTAGTAGTTGTAGAGTGCTTTCTTCTTACTCTCTCTCTCTCTCTCTATGATAAAGCCAGTCTGCAATACTGGTATACAACTGCAAGAACTAGGCACTAACCAGCATCCTAAAATAAATATTGAAAGATGCAGCACTTTATGCAGAAAACTGGAAAGCAATAACCCCCAGAAAGGGAAAAATGGAGAAAGCTGATTAAGGTAGCAAAAGATCTGCAAGGCCTGTAAAACCAACAGGAAAAAAAATAGTAGTTGTAATTAGGTTGTTGTAATTAGCACAGGAAGCAAATAAAGGCTTCAAAAAATCATTGTATTTTTATTTTTAAGTCTATTATTGTAAATAATTTTTTAGACAAATTTCTCCCTCATTTTTATCAGTCTGTCTTCATAAATAAGACTGAATATGTATGAATAAGAATGAATAACCTAATAAAAATGAAGATATTGAAATTTTGACAAATCCCATTTTTTTCCGAATAGATCTATGGAAGTTGTTCAAATGAATTGGTAGAGAAAATCATCTCAATGATATTAGAGTGAGCATATCCAATAATTCTTCTTTAATTAAATATGATCACAAAATCTTGCCAAAGTGGCTAATCAGCTGTTTCACTGAAAAGGATTAGTGTAAGCTTCAGTGCTTTAAAAAAAAATCTGTACCACTACATACAGTATTTACATAAATACATACTGTACCACATTCATTTTTGGGTAAAGGAGTTAGTAAAGGAGTACTATATCATGCCCAGTAATTTGGTAAAGAGGTGATTTGACAACACTAAATTAGAACAGTATTCTGGGACAGTACTCAGATCGCAGGGTCAATCCACGACTGTTTAACAGAATAGATAAATTACCTAACCGACAGGCTAGAGAGAGCTAGAACACAATGATTTACTCACTGAACTATCCCACCCTCAGAACCACATGATTCCAAATAATCAATGAAATTCCTGCCACAAATATTTTCACTACAGAGCCATGTCTTCAAAGATAATTATTATTTTTAATAAATTAATTTTTTTTCAGATATTTGGTAGCTAAATCAGACATTCCAGCGGGAACAATAATACTAGAAGAAGATCCTCTAGTAGTTGGCCCAAGCCAAGGCTCATCACCTCTTTGTATAGCCTGTTACAAACCAATTCAACTTTCAAACTGTGCAAGGTAAGTTTAAAATGTAAATAATTAAAAATACCATTTACTTAACAGAATTTAAAAAATACAAAAATTTATTCAGGTGCAATTCATGCAGCTGGCCACTTTGTCAAGGCAACTGCCAATCAATAGGAAAATATTATGGCCACTCATTACATGAATGTGATGTTTTAAAACAATCAAAAGTACAACCATCGAGCGAAAATTTTCCATACAACGTACTGACCCCTCTAAGGGTACTACTTTTAAAGTAATTGTATATAATAACACAATTAATAATCTCAATAAATAATGAAAGGGAAAAAACACCATTGTCAATTTCAGAAATCAAAATGAAACTGCCTGGACCATTATCTCATCAATGGAAGCTCATGAGAAATATCGTCGAAAAACAGAAATGTGGAACAGTGATTGTACATTAATTAATTTTATCAAGAATACCACTAATCTCACACAGCTGACAGAAGATGAAATCCATTCAGTTTGTGGATACATCCAGGTAAAAATTTTAATTTAAGTAAATATAACTGATTTCATTGTATGAAATAACAACATTTAGAAGGTGAAGATTAATCAAGCAATAACCAGTCAAAATACTATTTTTTTTTTAATTTATTAATTTAAATTTAATATTTCTTCCTTCCTTCAATTATGTCTGTTGAAAAGATTGAAATTTTAAAAATTATTTTTTAAAGCTTAAAACGCTTAAATTAGATCAAAAGGGTGAGTGATATAAATACAAAACTATCAAAGACAACAACTAGTTGTGTAGTTGAACTTGAAAACTACATCTATAGTCGTTGGAAAAATTGCTTGTGGTGGTAAGTAATTGTAGTTATTGTAACAAAGCTGCAATAACAGCTTCTATGCAATAATGTATAATTCTACACCTTAATTTTTTTACAAACTTTTGGTTTAGGCTTAAACTTAAATTGTTTATTTATTTTTACATTCCGCATCTACCCGATCGGGTCATTAGCGGCTTTAGATGTAATCAAATTAGGTGTACAAATTTAATATCTTTTATAAATTCAAACACTTTTTGTATCTTTTCTTCGTCATCTGAAAGTGCTTCAGATATGTTGGAAGGTATATTATGTTTTGTTCTGGTGTCAGAGTATAGTCTGCAAGTTGTTACAATGTGTTTCAGTGTAAGTGATGTGTTGCATGTGATGTGCAAACTTAAATTGTACTTTAAAAAAATTTATGACCGTATGGAGATAATTGATTGTAATTCCAACTTAAGAAAAAATTGGTCAGGGATGCAGTCAACAGACATACTACTGGTACTGGTGGGGGGAACAAATCTGACAAGTGAGCCTATTGGGATCCTAAATTATTTTATCATTCATTTGTGAACCACCAACTAATAACTACAAGGAATACAAGAAGTATTCCTTTACTTTTGAAGTTGTGTTTTTTTAATTTATAGGCTTAACAAATTTTTGCCTAACAGAGCAATTTCATAATAAATAGAAATATTCATATTTAATAATTGAAAATAGTTTAAGTAATTAGAATTAAAGGTTTCCATCCCTTTTGAGACCTAGATAAATAAATTACAATTATTTGATTGAAAATTGAAGTACGGAGGGATAAAAAAGTTTAAGAATAATTTAAGGATAAAAATTATTAGTTAACTTGATAAAAAATCTGATATAAAGGTTCATCAGTGGGAAACAACTTTGTGCAAAAATTTAAGAAAAAATGTTATTATTTTGTAAATAAACACATTTTTCATTAATCATTCATTAATTATAAGTAAACTTTAAAAGAAAATTAGAAAAATAACCAATTTAAAAATATTTATACTCTTAACTTAAAAATAAAATCACAAATCTTAGAAATATTATCTTTTTGGTCAAGGAAACAGGGAAATAAATTATTATTCCAAGAATCATTGTTCAAAATTTATTTGTCTTCACAAGGAACATACACAACAACAGTTATTTTCAACTATTACTTTAAATATTTTGGCAACAACTGATTCTGAGTGATAATGTTGGTGTGATCATTTTGTTAGAGAAATTTAATCCTTCTCAAATTTAAGGTTTTTATGAGGGACTAAAATAAAAATTTAAAAAATGGGAGAAGCCATTGGAGCATATTTATATTCTCCATTAACAGTATTTTTTATTCTATCCATTTCAGTTTTACCTCCATAATCTGAAATTCAAAACTGGATATTTTTGTTTCCTTGAAGGCAATAATGAAGATAAAAAGTTTCTTAATATTTAAAATAGGTAAATGGCTTTGGAGTCGAAGGAAAAGAAGTGACTGCATTGTTTCCGAGTGCATTTTTACTTTCTCACGACTGCACCCCAAACACTACACATGTTATAGATAGCAAGTTCCATTTGACGATAAGAACTACAGTGTCAATAAAAAAAGGAGACCCATTGACTATATCCTATTGTAATACGTTACAGGTAAGTAAATCTGTTTGGTTTAATAAATTAATTATGAGTTATTTATCAATAGTACAATATTTATAATACTTTTATCATTGGTTTCCTCCATAGTAAATGTTTATGGTTTCTAATCTAAAAGATCTGGAACTGGGTTACAGACTAAACACTATCAACAAATAAATTTTTACATTTGACAAATACAAGGAGAGGAAAAAATCAGAGATGGTCTAAATTTGTTTCTATGACAAATATCAAAACAATCAGAATGTGAAATATTTTAAAATTATAATGCATGTGCAGCTACTGTAATCATGTTTCAAGAAAAGAAATATACCTAAAAACATTATTGTTAATTACCATATCTTTTAAAGACTTTTATGGACTCCTAAAACATCGTTTTATTTAGATTCTCTGTATAAATCTATAATTTATATATATATATATATATATATATATATATATATATATATATATATATATACATGAATATATATATTCATTATTTCCTCTATAATGAAATCCCACACAAACTCCATCGGACCTGATGGAATACCAGTCAAACTGTTAAAATTATGCCTTTCCGAAGTCGTTCCAGTTATCCTTTTCATCTGTAATTTTTCCCTCCAGAACTCAGTTTTTCCTACTGCTTGGAAAAAAGCATTAGTCAGACCTATTAACAAAATCCCAAATCTCACTTCTCCTAAAGACTACCGCACAATCTCCATTCTTTCTAACCTTTCTAAACCTCTGGAAAGAATAGCTCAATCCCAAATCTCTAAATTTCTTTAAAACTCAAAACTACTAGATCCTCTCCAATCTGGTTTTCGACCTGGCTTCTCCACACAATCCACCCTACTAAAAATTATCAATGACTTACATACCGCAATGGACAAAAAAATGTTAACTGTTAATACTTCTCGACTTTTCCAAAGCTTTTGACTCCTTAGACCACTCTATATTCTACACTAAATTAAAATCTCTATCCTTCTCCAACAGCTCTATCCTCTGGTTGCAGTCTTTCCTATCCAACAGAACTCAAGCAGTCAGCATTCCAAACCAACCTCTACCTTCCTTCCTTACATTGTCCTCAGGAGTGGCACAAGGTTCGAGCATTTACCCTCTCCTTTTTAATTCCTACATAAATGATCTTTCCAAATCCATCTACCACTGTTCACATCATTTATACGCTGATGACTCCCAAATCTATTTTTCCTTTCATCCTTCTGAGCTACTATTCGCGTTCGCCAATATTCAGGCAGACCTAGATAGGATCAGTGCCTGGGCAAGTCTGAATAATTTAAATCTAAACGCGATGAAAACTCAGGCCATTATTATAAGATCCAGTTCTATTCTTAAATCCATTTCCTTCCTTCCTCCTTTAGTCATCAAGGATCATCCTATCATATTCAACTCCTCCGTTAAAAACCTAGGAATCACCATAGATGAAAACCTCTCCAGGAAACCCCACATCGCCCTCACCTCCCGTAAGTCAATAGGTACCCCTAAGTTATTTCATCGCTCACGCCACCTACTCCCACAACCCATCCTTGTATCCTCTCTCATTTTCCCCCACTTTGACTACGGCTGTGTGGTGTACGGAGGCATCCCGATGGTACTCGAGGGTAGATTGAAGCGACTCATGAATACGCGCTTAAGATTTGTCTTCGGTACATCGAGGCGGTCTCATGTGTCCCACCTTTACGACGAGTTAAAGTGGCTCTTCCCTTCTTTCCGCAGACAATATTTCCTTGGATCTTTCCTATTCCAAATGACCAACACCCGACACCCTTCCTACATCTACAGTCTCCTACAGTTTAAACCCGTGCTCCACTCCCAGAAAACAAGATCCCGTGTTTCCGACCTTTATATCCCTTCCCATAGAACTAAGACGTTTGAATATTCCTTTATTGCCCGATCCACCGCCTTCTGGAATTCTTTGCCTTCTGAAATCCGCCATGCCTCTTCCTTGTCCTCATTTAAATATTATCTTTACCATTCCTTCTAACATCCCAAAATGACGTTAAACAATGAAATAAATATTGCGAAACAGATTTTGAATGAGGTGAATGGTTGTTAAAATTTATAGATTTAATTTTAAAAATCAACCCATGTTTATTTTATTTAGTTCTCTTTTCATTAAAATAATGATGTTTTTTTTCAAAATGGTGTTATTTTTACTTGTTTTAATTTAATTTTACTGAAGATACTATATATATTCTTTAATATTGACTAATGTAATTTTTGGCCAGATGTAGTTTTTATTTTTTTTGTTCATATCTGTTATTCATAAGGGACCTTGTCCCAGAATATATATATATATATATATATATATATATATATATATATATACATGGAAATGTTATTCAATATAAAAATATAGTTATAGGTGGTATTATTTCTGAGATATTCTAATATCAAAATTTCTTGATTTCGCAAAAACTACCAATTTTTTACCATCCAAATCAGCGGCACATTTTTCAAGAAATATAACATGGAATTTTCAATGGATTTAAACAACAGTTAAACAAAGTGGAAAATTACTCTATTTTAAAAAATAAATAAAATAAGAATATATCTAAAAACAATTGGTTCTCAAAGTGTTAAATTAATTTCATGATATTTAATATCTATTTCAGGGAACATTGTGGCGCAGAGAACAGCTTTTAGGGTCTAAATTCTTCTCATGCACTTGTAAAAGATGCTCTGATAACACTGAGTTCAACACATTCACGAGTGCAGTAAAATGTGAAAAGTGTCAAAACGGATACTTGCTGCCTACAAATCCTTTAGATGATTCTTCAGACTGGAAATGCGATATATGTTTCAACCATAAACAAAAGGAAATAATTTATAACTTTGTTAACCGGTAAATTCATTTTGTCCTTTTAAATTTCATAAATAAAATAGTGTTTGTTTTTGAAAAAAAAAAAATTCTTTGTTAATAAATCAGGTTTATTACTCTACTTTAAAAATTTAAATAACAAGATTTTCTACTAAAACCTATTCTTGAAAATTAAAATTAAAACAAGATAGAAAATTTGATAGCTATCCTAAATATCAGCAGGGCACAATCAAGAGTTAAAACATGGACTCATTAGATCATTTAAAATACTTAAGTACTTGATTTGTTAATGATTATACTCAAAATAAATAAAATATGATATATTTTCAAGCAAGCTATTATTTTCATTAAAAACTAATTTTTAATTAATGCAATCCATGAAACAATATAAATTAAATTGGATTTATTTTAGACTGTTAGAAGAGAGTGAACGATTATCAAATGATACAGTTTCTGATAACGAAAAGTTCCTTGTAGTACACGAAAAGTATTTGCATCCCAACCATTTTGTTCTTTTATCTGTAAAACTGAAACTAAGTCAACTTTATGGAAAATCTCATGATTGTATAATAAATAACATGACAGAAGACCAACTAAACAGAAAAATCAATATATGCAAAGAAATAATCAAGATCTTAAATGTTATAGAACCAGGGCTCTCACGAATAAGAGGTAATAAATTTGAATTAGTATTATGAATAATACATTTATTTAAGAATACAATATATTAATCAAATCCATGTTTAGGAATAACAATGTATGAAATTCATGCACCGACCTTCATCTTAGGTATGAATAATTTTAGTAAAAGTAATGATATAAGGAAATTTAAACAAATATTAAAAGAAGTGAAAGGTCTCCTTCATGAAGCTACTACTATCCTCAATATAGAAGACCCAACATCCAAAGAAGGACAAATAGGTAAGGCAGCAGAAGATGCGTTAAAACAAATGGAATCATGATGAATCAATAAATAGGAAATATATATATATATATATATATAAGATATTTTATTATTGTCAGTTTGTTATTACAAAAATATAAGAAAAATTATACTCAATGCAATCAATAATTAAACCATTCCAGGTTCCTTTCTTTCCAGATCTCTTATTTCTAAAATATCACTTTTGAGCCTAAGTTTAGTAATTTCCCTCCATACTTCCTGCCGGTGTAGTGGGTTGTCTATCCCCAAACGAAGTAGAGTCCCTTCGCTGATACGAACCAGTGCACGACCAGTTATCTCATGCTAAAAAAATTTTACTTAATTCATTTATTTTTGATCACTTCTAAAACAGATGCAGGAAAATATTTAAAAACTTACTTCTTCAAATTTGTGTCCATACAATGGGGAAAAATCACTGCAGTGACGCTTCAACCACGTCTGGACGTCTTGAACAGTCCATAAGTAGATCGGTTTAGGCCTTGCAGCTCGGGTCTATATTAATAGAGAAATTCTACTTTGGTCACTTATTTATGACATCACTCAATCAATAGTTAGTTCTCAATTCATAATGAATTTTGAAAACAAGATAACTACTACTAATATAAGATTTTAAAAATAAAATGATATATATTATCCATTATTTATTTATAAGCGCTAAATAATAATAACAACAACATGAAAAGGGACAAAATAAAATATCTTAGAACCTTTTTCAAAGGATTTATTATTATATATTACAATCAGTTTTCTATATATATAATAGGTAGACTTGACACAAAAATTTAAATAAATGCAATTCAAATCTATCAAAATTGTCTTCATTCTGGATTATTACCTTAATAGTTCATCCCTATCTACAATAAAAATTGAATTCTTAATAATAAAATATAAAAATATAGAATATAATACACAGACTAAAATTTGAATTCTTTATATTTTTTAGTCGGTTTTCCTTCTTGTTGTTGCTGCTTTTTTCGTTTGTTCTTTTGCCTTTGGACATGCTCAGCAAGCATGTCAGAAAGGTCTTCTTTTTGTAAATGAGATTGTTGTTCTCTCATCTGTTGTTCATACCTTGCAGCCATAGCATCTGAGTCCATATCCAGTTCAGACGGATCTAATGCAAGTTCTACAGTATCTCGTCGCGGTGCAGTACTGGTAGTACCACTGCTAGCAATGGCAGCAGAAGCTGTGGTCATATCGTAAACATGTGTAGAAGCCATCATAGATCCTCCAATTCTGTCTACCCTTCTTTCAGCAAGAACTTGATATAGGGCAGGAGTGTCACCACCATCCATTTCTGATTCAATTTTCTTCTTACGAAGTTCAATTATGTCAGGAGTTTCCATACCAGCAGGTACAGAAGTTATTCCTGAAGGAGTGATTAGCCCTTCTGAAGGAGTAATTAGACCAGTATCATCTTTTTGGGTTTCTTCTTCCTCTTCTTCTTCTTCACTCTCTTCTTCAGAATCAGATTCTAATTCACCCCATGTGGTTTTTTCAACTTCATCATCATCCAATTTCATTTCATTTATATTGACATTGGTCGCAAATACATCTCCATACAATGGTTTTCCAGTTTCATCCACAGGGGGTTTACCCCAACCACCTGCATGATAACCAAAAGAACAACCTTCGGGTATAGGACAGTTCAAACCAGGTATCTTTAAATTGGGATAAGAAGGAGGAGGACCATACCTCTGCATAGCAATAAGCCAAGGAGGTGGGACTTTATGGGCATTAGGTCCAGTTGGCATTCCTAATGCTTGACGTAATTCAGGTGAAAGATCGCCAGGTTTTTTTTCTTTAAGTCTAGTTTCATACTCTTTTCCTTCATAATACAGATCACCGTGAATAGTTAGTCTAGGTTTAGTCTGCCATTTGAAAAAAGCATCATGCAACTTTTGATAATCTATATCAATCTTACCCATTTTTGGCCGTGCTCTTTCTCTCATTTTGGCTTTTAAAGTTTTTTGTTCTTCTTTATCTTGTAAAGATGACCTCATTTCCATTATACCAGTTTTTTTAATGAAATCTGGAAGATCAAAAGGCGGCTTTTCAATACCCCTCTTACCTTGTAAATATTTACGTTTAAAACACCAGTGCCTAGGAACAGGTACTGTGTTACGATGAGCTTTTAACTGAACTAATAATTTGGGATCTCTTGCAGTCACATCATGCATTTCTACCACATCAGGGCGGCTGACCAATTGCTTTAATTCAGCTATACTCAGTCTTGTAAGTTTTTTCAATTTCCTTTTAGATAGTTTTGGTTTTTCATCACCTTTACCTTCCCCACCTTCTTCTATATCATCTTCTTCTGGAAGCTTGGGCACTTTTGTTAAATCTTTTCTCTGAACACCGAATATCGTGGCAGCTTGGATTTCTTTACTTATATCAGGTACAACAGTAGGTTCACTGATTCTAAAAGCTTCTAAAACCCTAGCATAACTTCTGTAAATTGGCTCCAATTCGAATAAATTGAGTTTTTCTTGAATATATTCTACCTCAACTTCAGGAACATCTTCCTTTTCTTTGCCTTTTTCTGCATCTTCTGAATTTTCTTTGGAATCCACATTTTTATCACTTTGATCTTGTAACTTTATTTTTGACTTCTTACTCCTCTTCTTCTTTCTTTTGTTTTTGAGCCTTTTCTTAAGATCCTTTCTTCCTGGTTTTTTAGGTTGCTTTTCATCATCATCTTCATAGTTTTCTATATCATCAAATGCTGATTGCAAAATAACAGGTGTACGTGTTTGGTTTCCTGAATCTTCTTCCTCTTCCTCCTCTTCTTCCTGATCAACACCCAGTTCACTAGCTCTTTGGGTTTTTAGAGCAAGGACTTTTTCAAGAGCTTGAGGAAGTTTCTGGTCTCTATTTTCAGGAGGAGTTGTCATATTAATGCCAGGAGGCGGTTCAACATGCATTGTTAGAAGAGAAGGCAGAGATTGATCTTCTCCAGGAGGACCGTCTGGGTTTGGAGGTTGAGCATTATTTTGTTCAGACATTGGAGGGGTACTTCCTGCCTGCTGTGCCATACTTGTAGGAGGTTGCATATTCATCTGTGGTTGAGGCATATTGCCACCCATGCCGGGAGGCCTTAGAGGTGGTGGAGGTCCTGGCTGCATACCCATTGGAGGAGGTCCTTGTTGCATTCCCATCATTCCAGGTGGCATCGGCAGAGATGGAGGAGGTTGACTCATAGGAGGTCCCTGTTGTTGCATATTCATAGGAGGACCCTGCTGCCCACCCATAGGAGGTGGTTGTTGCATTCCCATGGGAGGTGGTTGTTGCATGTTCATTGGTGGTGGTTGCTGCATGCCCATCGGACCAGGCTGCTGCATACCCATGGGTGGAGGTTGTTGCATGCCCATCGGTGGCCCTTGCTGATTGCCCATGGGAGGAGGTCCCATTGGAGGACCTTGTTGCTGTCCCACCATTGGGGGTGGCCCCATTGGCTGCTGACCCATGGGAGGAGGCCCCATTGGTGGACCAGGTTGCTGTCCACCCATAGGTGGAGGACCCATTGGCATTCCCTGTTGCTGACCACCCATAGGTGGAGGCCCCATAGGAGGTCCCTGTTGTCCACCCATTGGTGGAGGACCCATTGGTGGTCCAGGCTGTTGACCACCCATTGGAGGAGGGCCCATTGGTGGACCAGGTTGTTGTCCTCCCATATTCGGTCCTTGTCCAGGCATTTGAGGTGGGCCCATTGGTGGTCCTGGTTGTTGCATTCCCATTGGAGGACCCTGCATAGGTGGCGGTCCTTGAGGTTGATTTCCCATTGGAGGAGGCTGCTGCATATTCATAGGAGGTCCTTGTTGGTTTCCCATGGATGTAGGCTGCCCCATTCCCATAGGCGGCTGCATTCCCATTGGTGGTTGCATGTTCATTGGAGGAAGGTTCATGCCAGGAGGTCCAGAAGGTGGAAATTGTCCTCCCATACCTGGAGGTGGGGGCATATCCGGGGGAGGTCCAGATGGTGGAGGAGGTCCTGAAATAGGACCAACTCCTGGTGGGCCATCACTAAGCTCACCTTGCATGATATTGATTGTTGTCAAATTTAAATCTGAAAGTAAAAAAAAGGATTAATTAATAATTCAAAATATATATATACATATAAACATTAATTATTTTTACAAATTATGGCTCTTTTAAAACATGGTAATACATAAACATTTAATTAAAAACAATTAATCTCTGTTTATTATGAAACAATAACTACACAATTCTCGTGCACCTTATTAATCTATTAATATTACAGCAACATTTTCCTTAAAATCGGCTAACCGGAAGTAGTCTGATCAATGAATGATTATAGAAGAAAATGGCGGGGACACAATTTTTGACTTTGGGACATTGTTTGGACTAGTAAAGAGGTAAACATACTGTCCCTAGTCCTAGGCCATATGTGGGGAGGGGGAGGGGGTACTCCTAGAAGGTCACTTTTTCCGGATATTCGTTTACATTGGGAAAACTATCCATCGCATCGACAAAGACGTTTTATACAAAATTAAAGATTATAAAATTTGAAATATGGTTTATTATATACCTTTTTTCACTATCTTGCTTAGTTTCCAAGATATTCGTCCTCAACTATCACTAACATGTAAAACAATTTTTTTACTTTGTGTTTTTTACTTTATTTGACTAGGTAAATCTGGATTGCTTCATTTATGATTAAGGAAGAAAATTTTTAATAATAAAATTTTCTTCAGGAATAAATATCATTTTAATAGTTTATTTAGTTAATTTTATATGTGTGATGCGTGCACCAGATTTTTCATTTAGTTTTTAAAGCACCCAAGACCATTAAAATTCATAAAAACATTTGAAAAGAGCATATGTTGAAAAGCAGAAAACTACATTTATTCACACTCGTAAACTAAATGTCAAACATTCGGCTTATGATCAGAAAATTTGTTTTTTTAATTTCAATGAATTCTAAAATAACATGATAGAGCTGAGTGGTGCAGAAAGATGATCAAATTAAGAGACGAATTGTGCACAAATGAAACAAAATTCTAGCCTATCTTATAGCGTTAATAAAATTTTTCACAATTAAAATAATTGATTCCTTAAGATCCATCTCTTTACTATTTCTAATACGCAGTAGAACACCACTAATTTGTTCTAGTTGAGACTGAGACATTACTGGTAAAGCAGTTAAAATAACCAGAGAAGGCAGTTAATCCGGTGTGTTTTCATGAAAAAAATTAACACGTGTATTTGGTAATACCTAAAACATAATTCAAAAAATAATGTGTAGGTGATATATGTATTAATTACATGATGAAGTTAAATTTTAAACTTGACCAATTTATTATAACTTCATATAAGAAGTAGGTTTCACAAATGTTAAAGTTGGTTTATAAATTAATAAAATTTTCATACCGGGTATGAGTACACTACCAAGTGCATCTGATTAACTGAACAACATCGTACAATTATGATGAAAAACAAAAACAATAAATTGACCTGACAGAAGCATGCTTTTATACCAACAAATATTTTAAAATATGTTATTTTTAAAACTATTTAAAGAAAACTTTAGCTTAAGAAATTTCAATTTCATTGTGCTTTTTATGCATCTACTTCATTTTTTCTTTCTATTTTGGCTGCATTAGTGCAACTGTGGTCAATATTTTGCCTTTTTGGTACAATTTTAATAAGAGCCAAATGAGATCAATCATGAAATCATTTATATTTTTGTAAATCTTTCTTACTTTATTTTATTTTTGTTTTACTACACTTAGTGTTTTCATAAATCAGGAATTAATTGCAAGGAATATTAAGGATATTGAAAAACTTATGCATAAAGAAAAATACATAATCTTTTTTACTTTCATTTAACTAATATATGTAATATATAATAGGGGAAAGTATTGCGGTCGTGAAAATTTTCGAATCTGAGTTTTCAACGGAAATACATGTTTTGAGGTTCACTGGCCCCAAATAACCAAGTCCTACAAAATGGTCTGTCTGTATGTTATCAGTCTAGCTCAAAAACTAAAAGTTGTACGAAAGTGAAATCACATATTTAAGGTTTGTACATACCTCAGATGTTACAGAAACTTTTTTGTCAGAATCGGCTAACCGGAAGTGGCACTTTATATTATCGATGTAACACATTTTTACAAAGTTCTCGAAAATGGCTCTAAGATTTTGGTTAAACTCGGTGTAGTTAAGTATCTCAATGTATACTGAAATAATCTATATCATTTAGGTATTATCCCTATTTATTTCACTTAACAGGACTTCAATGCCCAATGTTCAAAGTGTCTTCCTTTGAAGTATCTTTAATTTGGTTTATTTTAAGTAATTAACTATCTCTCCATGTTAGGAATCATAAAAAAATGCTAAATTTAATTTTTGAAAGACTTTGTTTATTGAATAAAGGGGAAAAAAATAAAAATGCTTATCCAGGTCGAAAATGAATCTCCTGAAATAATAGTCAGAAAGTATACGTATAATATATTGTTGGAAAGCAAAGAATTTTAGATAAAACAATATTTAATATAGAAAGTCCTAGAAGGTAATGGAGAGTGACGAAAAATTATAAATAATAATTTGTGAAAACTAATATTATTTAATGGAAATCACATGTTTTCAAAGAAATTAAAAGAAATTTACTAACTAAATGTAAACTTTAAAAATTTTTTGTTAAGTTTGAAAAAGTGTTTAAAATCCACCTAATCAAGGCAATGATATTCTTTAAAAACTATTTCATTGTACTTGTGTGAAAGAAGAAGTGAAATATTTCATGAATGTATAAAGCATATGTTTATAACCTTACATTTACTGCAGTTTAATAATTCTAGATCTAATATTATATTTATATTTAAATTATTAGGTATCAACATCCGTTTATACCGAAAAACCCTCATGTAACCTTTTGTAAAATTAAATTAGTGAATAATTAGATGAATTTTTTCCTTAGTGAAATCCCAACATTATCCACTTACATTATCAAACATTATCCAATTAGTGTGACAAATTTTGACCAATCTATGAATGGCAATGAAAATCTCATAATTTTATTTTAGTAAAATTTATCAGCAACTGTACGGTTATGCTGACAACATTGATATTGTTGCACAGTCCTTTGTAGCTCTCAAAGGTGCCTTCCTCGAATTGCAAAAGTATGCAGATAATATGGGGCTCTACATTATTGAGAATAAAACACATTACATATATACAGGAGAAGGAGAGATTCCCCGAAACCAAAGAATATCTCTTGGCCATTGCACCTTCGAGAATATCCAACAGATCTCTTATTTGGGATCTCTAATAATAACGAAAAGTGAGACATCACTTGAAATAAAGCAAAGAATAGCAGCTGCAAACTGATGCTATTTTGGCCTACTTAAACACATGAGAAGCTCAGTACTTAATAGACATACGAAGCTGCAGCTCTATATCCGGCAGGTTCTTACCTACGGTAGCCAAACATGGACCTTAATAAAAAATGATGAAAAAGACCTAGCTCAGATGTAGAGGTCTGAAATCCTGATGAGAGTGCTTGAGGAGCCATTACACTATACGAGGAGAGCTGGCAGGCCGAAATTGAGATGGGCAGATGGTGTGGCGGTTGACACGAGAGACTTTATGGAAGTCAGGAATAGAAAATGGCCGTACAGAATAGATGTATTTGGCGGAAGCTCTTTGAAGAGGGTTGTAGAGCCATTAAGATAGGTAGATAGATAGATAAAATTTACAATGGTAAATAACTAATACGCGTACAATGCATGACTATTTATAGGTTAAATATACAGATATACTTTCAAATCTCTCTATGCATATATATATCTAGAGACTGTATAAATATAACTAGAGACTGAAGTTATGTGGTTTACAAAAACAGATGGAATAACTATGTTTTTATTGCCTACCATTGATATAATTAATAGGGTTTTTGTTATAGGTCATGGTTTGTTAGGTAAAAGCTTTAAGCTGTAACTCCATTAAAATTGCACTTCAAAATTTTATAATTGTCCAAAATTGCCAGAAAATAATTTCTATAAAAAGTACAGCGGTAAGTGAAAGTTGTGTGTTGACCATATTTTTTTTCCTATAAACACACTGTAGTAAGAAATATCTTACTATCTCGGAACATCTTATTAGATATTTGTCATCCAGTAAATCTGCTTATGGCAGTGACTAACAATCAATCTACCCCAACCAATAGTCACCAAATGGAATGTGTAAATTTTTAGTGATAAGGAATGATTGGAATTCCATCAGCCTTTAACTCCACCTTGTGGTAAATTGATACGAGTGGAATGATGGACTGTAATAAACCAATAGATTGGTTATGATAAAAATAACTTCCTCTTTTATATCTTAACATTAATATTGCAGATTAAAGTTTACTCAAAAAGTTTTTTATTCAGTTCGGACAAAATGAAATACCTAAATGGTCAAACATAAAATAAGAGCCCTCAATTTAGTCCTTTTAGTTAAAATATATCTGAAATATTTATTTTGACCAGTTTAAGATAAACAATAATAAATCAGCAATTGAATTTTTATTAAAAATAACCTCAGTATTGATATTTCTCAAATTATTTGACATATTTATATTCAATTTACTTCCTATCTAAATTATATGTGATTTGAAACTCAATAGGTAAATATTTCCTTATATATTTATTTTATTTTTAATTTATAATTATTTTATTATTTATTTTTATATTACATATTATTTTTTATTTTTCTTATATTTCATGGACATCGTCATTACCAAACTCACAATAAGTCGCTATCTGTCGGTGTTGGATTTAATTTATTGATGGATTTATGGAGTGCTGGGTAAAGGTACCTAAGTACTTAACCTATCCAAATACTCCTAAAGCCAATTTTTCTTAAATTTACTTTCTTCGAATCATATTTAAATGCAACCTCTTATTCAGAATGAAGGTTATATAAGAATATACTACCCACAATATAAAAGTTTTGATCAGGATTATTATTGGTGGATAATCAAATTAATACTGTTTTAATCAGATCAATGATGATGGATTTTTTTATTCAGTTCGGACAAAATTAAATAGCTAAATGGTCAAACATAATGTATGTTACTGCAAAGTATCTGAAAATTAACAGATAAAAATCCATCTCCATGCACTGTTAGTAAGGCTCCAACTTCAATTGAAACTATTTTAAAAACTTCAACAATGTGATGTGTTTAGCTATCGTATAATCGTAACACTTTGGAACTAGAAACATCAAAATATTTAATCTTTATACTACAAGGTTTCTTGAAGACATATCTCAACAATACCAGTAGTACATTTTATAAACTGCACATTTTACAGTGCAGTAAAATTTGCAATTTCGTAGGCCCTATCATTTGGATACCATTACATCAGCATAAACATTGCATCAATTCATCAGTAAGACTAACTATTAATCTCACAGCAATTAAAGTCACTAAAAAAAGTTACAAAATATCTGTATATTTATTCAACAGTAACTTAAGTTTTACTTACTAAAAACTTATCAATTATTCCAGAAAATATTAATAACTGTTAAATGATACAAACATTAACTAAAGGTGAAAATTACTTATTCTAGTCTGTCATTTTGGAATCTTATATAACAGGCCCTATAATTTAATAAACATTAATCCTTATACATGAAAACCCACTGAATATATTTACTGTTACCGACCTAAAATAGATCTATTATAATTTATATTTTTTGTTTATTGGAGCCTTTTTGCCTTTGAAAAACCACAGAAAAACAAAATACAGTGGTGCATAAACAATAGATAAACCAGAAAACTAAATCTATTGAAATGGTTGTTACTAGTAAAAAATATACTCTATGAATTCTTAAAGAAAAAACATTGCCTTGATTGAATTAGTGAAATTACAGAGCATTCTTGAATCTCTTAAGGTAATTGGTACAATTACAAGACAGCAGATACTAAAAATATAAAATATATAACAAAGGAGCAAGCTCCTAAACTATTTAATATAATTTAAGTATTCATCTTAATTTATAAATTAAGCCATATTAAATAAAGATATAAGTAATGAGAATAAATAATACGAATTTGTCTCACCTTAACAAAAGTGAGGCCGGGAGTAACCTTCCATTCTGGTAACTAGAAAGAGGCAGGGAAGGTTAAGTTGATAAATAAAACCCTCCCTTCTTGGGCCAGCCAGATTATTCATATTCATTTAAATCTCATAATAATAAATTCACTAAATCCCATGAATAGTAATTTTGAATTTTAGCAGCAAATTTGAAGAAATTCGTAAATGATAATCTTTAATAAAAATGACTACTTCCAAAAGAATAATTGTCTTGTATTTAATGAACAACAATATAAGTTGTCCTACTGATTAAAATTTATTCAGAATTATTACAAAAATAGAATCCCAACTAAATAAACTACTTCAAAATAATATAATTTCATAGAGAGTGATATTAAAACCACCCTAACAGATTTTTATTGACTATAATGTGATTAGATAATATAAGTAATGTGACTGATTTGATAATTAGGAGATATTGAAATCATTTATAATTACAATTTGCTGGGAAGTATAAACAAACAATAATTTAACCAATACAGTCCAACATTCTACTGGATTCCTATGCGGTATTTACATCTATTTACAACTATCTTGAATATTCAACTCTATATAAAACATTTATTTAACACTTAAGCAAACCGGCGTGACAGTAAATATTTAGAAGACGGCGAGAGAAAATAACTATTATGCCAATATAATAGGTAAGCAATCTTGGTTAAACTATTTTAGAACATACACTACTCAGTATAAATTAATGAAGCCCATGTACCTTCGGTTTACTGCTTTGATATGAACTTTCTTCTACCATATCTCTGACAGAATCACAATATAATAAAATAACTTATTTTTTTCAAAATAATAACCACAACACTTACAACACACTCACAAGCTGCAGTTCGTCAACAAAAGTGCAACCAACCACAGTCAATGAATCTTATTTAAATATTTTAAATATTTTTTACACTTATGAATTAACCGTTCTCTTTATATGTAAATGAAAAGATATTTCTTGATATTAGAAATCAGGGTAAAATTATTTAAATTATTCTCAAATAATAAATTAGTAGTTACATATGATGCTGGGCCCACACTACAGGCAAACTCGGTTTGGCAAAATTTCTGGCAAACTTGCGGCAAAATAAGGAACTAATCGAAGCTCGTTAACCATGGAAAATGTGCTCAGTAGGACGGAGTCAGTCCAAGCAAACAGCATGTATCTTCTAGAATTGCCGTGGGGTTGATTGCTACTTTTGGTTATGTCTTCTATAAAAAAAAAGCAAGTAGAAGAAAATAAGAGGAGAAAACAAAGAAGATGACAGATGTCGAAAATTCATGAGAATCATACAAGGTAAGCATAAAATTGATCTTAGTTTTCGTTATTAATATCAGTTGTTTATTTCTTTGCTATGACATTTCTCTATAAATACATTTTACCTTGTTTTTCAAAATATATTTCTGTAAAACTAATTAACGCGATTTTATGTAATTTTTCACACACAATTGCTAGGATTGTCAATTTCCTTCCGTTAAACATAGTCAATTATTATTTCTCTAACCAGTGAAAATTCTTGATATATCCTCCGTTTACTGCATTCAATTCATGCACTATGTGCATATTTGATATAGGTTAACTTTCAAGATTTTTTTTTTGAATTTTGACTTTACCTATACAAAAACACTGTATGGGCATGGAAATGAAACAAACCCTTTTATACATCAATTATACTTACAAGAAGCACACAATTTTCTGATTTTATAAAGAAAAAGATATTCAAAATTCTTGATTACTTAAGAAATAATGAATTTTCACTTAATTACTTTGCAATGAGCTGCCAATATTTTTTCAATTGTTTGATTCAAGGAATGCATTTAAAAATTTTTTTCTCCATTTATTTATGAGGTTCTTTGATTTACTGTATAGACATTTTTTACAATTTAGTGAATGGTTAATTCCTCTTTTACTAAATTTGCAAGTGTTACTTTATTATTTTTCAATTCAAACAATCAATTAAGTCTGTAGTAAGTTAATTTAGTTCTATTTTCTTTTCTAACGTCCAACTTAAGTACATCATCGCAAAGGAAACAATGGACAAGGGTTGTTAATTATTTAGCATTCAACTGGTTATTTATATTTAGTTAATTGGAAGTTCATTGTTAGTTTTTGATATCCCTCCTAGTCTATGATTAAGTTATTTTTTTTTTTTTTATCCTTTTTGATATAGCAAAACAATGTACATAGGGTAATGACTATAAAGAGAAAATGCCCTATGATGCCTTAGCCATTCTGTCTTGTTTCCTTAACCCTCCACATTATCTGTTTACCAGATTATTTATTATCTTCTGTTATGAATTTGATTCCATTGTTTCCTATTTCAATTAAGGATTAGTTTTGTTTTTTCTCGACTTTCATTATTAATGTAAATGTTACATAGCTTTTATTTGTTCTCTGTAAAATTGAGTCTTAAAGTGTGCCAGACATAGACCCTCCTCTAAAAATGAAAATCTCAACCAAATGTGTTATAAGCATCGCAAAAAATAGAAGGGAAAAAATTATAACGAAATTAAAAAATCTGATTTTTTAGTTGGATGATACCAGGCCTAAGATTGGTAATTTTTTTTTTTTTTTTTCAGCGTTCCCCTACTGTTGAGTGTGAACATGAAGGACAGGCTGAAGTACTCGATGATTCATCTTTATTGAACAACGGTATGTATTGCAGCCTAAGACAAAAAAAAAAAAATCAAACAAAGGCGGAGAGGAAATTATGGCCCCGTTCAATAAACTCGTCCAAATAATAGAAAAACAGTGCGGAAATACAAATAAACCCAAAACAATTGCATAGAATTATGGGTCCATGTTAGGAGAAGGGTTGGACCAATTACCTCAACCAGAACAAAGTTTGTGCATATGTGAAATGGAACGAGGCTTGGGGAAGATGTGTGCGGACTTTGTGGAATAAAAATATTTGTAATATTGAAACCAGCACTAGTTTAAACAAAATGGCAGCCTGTGCCCGTGGTATTGCGAATGCACCATAAAGAGTGATTTTCCAGCAACATGCTGGGCCATTTAAAAAATATAAAACAGACACTTTTTCTGTAAATACTAGTAAGGTTGTACCTCCAAAAAGACATATCATTAATAAAGCCTTTTTAAAGGTGTTTGAAGAAGATGGAGAATAATCCAGTAAATTATTAGAATACTCATTAGTTATTATTCAGCTTTTTCTGATGCATTTAAAAATGCTTTATTTGTAATGTTAAATTCCTTTATTCATGACGTATAAACAAAAACATATCTTGTATTCATTAATTTGTATGTTGTATTAATTCATTTATATTTTGTATTGTATATTTGAACCTAAAAATATTTATTTGTTCATTAATAGAATTTCTATTTTGTATAATAATAACAAAGTTAAGATATAAAGATTAATTTTCCAGAAACATTATAATTATTAAATTTAGTTTATGTATATGATTTATTATATTTTGCAAATATATGGGTTGTATGTATTATAAATAACATCTTCCATCATTTCCCTTCAAACATATATATTACAACTTGTGTATAAATAACCAATAAATGATAGGTATATGTCAAATTTCTAAAATTAAAAATGCGAATAACAAAACAAAGGCAGTCTCACTATGTGGTTAAAATTTCCACACTTAGACTTAATTGTTATTTTAATACAAATACAAATATAACTTTTTTAGGCTTAGGATGGTTGATTATTTATTGAAGTAGGCATCAAAATTGGCACTGTATGATGTTAGTCTCTAACCATGATACAGTCATTTAATTACAAATATAGTATTGTATTATGGTGTTTCAATATGTGCTTAAAATGTTATTGATGCAACTTTATTAGAGTCTAGGTTAGTAATTTTGTGAGTTGTTCGGTTTTATTTGAAATGTAATAAATCAAATAAATATATATAAGTAATGAAAAATGGGAAAAACAAGTAATGGATTAAAAGTTTTGTTATTTAAAATATATTATGTAAAAATGTTCAAAAATATATGTTATATTTCATTATATCTTATTTAATTTTATTTATATGAACCCTTCCGCTAACAAACTTCCATAATTCATTTAATGGCAAATAATATCTTCATTTAATTTTTGTAGTTTATAATGATTTGTTTGTTATTACTGAAAGACAGAAAGCTGGTTGCACAGAAAATTTTGATTAAACTCGTGTATTATTGTATAATTAAGTGGTCTTTAATATCATTGAGGTCTTATTCCCATTAATGTCACTTTACATAGCTTAAATGCCTAAATGTTCAACATTTCATCCTCTAAAGTACCTTTAATTTGATTAATTTTTAATAATTAACCATCTCTCATTATTAAGAATTACGAAAAAATGCTAAATATAACTTATGAAAGAATTTGATAATTGAAAAATGGAGAAAAAAGGGAAAATGTGTATTGAGGATGAAAATGAATTACCGGAAATACTTGTCAGAAGTTATATCATTGGAAAGCGGATAATTTTAGAAAAAAAACAATATGAAATATAGAAAGTAATGGAGAGAGATTATTATAAATAATAATTTGTGTAAACTAATATTATTTAACGGAAATCTCATTTTTTCAAGGAAATTAAATAAATGAAATTTACTAACTAAATTTAAACTGTTTTTAAGTTTGAAAAAACTATTTAAAATTCACCTAATCAACGCAATGTTATTGTTAAAAAAGCTATTTCATAGTACTAATGTGAAAGAAGTGAAATATAAAAATATTTCATGGATGTATAAAGCCTATGTTTATAACCTTAAATACATTTACTATAGTTTTAATAATTCTAAATCTGATATTATATTTAAATAATTAGGTATCAACGTCCGTTGGTCGTCGTATAACATTTTTAAAAAAATAAATTAGTGAGTAATTTGATGAATTTTCCCTTTGTTAAATTAGTGTAAAAACTTTTGAGCTATCTATGACAGGCGATGAAAATCTCGTAATCTCTTTATAGTAAACTTTACAATGGAAAATAACAGTTTAATAACTAATAGGCGTAGAATCCATAATCATTTATAGGTTGAATATAGAGATATACTTTAAAATCTCTCTAGACATATGTATATTGCTCAGAGACCGGAGTTATGAGGTTTATGAAAAAATATGGGGTAGGGAGGTTTTTATTATCTACCGTTGATATAATTAATAGGGTTTCTGTTATTTTAGTGATGTTAATGATTTGTTAGCAGTAAACTTTAAGCTATAGACCCGTTAAAAGTGCACTTCGAAAATTTTATAATTGCTCAACATTTCCAGAAAGTAATTTCTATTCAAAGAAGAAAGGTAAGTGAAAGTTGTGTGTTGTGCGCACTAATTTTTTTTTATTTCGGATATTGCAAAAAAAAAAGCGGGAAACGGAAGTTTCTGTCTCAGCCAATCACAGTGGCTATTCAATGCATCACTAGCGCAGCGTAACGGCCATAATGCAAAACTTGCTTGGATTTTGCCTAAGTTTTCCATTTCGGATGGATATGCAACAAACCGGGGTAAACAGCCCATTACCTTCCACCAGCTGGTCAAAATATCCCCACCACCTTCTCCCACTCTCGCCCTTTCCTTTGTTCTCTACGACAGTGGCGCTAGCAAACTCGGGCAAATTCCCATAAAACTGAGGCAAAATGCGGGAATTTGCCTCGATTTGCCTGTAGTGTGGGCCCAGGGTGAAATTTACTTGCTATTGTTGGCAGTGCCGATGACAACACCGATGTCAGAAATCTTCATTCCACAGTGTTTAAAGATTCGCCACGTTGGAACCGGGTTCTTACAATAATTTTGTGGTTGAAGTTAAGAATCTTTAGTAATGACCGATATGCTCATTTGTTAGTAATTTTTTCTACTCTCAAGCCCGTGTCTTTAACCCGGTGTAGGTCATCTGGGAATTTCTTCAACTCTATATTGACCTACAATTTGTACATTATTGAATCTGTCATAGCTTCATATTTATATATATTTTTATTGAAAACATGAAAGTTAAAGAAATTGACAGAACAGTGAACACAGCTTGGTCGCCTGGTGACCATCATCCTATCCTTTTAGCAGCAGGAACTGCTGCTCAGCAGCTTGATGCTTCTTTCAATACTAGTGCTTCACTAGATATACTTTCTTTAAATTTGACTGATCCATCATTAGATTTAGATGTAAAATATTCAGTGCCAAGCCAACATAGGTGTGTATTTCCTTTAGTAATAGACTATATTTGTTAATACCTTATCAGGTTGATTACCTTATCACCCATCAATTTGATTTTACTGTAGGTATCACAAAGTGGCATGGGGTGGAGAAAGCCCTGGTGTAATAGTTGGTGGTTGTGATAATGGTGTTATTCAAATGTACAATGTTTCTAAGTTAATGAAAAGGGAAGATGGGTTGATCGCCAATCCAGAAAAACACACTGGTGCTGTCAAAGCTTTAGACTTCAATCCTTTTCAAGTAAGACATGGATGTTAAAAACTAATTCTCTATGAATCATGTATTCTAGTTAATTTGGCTGTTTTATTTGTATAGAAAAATCTATTAGCAACTGGTGCTTCGAACAGTGAAATATTTATTTGGGACATGAATAATACATCAATGCCTATGAGCCCTGGTGTTAAATCGCAACCTTTAGAAGATATAGCCTGGCTTGCTTGGAACAGACAAGGTGATTGTTATATCTTCTTGTGAATTCATTATCTAACATTTAGAATGATGGGATTGGTTTGATTGTGTAAAGGTTATGTCAATTCTTCATTTTAAATGAACCCAGTATTTCATTTAAATGAGGTAATTCTCTGTATTTGCCTTAAATCATCATTAATATTGTCATAAAGAATTAAAATAATACCTTAAATTAGTTGTTTACTATTTCAAAAATTGCAGTTCATCCACCAATTTCATGCTATTGCAGCATAACATTAAATATTAAGGAACATATAATTTAAAAGATTTTTATTGTATTCTGACATATTTGCTTCCTTGTTCATTTGAATTTCAATAAATTTTGTTCCTGTTTATGATCTGAATAGTAAAACATTCTATATTTACCTTGCTACAGGAGACCACTAAATTTATAATTGAGACAATCAGTCATATAACAAGATATCTAACACTTTTTCTTGAATTAAGGTTTTTGGCAATGTTTGATTTCTTAGATGGTTCGAAATTTCTTAGAAGAATTCACTAGAAACTTGTCTAAAAAATGATGTTGGTACAGTGACAGCTAGTTGAATGTTAAATATAACTTGGAGAAATTTAACATTATGAAAGTTTGCCAGTTATCATGTTTTATGACCGAGTTCTTCAATTGTTTTACTTAATCTTTACTACCACAAACAAAATAAATGTATCTTAGCAATTATGTTTTTATCTAATTGCTTATAATTTATTTATCAGATTTCCTGCTCATATTAAATATTAACTTCATCAGATTCTATTCTATATATTTACATAAATATACATGTTTTAAGTAGCTGCTTTTGTAAACTCAATTGGTTTTCAATTATTCTATTGTTCTTTTGATTATGCTAGATGTGGTTTACTTCCAGACTTAATATAATTTTAATTTTTAGTGCAACATATTTTGGCATCAACATTTCCTACCAGAAATGTTGTTTGGGACCTCAGAAAAAATGAACCTATCATTAAATTGACTGATACAACTACGAGGGTAAGTGCTCTAATTATTCATGATTTAATGGCAATACTAAATAAGTTAATAAATAAACTACAATAATAATTTATAATGCACTAAGAAAACCACAGGAAGAGTGTTATTTGCATACATGCAATCTAATTGTTCATTAATATCTGATTTATAATAGTTTAATGAGTTTATTGTTGTCTTAGTATTGTGGTGATACGATTGTATTAAAATAATAAACTATACATTTTAATAAATATTTTTTAAAATAAATTGAATAATAATTGTTTATAAAAATAAGTGAGGGAAAATTCAGAAGTAGTTAAATAATAAATGAAAAGTTTAATTAAATTATCATATTAGGTTTTCATTGTGAGTTCATGTATGTTGATTTTTCTTTTCTTTTTTTTAATATGTCATGAATAATTTACCTTGAATGAATAATTATGTGAAATATGTATGATCAAGAAATAATTAAAATTTTTACTTGATAATTGTCCGTATCAGTAAGTTAGTGTTACCTATCATGGAAATATTAAAATGCTCCTACTTAATTCTAAATATTGATGATTTTTTTTTATTAATAAATAATATTGAATGATAAATTTTTGGAAAATTCTTTTGATAAGATTTTATTTGTAATCTGTTATCATAAAAAAATAAATAAAGGTTAAATGACTTCTCAGTTTAGAAATTAAATTATTTACTTATTTTATTATGAATTTTAATTGTTTGTATTTGTACACTTATGTATTGTTATTCTAATAAGGTCTTACTTACTCGAGATTCGCAATATTTCCTTATCTGTTAAATCAGCTATTGTATTTAAATTTATCTTAAAATTTAAATAAATCTTTTACATTAGGTTAGATGGAAAGTTGTAGCTTGGCATCCTGAAGTTGCTACCCAGCTGTGCCTTGCGTCAGAGGAAGATTCAAATCCTGTAATCCAGCTATGGGATCTCCGATTTGCAACATCTCCCTTGAAAACTTTTAAAGGGCATACAAGGTATATCGTTAATACTCTTTTTTTTTCTCTCTCTCTCTCCTGTTTTCCTGCACTTTACAATCTATTATTAGTTCTAGATAATTTTTTTTTTCCTTCTTTCGCACATTTTGGCTACAAAGGGTTTTTCCTGAACCAGGGGAGAGGGCAGAAGAAAAATACCAGCTTTAAAAGTCCTACTGCCTCGTACCCCCCGCAACGGGAATTAAACTTGTAATCTTCGATCTATCAGGTTGCCAGGAAACACATTGTATATGCATACATTGGCCATCCCACTATATAGACCATGTTATTGCCTTGCATATTATTAACTATTAAATGTTTACTTATTTATTGTACATCAAAAAAATATTGCTGACTTTAGGTATTTTTATCTGCGAGGAGAATCTCTTATTAATTACTTATTGATATAAGAAAAATACAAACAAACAAAAACATATCTACTTCTACAACAAACAGAGGTGTGCAGAATATATCTGATCACGTTTACTATAGATATTAACACCTTTTTACTCACAAAAAGTTGTTTTCGTTCTTCTGTTGCAAAAACGAACATCTTTGTAATATTCTTTTTAAATATTAAATAAAGTTTTCTATTATTAAATTTAAATACCAAAATATATCAGTATTTTTCCAACAACCTTAGTTTTTTAGTGAAGTCCAATAACTTCTAGATACATTTTTCTTTTATAGGCTAATTGACACCTACTGTCCATGTTTAACGTCATAATTATTTTTTTTTTTACTATTTATATTATTCAAATTAATTGTTATTATTTTATTTTATATACATCATCGATTTAATTATTAATCTGTTTAAGTTAAAAAAAGTTCTTTCTATTTTGGTTTATTTTATTTCTGCCTATATTTTATGAATAACAATGTATTTGAAATATTTTCTACTAGATACTAAGACACTTGCTGTTACTTATTAATTTTTTTTCAAATATATGTTTGCCTTTATTTTTTAAAATATTTTTGTATTAAATGTATTTTTCAGAGGTGTTTTATCTCTTGCCTGGTGTAATCAGGATCCTGACTTGTTAATCAGCAGTGGGAAAGATAATAAAATACTTTGTTGGAATCCTAATTCGAACAATGCAGTAAGTTTAAAAAATTTAATGTTCTTTTAAAATAATGGATTGTATTCAAATTTTAAAATAATTTTAATGTCATTAATATTCCTCGAGTATTTTGAGATGACAGTTAAAATAAATTTAAATTTTTATTAATAATTTTGGAGGACGGTGAGGTTGTCTGTGAGATCCCGAACAGCCAGCAGTGGATATTTGAAGTTAGCTGGTGCCCTAGAAACCCTTCTCTCATCGCTAGCTCCAGCTGCGATGGCCACACAAGTATTTACTCAATCACTGGCAGTCCTGCTACCCAGGTCCAAACAAATACCAAAGTATGTACCTACATTCATTTTTAAAATATTTATTCATATTTTTTTTTTAATTACATTACTGTTACATTTATAAAATATTCACCCTATATATAACTTAAAAAATATAATTATACAAAATCATATTATCATAGATTGCCGATTCATTTCCCGGAATGGGTGAAGGAATTCCTGATCACCATATTCAATCTCAACAGCCAGTAGTCGACCTGAAAAAAGCACCAAAATGGCTGAGGAAACCTGTTGGAGCTTCATTTGGTGTAAGTGAAAAAATTTAACTCCTTTTAACCAACTTCAGTTTAATACTGGGTATGAAATCGATAATTTAAAAAAAAAAAAATCTAGTGCAGTGCACTTATCACACAACTTTCACTTATCACCCGTTTTTTTAGCAGAAATAATTATTTTCAGACAAAGGAAGGTGAAAGTAAAAATTATAGACAGTACGGAATATTGTTTAAAACAATTAATTTCCATACGTTTTTTCATAGCTGTTGAGTGTATTATATTTATATTTTTTTATCAGTAACCATTTCCTTTTCGTAACTGTATATTTTAATTATTTATTTAATTATAATAATAAGTGCCATGAAATATTTTTAGTCCGACAATAGTGTCACTAATAAAAACAATATAAACAAATAACCAAGTCCCGCAAAATGTTCTATTTGTGTGTGTGTATGTGTGTTAACAGTCTAGCTAAAAAAGGAAAAGTCGTACACAAGTGAAATTGCATATTTAAGGTTTTTATATGCTAGGGATATTACAGCAACTTTTTTGTCAAAATCGACTAACCAGAAGTGGCACTTTATATAATGTACTAAACACATTTTTGCGATTTTTTCGAAAACAGCTCTTACAATTTTGATTAAATCCATCATATCAGTGTAAAATTAAGCAGTTTAAAATAAAATGTAGTTTTTATTCTGATTGATGTTTTTTAACAGGGCATAAATGGCTAATTTTCAATATTAGCTTCCCCTAAAGTACCTTTAATTTTTTTTATTTGAAACAATTGACCATTTCACATTAATCTATAATAGAAAAGAGAGTTAAACATAAAATATGAAAGAATTTTATAATTAACTAAAGGAGATATAAGAGATTGTAACGCAGAATAGTTGTAATTGAAGAACCAAAGGAATATATGAATACACTCGCCCAAAAGATAAGAACGCTTCCATACGTAACATGAGATTAATTAATATAATAAGGACTCCGACAATATTATGTAAATATACATATGTGGTTTACATAGATGCTATTGTTGGTATTATTTAATATTTAATTGTATAAATAATAGCAATATAAATATTAAAATTTGTATATATAAGGGTACTTGTAACGTACCAAATTTTTTATAGTAGATAAGAATGTGAATTGGTTAATTATTTTAAAGAAATAAATTTTGAAAATTTGGCATTTAACCTCTGAAAGAGAACATCAATGAGAATAAGACCTACATCATATAAAAAACCGCTTAATGTTATACTGATATAATGAATTTAATCAAAACATTTGATCCGTTCTCAAGAGAATTGTAAAAATGCCTATAATCAATGATATAAGGTACTCCAATTAAAATGTGTAAAATCGATAATATAAGACACTCCAATTAGTCGACTTTGAGGGAAAAGTTGCTGTAACATCTCAGGCATGTACAAATCTTAAAAATACGCAATTTCAGTTGCGTACGACTTTTTGTTTGCAAGCTAGACTGTTCACACATATAGACCATTTTGCGAGACTTGGTTATTTGGACTCAACTCCACCTATATGATGGCGATACTCAGGATCGAAAACAGCAGCCTGTCATAAGCCAGAAAGGATAGGGAAGCACCTCTTAGAAAATCCTGAATCCAGCTGGTCTGGCTGATAGTACCTAATTGAGGGACCCTCGAAAACGATAGGGACTATCAATTCACTACTCACCATCTGTTCTTGGACTTTAAGAGTGCGTATGATAGTATTAAGAGAGAAGAGTTGTATCTGGCAATGGTAGAACTTGGTATACTTAGGAAACTTGTACAACTGTGCAGCGCTACAATGGATGGTGAGAGCTGTATTGTGAGAATACAAAATGAGTATTCCCAAGAATTCAGATTGGAGTGCTGCAAGGAGACATACCAGCATGTCTTTTGTTTGGTGAGGGCTGTGAAAGACTCTGTTGTCCAGACTTCTTACACAATAATGAATAGAACTGTTCAAATTCTAGGATATTCCGACGACCTCAACATTATCGGAAGATCTGTCATGACGATAGAAGAAGTGTTCCTTGCATTAGAAGGCACTGCGCTGCAAAGAAAATTGGACTAATCATAAATGCATCCAAGACAAAGTATGTGGTCACAGGACAGCTTTGCATGACCTGGGGAAGTGATGCAATTTGGAGAGTATACTTTTGAGAAGGTGGACAATTTTAGATACCTTGGATCCATTGTGAACTCCAACTATATTAGCCCTGAAATGAGGAACAAAGTACTGTTAGTGAATCACTGCTTTTATAGGCTGCAGTGTCAACTGATAGGCAACATTTCGTCCAGGAAAACTATACTTTTGCTGTACTGATAATAATAATAATGATTATTACTTGATTTGGAGATAAAATAATTATCGATTTCAAATCCTGATTTAATCAATTAAAAAGAAGAATGGCTAAATAGCTAAGGCATAATACTCCTAACATCCATGTTTTAGTCTGGTTTTAAGCTAATATATTTTATTTTCTATCAATTTAATGTATTAACTCTAATTTTTGGGTGACTATAATATCTAAATAACCAAATGGTGTCGTTACTATGACTACCCTTAAATTTTTATAATCCCTCTACTTGTTGGCATGGTTGACTATAGTCGCCTTGGTTTATCTATGTAACCAGACTGATAAGGAAGTAAAATATAAAATATCTTATATTTTGTTTTTCTCTTTTATTTTCTGAAGATCATAATAGCAACTTCTCTATATAGAAGCTTAAAAGATTGGAATGACAGAGTCCTTCAAGATATTTTAAATAAAAATATGATAATAATAGCATTGGCATGTGACTATGAGAAATAGTCTCTGTACTTATAATCTCATACCTCTTAACCAACTTCTGCTATCTCTTAGTACCTGTTAACGTGTGTTAAATTATAATACAAAAATTCAATACTTCTTAAGAAATTTAAATGTACAAAACAAGTGATTATGTGTGTTATAGTTATCGTTATCCTAAACTTACCAGGATAAATTAAAATGTAATGATGGAAATGAAATATTTGCAATCGAAGCCATGGGTAATGGCTAGTTTGTGTTATTATATTTTAGTATATTTGTATAAATGATCTTAAAATGCAGTATTGTTTTAGCAGGTATTGAAATGTTTATATCATTTTTTCTAGTTCGGAGGAAAGCTTGTGTCATTTGGAAGTGACGGTGTTAAGCTACTTCAGGTTGAAGGTGATGAAGGCTTGTTGTGCCAGGCTCGTGCATTGTTGGAAAAGTTGGAGAGAAGTAACTTCGCTGAGATTTGCCAGGGAAAAGAAGATCCCATTTGGAATTACCTGGAGGCCAGCTTCAGCCCTCAGCCTCGTACTGCAATAAGGGCTTTGCTAGGATACAACAAAGAGTCTGTATGTTTCTCATTATTTACTATTTAACTTTTACAGTCTATAAAGAGCTTCTGAAACGCTAATTTTTTTTTTTTTTTTTTTTTTTTTTTTTTTTTTTTTAATAATCCATTAGTCTTTTAAAATTTGCATGATCCATGTTATCTACTTGTTGTTGACATTATTATTATTATTGTTATAATGTATGGAAGATTAGAAGCATATTCCAATTTATAGCAGGTTTCCTCTGGCTTTATAAATACTAAAAGAACTACAGTAATCCCTCAGCGTTCGTAGATTTGTCAAACCCTGTATGTTAAACTTCAAAAGCACAGATAACATGTCATTTTTTATTTATGCACTATAACATCTCTTATATTTTACTAATAATAATATAACCTCGGAAGCTCACTTCTTACCATTGGGATACTTCCTAAATAAATAAGAGGTTGTTTAATAATAAACAAAATTATAAGAGTATTGTTATATTTATTTATATCAACAAGGGTTACTGGCAATTAGATCAACTCATACAAACTATTATTATTTACGCTATTTATACTAAAATTAAACACTGATTTTAAAATAAAGTCAAATATGGATTGGCAAGCTAACCTTATTTCTATAGATACAGCGTTTACCTTTGTTGCACTAAATTCATTTATCTTCAAATGATTTCCAATCTTCTGTTAAAACACAACTTGCAAAATGGTAATGCTTTCTTCTACTCAACTCAAGCTCCCTGGGAGATCCTCTCTATTTATAATTCCAAACAACTAGTCTCTCTACCAAACAACAATTTCCAAGGTGGTAATACTATTACTGGGTTTTTCCCACTGGAGCCAGGATCACTTCTTCTATCCTCTCTTCACTGGAGCCACACAACAACAACTTGTCAAAACAAAAATCCTTTGTCACTTCTCTTCTTTGGGATTTTCCTTTCTGTAGAAACTACAGAGTAGCCATTTTCTTTTCCCTGAACTAGTAGAACTAGATTAGCTTGCATTTTAATTGTTGAACATTAATTTATTAAACCATTTTTACTCACTTCCAATAAAGGTGTACATTACAGTACATACTATAATTAAAAACAAAAAAATTATTGGCCTTCTTGAAACGTAATCTCCCTATTCACAGAGATAGATTTTTATATCTTTTATCTAAATTAGATTTCTTATATATATTATTCGGAGATTTTTGAACATTAATAATTTCAGCCTTGATCCATTTAATGAATAAAATTATAAATTAATATGTAAAAGATTGTAGCCATTCAAAAATATATTTATAACTTACAAATTAACTTAAGTTTTTTTTTTTGTAGGCAAACATTTCATCTCGCAGAACCCCAACAGTATTACAAAATCACAATGTGGAACAGATTACTGATCAGCTTTCTAATTTAGGACAGGTATTATATTTTTATCATCATTTTAAAAATATATTAGTATTTTTATAAAATATTACATCTTAGGATTTCTTTTTATAATGTTTTTTTTTTTCAGGAGAATTTTGAGGTTAAAAATGATAATGTAAGTACAAAACTTATTTTTATTTAGGCATGTTTTTCTTTACTGATTTATTTAATGTTATCTAATTTTATTAATTATTTTATTTTTTCTTATATAATTTTTATTACGTGTGTTTTAACCTTTTCTTATCCTCAGTTTATTGCAAAAGGTCATTAAGTACATTTTTTATGGAAATAAATCCAGTTGAAACATCATTCTTGAGTTATACTCTTCTTTTTTTTTTATTTTAACTAGTAAATAAGTCTAGGTTAATTAATTAAATTTTATAAATATGATTTTATATTTTAGAATTTATCCAGTAATGAACTACTTAACGGAGGAGATTCAGTGTTCGATAGAATCTCGGCCGAGAGCTCTCCTATCAAAAGTGCTCCTTTCACGATATCAGTTGGAAATGGTAAGTTGATTAAAAGTAGAAATAATTAGTACAAGACATTAAGAAAATATTATTTAAATAAATATATAATAAATAAAAATATTATTTTTCTCCTTCATTAGATGTTGACGGTCAAATTTGTAAAGCATTATTGGCTGGATCTATTACCGATGCTATCAATATTTGTTTAAATGAAGGAAAAACTGCAGATGCTCTGATTCTGGCAAGCACTGCTGGGCCTGATGTTTTAGCTGATACACAGAAGAAATTTTTCCAAGTAAGTCGATTTTTTCAATGGTTTACCAAAATAAGATGTCCATTCTTTAGGCATTATAAATATTTCTCTCTATTAGATATTTAAATTTAACTCTCCAGAAGTCATGGTTCATTACGAAAAGACTTTGGTCATGACAGTCTGACTGATGAAGTTGCATAAATCCATGTCCAATTTCTGTTACTAAAATTTCAGATCTGTTAAATAATAAAAATAAATTTATGAATTAACCTAAACACCTTATGTGGCTACATTTCTTCTCTTGAAAAAAAAAATTGTATTTGTCTTCATAATTTCTTAGATCACATGTTTTTGTGCGAGGAAGTAGTTTTAAAATATAAAATTACAATTCAAAGATATTATTACTTTGCTTATACAACTAAATTAAGGAAAAGGGGAAAAATAACAATTATGAAGTACCTTAGTAACAGTGATCTGTTTTATCTTAAAAATAAAACAGTGATCTGTTTTATCTAGCATTCAACCAGAAAACAATTCTAGGAATACTACAATGTTAACATGTAAAATTAGAGAAAGTGGAAAGTTTTGTGCAAGGGAGGGAGAAATGTTCTGAATTGCAAATATTAAAAACATGGAGCTACAAATGCACTGCAAAGATTTTTCATACCACCCACGACTAACTGAGGCTTAAGGAAATTATTAAAGAACTTTTTATTTCATTTCAAAGAACAAACTAATTAATTTCACTCTTAACTAAAACATTTTTTATTAACCTAATAAGATTGTGAAGAAGTAGAATTATTTTTATTTGAAAGAAGTTTTAGCCTTAGTTATAATTGTCCAATAAACTTTTCAAGAGTTCTTTTCAAATGTTAAAAATTAAATTAACCAAAAGGAATACAAATTAAAGAACTAATTAATATGAATTAATTATTGTAATACTTATGTTGTTCTCCCACTTTTTTCATCACTTGTGGCTCATAACCTTCTTCCTTGAAATTAAATTAATAAAATCTATATAATAATATTTTTACAGAAAAGAGAAGGATACCTGTCACACATTCTTAATGCTTTAGTAACGGAAGATTGGCTGCCTGTCGTGAAGCAGTGTGACATCACCAGCTGGAAGGAAGCACTATCCGCGCTTTTGATCTATTGCACTGATGCGGCCTTGCCTGATTTGTGTTGTAAGTTTTTGATAAAATTTCCTTTATTCGCTCCATACAATAATTGATTTCAGTGTGTCTAATGGATCTGGAATACATGATAAAGTTGGGGAATTTTTTGAACCTGAGAATAGTTGAGTAATTTGACAAGCTAACAAAAGCAAGATCGACTTCTTCTTTTATTCTTGGAATTATTCATTAAGAAACTGTATCTATGCCAGTAACTGATAATAAGATTTTTTTTGTGTGTTTTTAAATATTTTTATGTTATAAAGGATGTTATATATTTGTTAAATAAGTATGCAAGTTGGTTTTACAAATGAATTTCCTCTTATTATTTTTAGTATCTAAGATGTTGCTTCGATATTTTTATTTGTTTGCCAAATTGAATGCTTAATTTTTGTTAAGTATCTGATAAAATTATATTTCTACAAGGCCTCCAGTATTGTGGATTATGATAATTAAATTGTCAAATATTCTACCAATTATGTAAAATGATTATTAAAATAAAAGCTCATTTATTGTCTATCACCACTATTTCCATGACCTGGAATTTTTCCAAAAATAATCTGGAAAAAGCCAGGAACTTTATGATAAGGATTTGGTAACACCCTGTAAATTTTTTTTTCAAAAGAATTTTGATGTATATGGAGTTTGAACTATTTTTATTCCCCCTCTTTTATTATTTTTATGAATTCTTTACAGTAAGTTATTGGTTTTATTTTTTATAGTTCAGCTCGGTAAAAGGCTCGAAGAAGCAGGTAATGAATACTCGCTTTGTGCAGAAATTTGTTACATTGCCTCTGGAAACATTGGGCCGCTTATCAACAAGAGGTTGAGTGGTACAGCTGTCTCTGTTGCCAACATACAGGTAATTTATATTATTATTTTTAGGAAACTTTGATTAATTAATAGAATTAAAAATTTTATATTTGAAAAATCAATTTATTTCATTTCAGCAATCATTATTGATAATAAATTATTAAAGTGAAAATTGTTTTAGTAGTAGTAACTTTTATTGAAAGATTTTTATGCTGAAGAAATACATTGCTTGAAGAATTTTAGTCAAACGGTTTCTCATATTTTATTGAAAATCATACCTTTTTTATTTTATCTAATAGAAAATATTTGTATGACGACTAATCGTTCCCTTTTAATATGCTTTATCAGGAAATGGTCGAGCTGGTGTTGGTAGCACAGGGTGTTTATTCAAACCGAGGGCAGGTGTTTCCGATTGATGGAGATGTTGCGAAAGTTATCAGCCTCTATTGCGAGCTCCTGTCCTCAGAAGGAGCCTTGGAAACTGCACTTCAATACCTCAAGGATTCATCTGGCGTAAGAAATATTTTCAATTTTTTTTTAAATATTAGTTTATGTTGAATGAATGAATGAAAACGTGTTTATTATACTTTTTTTTTAAATATACAAAGTAAAATATATATATATATATATATATATATATATATATATATATATATATATATATATATATATATATATATATATATACAAGCAACAACACATAGACAATGAAAAATTCCATCTATCAAGGTCTGTGTGTAATTAATAATAAATATTCATTACACTTATAAATAAAATAAGTGAGTAATAATATATCTACAGTATTATTATATATTTATACATCCATTCTATTAAATTTCTTCTTCACTGTTTCATTTTTTTAAATAGAGTTTTCAAAAAATAAACATCAATACATCATAAATATAATAAATAAGAAATTTAATTTCAACAACTATAATAATAACCATCAAATACAATATAACAATAAAACAAACGTTACAATAAATAAACACGATATTGTATCAATAGTTTACTATCTGACCAATTGAGATCTTTGCAAGGTGGCCTGCTGTACATAATTGCTTAAGGCTTTCCAGTTAGAACCTTTAAGAAACCAAATAATTCTTCCGGAGAACAAGTCCGCTGCCCAAAACATTTCTCTCTTAACTCACTGTACATGTGACAAGTCCCCAAAAAGTGAATATCCTCTTTTTCTTGAGAGTTACATACCGGACAGTAATCGTTGTCCCCCACCATCCATGGTGTTCCGCTTAAATTGAGCAATTCTGTCCTAAATCGAAAAATTGACCCTATATTCACAATATCAAAAATATCATTAAGATAGGGTGTAACAGTGCCCACTGAACATAGTCCTGCTTAAACAGAAAAACTTGAATGAAGACATTTTTTAAGGTTATTTTGTTTTTCTAAGTCCTCTACCCTATGTCTAACAACTGTCAATTTTCTGCACAGCGATATTTGCAGTATCAAGATTAGTTTTACAACTATCCTCGAATTCTAATCACTTTTGGTACCAATAAACTCTCTTAGTTATAACCTCTTTCGCTAGGCAAGCGAAAATGTGGCATCTCCAGTACTTTCGAAATATTATTAGTTTATGTTATTCCATAGCAATTTTTTTTTTTTTTTTCTTAAATTGTTTTTTCCTGTTTATATCAGGAAAAGTCAAGAAATGTCATTATTCTGCAAAAGTTTTCGAATAATTTCAGAAAGTTTGGAAATTTTTCAATAATTTATTGCCACAAAAAAATTATAATAAAATGAAAAGTTACTATATAAAATGAAAATAATAAAAATTAAAAAAGTAAGAACCCAAAAAATTTTTTCTTTGTTTACACTCTGCTCTCAAGCAATTGGTTGGTATGCATAATTATTCCTGTAACTCCACTTGAGCGTTCCATCAAGAAGGAATATTTTATGAAACTCAATGAAAAAGGACTCCTCTCAGCCGATTTCATTACAGAGACGTATCAATAAAAAATATAGTTATTTTAAATTGAAACAGTCCTGTTACCTCCATCACGTACTCGATGCTCAATCAATACTTTAACGCTTTTTCCTGCCAATGTTTAAGGGTAGAAGTGTCTCCACAATTAAATTTACTGAAAGGAGGTCTTTTTCATTGAGTTTCATGAAAGTATTCATTGTTGGCGCAACTGCAAATGGAATTATAGGAATGACTATGCATACCACCTTTAGTACATATTCAAATGAACTGAAAAATTGTCGAATGTGTTCTAGGCTCTAGGTTTATATTTAATTTTTCTTATTCTTTACTCTATGGATATTATGATAATTGATCTTTTCTATTCAGGGATGTTTTTTTAATTTTTATTTTGAAGTAAATTTCAAAAGAAATTATTAATGTACAGTCAAAACATTGTTCTAAAATAAAGCGAATTATGAATTGTAACTTAAACTCTTAATTATATGAATTGATTATAAAAAATCTAGTAGCTGTAGTTATTTACTGTGAAGATTTTGTGTGTTAATTTTTTATATTTTTTTCCCTCAAAATCTCACCGACTTAGTTTGCATCAATCCAATAATCACATAGTTTGGTAATAAATTTCTCATCTTTCTTTCATCTTCTCTCCTCTTTGTCTCAGTAAGTTAATGCAGAGCTTCAGTGGTATTTGACACTAAAAATAATATATTGATATTTTAGTATTTAAATCATAATCAAATTTATTTGACTTGTAATTTTCATTATACAAGCTTTACAATAGTTAATGTATTAATAAATATATTTGAATATTGTGACTAAAGTTTTTTTTTTTTTTACATTTCCCTTTATTTTTTAAGGGCAGAGAATTTCATTTCAGATAGAGATAAGTCAGATAATTCAACTGAAAGACTCCTCTATTCCTTTTAAAGCCCAACCTATTTGAATTGTAAATTATATTAACTATTGGCATGTTGTTGTTTTTTCAAGCATGAATTTACATCACAATGGTTTTACATAAATTTGACACAGCTCGTGACTTGACATCTTTAGTAAGATCAAGAAATTTTTCACAATAACGTTAGCTAGCATAGTATAGAGATGTACCATGATAAACCAAATTTGAATCATCTATTATTTGGTTTAGTGGACTGGTCTGCACTTCTCAATTATTTTAATTTAAAAACTTGTTTACAGTATCTCATACTGCACTTGGACAAATGGCTTACTTAAAACATAACAGACATGAAATGGCGAGATGATACCTTCAACTTGCCACATTTCTTGGAACTACAGATCCTCAATTAACTGAGGCCATGATGGCTGGGCGTGTTAGAGCGTAAACTTTAACATTCTTAAGTCTATCAACACTTGTTCAAATCCAGCCTGGGCAGGTTGAGTTTTATTTTATAACAGATCTACGGAATCAATCTTGACCTATTTTGGTCAGAATAGGTTTGGTTGTACCTCCAGAACAAATCCCTCTCATCTCCCAGTATGTCAGAAATGATGAGATAAGGGGTAATCGGAAAAAGAAAAAAAAATCCTCACTTTACTTATAAAACAAGTGACTAATTTATAACACTATATTCAGACCTATTTGCAGAATGGTGCAGAATTTGATGATTCTCTAAAACACATTCACAAGAACAAAATACTAACAAAACAATATATAAATCTCTAAAATATTGCTAATGTGACTTATTTTAAACCATATTATGCACTAGAAGATTAATATTCTAGTAAAAAAATTCTTCATCCATGATAAATATACCATATATTATTCTTCAACTCACAATCGCTCCAATCCATTTGTTCTATCACTTTTTTCCTAACTAATACCTGGTCAACGAGGTTTAAAAAAAAAAGTTGCCCAGAAAGCTCTTGCTTCACGAGTAAAATAAAACTCTAAAAGTTCTGAAGTGAAAAAAATCTTTTAGTAGTGTCGTATGAAACGTCATTGTATGTGGACAATATCATGAGTAGATATGTTCTAATTCTATTAATCAAATTATAATCCTTGCCTTCTGTATCATTCCTCTGATGAATAAATTACTTTTTTCTTAATTCGATCCCATTTTCAGTTTTAAAAACTTATCTTGCTTGAAGATTGCCCAAAATCTGGAAAAGAGGTTGATTGATGACTGCTTTGTCTGGTAGAAACATAAATTTTTAGTTATAGAGATTCTGCTTGTTTCTTCCTGAATTAGATAATCATTAATCATGTTGGAGAATAGGTCCATTATACGCTTGTTAAAATTTAATTTCTCTAATTAATAATTTGTAATTGTTAATAAATAATTTACTAATTGTTATCTTACTCATTCATATTTTATTCAAGATAGCCTGAAAACTGGCCATTTATGTGATACTCTCTCAGATGTCGCTAATTTCATGCATAATTTGTTTTTAAAATATGAACCTATACCTCTTATCTCTCTATGATCTAAATTCTTATGGTCTTGAGTAACTTCATAATTGACAGTGCAATTGTTTAACCCAAGATATTTATGTGTGGATAGCATCTTCAATTTTATTTTGCTTTTAGGAAGCTGTCAATGACTTGAGGGAAAGACTCTACTATGCGCTTTCTCTTAAATCGCATCCATCTACAAATTATCAGCAACCACAACAGCCACAGCAGTATGTGCCTCAACAAACAATTGCTCAAACTAACAACCGTCGAGCATCCACACCTTATCAGGTGAATGATATTCCTTTTTAAACTCTTAGAATTTCAATTTTATAGTTTTTATGAACTGAAGTTAATTCTATATTAACTTCAAACTATTATAGATAGAACCATCAATCTTTTACAATTAGTTTTATTCCAACTTTATGTTGTCTTGTTCTTTTTTTCTTCTTTTTTTTTGTGATATAGGCCATCTGAGAACCACATGTATTTCATTATTTGTTGGCTTTCCTTTTAGCCCAAACTTTCTTCATTTTTGATTTATTTGTTTAAAAAATATTAATCATTAAACAAGTAATTTTTAATAGCCTATAATAGAACAGTCTGCAACAATAAGGAGGCAATTTTATTCTTAAAATGTATGTAAAGTTTTACAATTTTTTTTAAATAAATCTTTTTTTCTGTTGTTTTTAATATTAATTATTAAAACTTTGTTACAGAAAAAAAATCTCAAAATAGTGTATGAATGTTTATTATATACTTATATTTTTAGAAAGAAAGACCAATGCATTTACACATTTTATAAATTTGAAAAGCATCTGACAACATTTCAGGCTTATTCGTCCATCTTCAAGTCAAAATAGTTTGAATTGAACTAAATAGTCAAAATTGTTAGCCTGCTAGAGATTGTCTTAAATTAATTTTAGGTTTTGATAATTGACTATATTGGTAAAGGAAAACAAATAAGAGAAAGAGACTGTATTGACTTGAAAATGAACAAATAAGTAAGCATTGTCTGATATGAATATAATAAAATATAAAACGAATGCTGGAGATTATAGAGGCACCAGGAGTATCATAAAGCATGTAAATCTGAAGAATCTGAGAGGATTTTTCTATGTTTATATAATTGTAAACATTAGTTAAATGTACTAATTTACTTGTTAATATGGTTAGGTGGTTGACATGATTTTTTCCAAATTTGTTGACCAATCTTCATGACCTAACATCAACAAAACCTCTATTTAAGACTTAGGCGCCTTCTCTTCTCTGGTTTGCCCAAATTAAATCCAAATAAACTGATGAGCATTGATGACTTAGCAGTTTTACACCATATTAAACTCACAATCAAGAAAATATAAAAGTTTTATTTCTTCCTGAAAATATAATTATCGGAGATTTTTATTTATTGATTGATTTATCTAACATTTCATTAATTGATCATTTAATTGTTGGTAATAAAGATATGTTGTTTTTTTTTCTAATTAACAGAATCAGAACATTGTAAACTCACAGCCCTTGCCAGTGGGATCATTCGCGAAGCCTCCATTGCCTGTCAATTCTACAATATCACAAGCCCCAGTAGGGATGCCACCTGTTCAGCATTTACCACCCGCGCCTCAGCTGCCTGCTGCTCATCATATCCCGCCGTTGCCCAGTGCTCCCCTTTCTGCTGCTCCTCAGCCGTCTGCTCAGACCTTCCCTCCTAAATCTCAGGCTCCACCTCCACCACAAATGCCGTTTGCCAGGAGCACGCCATCTCCTCAAATTCAAGGTTTGTTAATTTTATTTACTACATTTGTTTATTTAATTTATACATATCTTATTATTAAGTAAACAAGATAGTTCAGTATGATTAATGATGATTGGTGAAATTCAATTAAAATAATGCATATTTATTTATTTTAATAAGTGTACATAATTACAGTCGACTCTTGATAACTCATAATCCTTTTCATAACAAGAGGAGAGAATGTTCTTAATTCAAGCTAGACTACTTCCTCTCTTTATAATTTGAAATTTTCTTAGTAATATTTTTTACATGTAAGCATATACACATTTTTAAAAATATAATATAAACGCTTAATAATTTGAGTCTCGATAATTTTTCTTGCAGTACCTTGGATTTCGAACTATCGAGAGTTGACTCTATTTAAAACTAAGACCTTTCTATGACAAAATTAATATGGGTAGTTACATTTACATTTTTCACTCCCATAAGAAGCAGAAATCGATAGTTGATATACAGTTTCGCGAGTATGATTTCAGCTTTGTTAGGTCTGTGGTTATAGGTAGTGGCTCGTTTTCATCCAATATTAAATTAACATTAGTATTCATTGAACAAATATTTTTTGAGGATCAAGCTTTGAGCCAGTCAATATACTGAATGTTTATTCCAAAAATTCAGTGCACTTTTAACAGTGCTAAATTTTAAATTCTCTTTTTTAAATTTTGATCTTATTTATTGATGTGAACCTCTTTTAATGTATCCAAATAAAAATAATACTAAGTGCATAATGCTAGAAATCCCAGTAGAATTCTACAGCTAAAAGGATCCTACTGCTATAAGACCTTCAGTCTTATACACTGTCATAGTATGGTGGCATTAGGCCAGTGAAAACAAACTCTGAGCCCTGCTCGCTAGATTACAAGGACTGTGTCCATTATGACAACTGTTACGTAAGTTATTTTCTACTCAACACTATTGCACATAGAAGTAGAAGCCTAAGATCTCATCATGAAGTACTTAATTACAAAATTAGAAACAAGAGCCTGATCCCTGATTTACCTGTACATCCACATTTCCATATACCTGGATGTATACCAGGAAAAAAAAGTGCTTTACTTTCTTTTTTCTTAGAGTAAAAATACTTAGTGCTTTTAAATGACATGACTTATGGTGATAAACCAGTGATGTATATGTTATTCTTTGATAACACCAACTGAAATGGGATGTACCATCATTTTTAATATGACACGGTACAAATGATTGGGTCTTTGAAATGAACAAGTGGACTGTATGAAATGAACTATAATTATATTTAAACATTAAATATAGATGGGGGTTTGGCGTATAATGGTTCTACAATCGTTTACTTGATGTGGCTGAGGTACGGTGGTGGTATCGGTGGTCGGCCGGCTGCAATACTTCTTCACCTCCATTTGTCCAGTAGGTCTCGGTGTTCTACTCCATGCCTCTTCCCATGGTAGAACAGCGTATGAATGATAGTCTTGAAGAGGGAAGAGAAATTGTCTTCTTCGTGTTAGTCGCCCATTTTTTCTCCTACTAATAGTTTTTGGTGCAGACAGCGCCACCGTCGCTGCAGTGTTACCTACTTCGCTGGTCTTTTACATGTACAAGGGGGGGGGAGTAACATCAATTTAAGGTGATCAACCCTAAACACCAACCATCATAAATTACCTATTTTCTAGAAATTTGACTATTTTCTAAAGAGTTGAGAGTTTGGGGGCGGGGTGGCCGAATAGGCTAAAGCGTGTGCAACAGCACCGCTAGCTAGTTGCCTGGCAACCGGATAACAGAGATTTGAGATGATATAAAAAGTACGAGTTCGCTTCCCGGTGCCGGAGGGGATTTTAAATTCCCCGTCCTCACCCCCCGGCCAGGGAAAATCCCGTATAGCCTAAAAGGCGAGGTAGGGAAGAACAAAACAAAAAAAAAAAAAAAAAGAGCTGAGAGTTTAAAACTGACATAGCAATACAATATGCATCTCAGAATATTATTTCTCTTTAGAAACTGAACTTCTATGAAATTATATGTCATACACTTCTTAATTGGAAGAATTACATAGAAAACAAATAATTTATTTTGATTAATTAATAAGGTTAAATTATGTTGGTACCTTAATTTAACAATGTTTTTATTTATTTTTAAAAAATTAATTTATTAAAATAAAACCACATTATTTAATTTGTAATTGTGAATTATTGTTACCTCAGGTCCTGCCACAACAACAAAGAAATATGTTGTCGATCCTTCCGTGACTGGTGGAAACTTTGGCAACTATGGAAGGAGCAGCAGTACCCTGCCTTATCCTCAGAATCAGTTCCCATCAAATCCAGGATTCCAGCCTTTCCAACCACCTGGTTCCTCGACTTCTCAACCATCTTACCAGAACCCTCCTTCAAATACTTTCCAGCCTCCCGCTTCTACTCCCACTTTCCAGCCTTTTAATCAGCCGCAGTTCCCTGCTGCCTCTTCTGGTTACCAGCAGTCCCCTTCTTCCACTTACCAACCTTCTAGTTTCCAGCAGGCTAATATTCTACAACCGAATCAACAAATCCTGAAGCCTCAAGGTGAGCATGCCATTAATATAACAAATTATTTAGAGTTAAGTTTCTTATAGCTATAACCAATTCTTCTCATGTTAAACCCATGGTAAAGATAATGCCTTATCAATAAAATAGGGCAACCTCATTTTGCTTTTATTAAAGCTGAATTACATTAATAGGACAATATTTTTTTTTATAAATAGTTTTCATTTATTACATTTATTATGGCTTTACAACTTTATAAATTATATTTTGGAATAAAGTTTTATTGAAAAAAAAAAATTAGCTTTGATGCATAGTTAATTCATTAAATGTACTAAAGAAATAACAAATAACTAATTATAATAACAAAATAAACTAAGAAAAATTTTGTTAAAAAACTTAGTATTGTAATATAGGATATATTTTTTTTTTTTTAAGGAATTTTCCCTTATTGTGTTTTTCTTTGACCTAAAAGTCATTTAGAATATTTTTCCAAAGCTTTCGATCCATTGCTTGATCTTCTCTGATCCCATACCCTTCCAATCTTTCTTTCATGTCTCCCATTTTACCTTTGGTCTATCTTTTTTACTTCTAGTCCAAACCACCTTAATTTTTTTTCTTCAGTATCTGTTAAAATATTCTTTTTCATTTCCATCAGTTCCCGAATTCTTTAATTTTTTAATCTTTGCCTTCTAAATTTTCTTGCTACCCATCTCCTTAGTCCGTTTTCACCACTAGTAATATTTTTTGGTATCTGGCATTAATTACCCATGTTTCCGAGGCATGTGTCGTTATAGGCTCAAATATAGATTTGTTATATTAGCCAACTGTGTACTAGGCTGTATATTAGGGCTCCAAAGGACACCGTTGAGTTGCACAGTGACTTTCCTACCTTCTCAGAATATAGCTTATGATACTTCTAAAAATAGGTACCATTAGCCTTCTAGACGAACAAAGGTTTTACTAGATGTGAGGTAGGGCTTCATCTTGATATGATTTCAGATTTAAATAAAATAATACTTATCTTTACTTATTTGCTTTTTCTTTCTGGGGTCTGGCAAGCTACTAAATGGTGAAAGAACTCCCACAAAGGCCAGCTAGGAGTTTTTTGGTTTCTCTGCAATTCAAAGATTCATCAAGACTACTAACATTATTTTCCCCGAGTTAATGTTTTTTTGGTGCCTCTCTGTACCAATTCCTTAAGATTCGAAAACTTATCTAAATGCTAGATCTTGTCCCTCTGTATTTCTGCTTCCTCTACAACCCACCGACTTTTGCATTTTCTCCTTTAAAGCTGCTTCTTTTCAAAAAAGACAAATAAAAAAATATAGTGGAATATACGTTCCTGGGATATGATTCCAGACAATAATCAGTTAATGATCCTTCTTCTTATCTGTAAATGAATGACGTGTGTGCTAATAATATTTTAGTATTCACTATTAATCTTTTGAACTTTTAGGCAATTGTATAAGTTATCTTATATTTAAATATTCTACTTATTATTGCATGTTGTAGCACCTCCACCTCCAACTGGACAAATCTTATCCGCTCAGAACGCAGCACCTTCAGGTTGGAATGATCCTCCTGCTCTCGCAGCAAAGTCGCAACCTGTAAGTCTATTCTAATAATGTTTCTTTAGTATGATCCTAAATAATGTATTCACGAGGATATAAATTAAAATGTTATTTAGAGCGTAAACCACTTTGAAAATCACGAATTTAGATGTGTTGCAGTGAGTGAGTATTATGAATTTTTGTTTAAAATAATAAGTTTAGATGAATTTGGCTTTTCATAGATTTTTCGTTTTGTTTTCTAAATGTTTATTCTTTCAAATAATAGTTTACAACTAAGGAATTACCACTGCTATAACACAGCTAAATTACAACTGTTTCTTCTAAAACTTCAGTATTTTATTCAATTCTGAGTTTTATTTAATTTTTCAGAAAGTTCTTATTTTTTTAAAATATTTGTATTCCTTTTTTTTAATATTTAATATTTATATTTATTGTGAAGCCTCCTATGATGAACAGCCATTATTACACAGTAAGTATTTCTAATTTCGATTGATTAATGCTTATAGCTTTCTTAGAGCATATTAAATTTAGCTAATTCATATATAATTTTCTTGTCAATCGCTTCCCAATCTTATTTAATTTTTTAAATGACTTATGCAAACACATAGAAGTTCTGCTTAATTCAGGATTGTTACCGACTTGAAAATTCCAGAATTACCAAAAAAGGTCAAGGAATTTTCAAGGTATGGAAAATACTGAGTCAGAGAAATTGGTTGAAAAACCTAGAAATTTGTCTGCCTTTAATCGCTGTTATTTTATAAATAGTATTGAATTCAATTATGTACCCATAACCATTGTAAAATGATAGTATAATAAATTATTAATTTAAAAAAGTTGTTTTTTCTGGAAAACTATTGAGAAAAAAAAATTGAAAATTTGATTACTTTACCTAATATAAGAACTTTACCACAAAAAATTTAAATTTGATCTCAAACCCAAAAGGAAACAGATACTATCGATAAAATATTAAAATCCCTATTCGAAAAAACTTTTTAAAGTTGGTGCTAATTCACTTTAATTAATTATCATTAATTGATTTTATAGTCCATTTAATGTTTTTTTTTAAATGATTCTATTGTTCTTCAAGAATAAATTTATTTTTATATGAAGGGAATAGTAATTATGTTGTATAAAATCAAAATGCCAATTATGTTTTTTCTTTTTTCTCTTCCTCGTGCCTGCTGTTAAATTTGATGATAAAAATGATTAATAATTTGAAAACTAATTTAATGATGTAGAGATGGTTGACTGTTGATATAATATGAGGAGTTGATCGGGGGGTGCGGTCAAATTAAAAATGAATTAAATAAGTAGAATTATTTAATTTTTGCCGACGTTTCGACCCACTTTGCAGCTCTTCATCAGGGCGTAGGATGTAGCACTGTGGGAAGCAGTGTTTCACTGGCAACAAACACTGGCAGTGTTTCAACTGCCACCCGCAGTGCTACATCCTACGTCCTGATGAAGACCTGCAAAGTGGGTCGAAACGTCGGCAAATATTAAATAATTCTACTCCCCTCCCCTTCCCGCCCGATCAACTCCTTCTCATAGAAAACTAATTTAGGTGCCACCAAGATGGAAAAATAACAGATATTTTCTATAGGTCTGTAATAATCCTGTTAATGACTTCAAACATCAGTTATTTATTTTCTATCCAGTTTTGTTATTGTGCGATTACCATTTTTATAGTACCTACCATGACGAGTTTTTCAAATAGCAGTTACTAACTCAACTACTTAAACTGTATCAAATAAGATAATCAGTCAAAATAAAGTTTTCAAATTTTTTCGATAAATCACACAATACAGAAAGGATTTCTGATTTCCATTTATTTTTTAATTTTAACTTTATTTAAATATTTTAAGAACACTTAAGTTTAATTAAATACTTTTTAAAAAAATAAAAAATTGTTTCGTCACCCATCCTTCTTTTTCTGTGGACTTTTGATCCTTCTAAAAGACAAGAAAAACACAATGAGTTGAGAACAAGTTAGGTCAATTATCAAAAATTTTGCTCAGTTTAGAGATGTATATGATGCTATCGATGAGTTTGGTCCTGCTTGATTATCGACCAAACTTGTTCTTGGGCCAATTACTTTTTTTATTGTTAGTAAATGGTTTTTAAATAGAAAATTAATTTAATTAAATTAAAAGTGTTATTAATGTTTTAAAAAAGGCAAATGACTGATTCAATATAGAATCTATAATATATTATTTATATATCTAGATGCTGAAGAGGGGGACAAAGTATCCCTGAAATTTCCAATTAAAAATTATTTTATAAAGTACAAATGTTTATTTGGATAGAAACCAAGTGGACCTTTGGATAGAAAATAATAGAAGTGAGGAGAAAATAATAAAAGAATTATTTATTATTATATTAAATTCATTTTGCATATATTTTTGTTAGATGTCTTCTAGTTATATCTTAGTATCAAACGCTATACCTGATGCTAGGATGTAATGATAATGAAGTAGACGTAAGTTGTTGTTGCAATTTGCTGAATGGTTTAATGTGTTATGGTGAGCCGGTGCCCGGGATGTCGGCGGTCCACTCCGGCGTGAAGATCCTCAAGTGCCACCTGCACCAGGTAGAGAGTGCCTGTTCGTGCTACAATCTCCTCAAACCTCTTCCCGTCCTCCCTCCTGCCTTCCTCATCGACTTCCAATCTGAATCCTCACTTTACCAGGTCTCCTTATCCCTATCCTTATCTCATATCATAGTTACTTTAAACAATTGGATACGTCCTTAAAAAAATAAATAAAAAGTTTAAATTTGTGCTGTGATTGAATTCAAGTGATAATGAACGTATATAACATTAAGATTAACTTTCTAAATAATGAAGAAAGGTTCATATTTAGCTGACAGCTTGAAATAACTGTGCTTCTAGCTTGAAGATGTGTACAATTGCCTTATACAATTCTCTCAAAGTTCCTCTTAGCCCTACGTTTACAAACATATATTTATAAGAGCTAATAAAATACGGTACTTCTTGTCTAGGGGGCCGGACTTAAACCTCACTTCTTATCTATCTTACCTAACGTCACGTCACATAACCTCCCTCTTCTTATCCCGCCAAACCTTTGAGTTATTGCATTGTTTAGTTTTCAGTTATTCCCTTATTACGTTCACTTATTAAATTCTTTACTTTTGGCCCGTTTTTGTTTATTTTTCATTATTTTTAATTTTTGGTCCGTTTGTGTTTATTTTACATTTTTTTTTTAGTTTTTGGCCCCTTTGTGTTTATTTTTCATTTTTTTCCGTTTATTTTCGTCATATTATGGATCTTCTTAGAATATGGAATTTGCCGCCTTCAGAAGAAAAGGCAATTCAATATTTTCAAAATGTTGGGGTACTTGCCGACGTGAAATTGTGTGAACAAGGTCATCGAATGAAGTTAACCAGGAAGGCCAAATGGTGATGCTTTCGTAGGACTTATGACACAAAGCTTTCAGTAAGGAAAGGAACATGGTTGGAGGGCTCGAGGATTTCGTTTTTAACACCTTTAAATTTGATTTATGGGTGGTCCCATAGCTTGACAACGATGAAGTGGGGCAAAGAGCAGCTGAAACTATCCTACGGAGCAATGGTAACTTGGAACAAATGTCTAAGAGAGGTTTGTGCCCATGACATGTTATGCAGGCCAAGAAAAAAAATTGGAGGACCTGGCAAAGTGGTTGAAGTAGACGAAAGTCTTTTTTCTAAACGAAAAAATCGTTTGGTGGAGTTTGCCGAGAAACAGATGAATGTTTAATCTTTTTATAAAACAGATTTTATGTTTTATATTTTTTTCTTTTCTATGTAAATATGTTCCTTTAAATGTGTTTTTTTTTTATTATTTCATTGTGATGTTTTATATGTACATATCTTCTTAAAGTGTTTTTTTATTATTTCATTAATATATTTGTCGTCAAATAAAAATATTTTTGTTGTTATTACATTTGTTTTTGTATCTGTGTACACTTTCAATAATACGAAGATTTGAAGTAGGAGAAGGCTTATCACTGCGTTATAGGAGTTATCAGTGTTCAGGTTATAAACACTGGCAGATAGCAGTCAGTAGCGGCCCCCTAGACAAGAAGTACCTAAAATACATTTTAAACTGAATATTTTTATCCAGATACAACGGATTGATAGAGGAAAATATGCCTAAGAAATTCCATGGAATTAGCAATATGCTAACAGATCATGACGTAGTTGTGTCTCAACTCTCATGACATAGCTCCTCCCCCACTACTTTTCTTTAACACTAAATATATATTCGAAAAATTCAGGACTTTTTGAACTTATATTGTTATAACTTGATCTTTATCAATAAATACAAATAAAAAATTAATGGATCTTTTAATCTTAAATGTGGACATATCTTTATTGAATTTCAAATATACTTGAGCGAACAAATTCAAATATTTTATATGCTTACACTTTTCATTATTAATAAAATTTATCAATCCTATCCTCATTTTTATAAATGGTAGACAATTAATGTTTGAAGGTGTTTTAATAAAGAAATGCTTTACCTCTGCTTTCTTTATATATATATATATATAATTTACAAAGTTGTAAAGTTGCATTTTTTTTTTTTTAAATGGAGTTAATCTTAAAGAAGAAACACCTAAAATCTCATTTTAGCCAAAAATGTTAGTTGCAACCTTTCAAACCAGGTCAACAATTTACAAATCTTTTTTTCTCTTTGATATATGAGCCTTTTAGTTGACAGAATGACTTACTCCAATTTCAAAATTTTTTTATTATTAATTTTAGTGATATTTCTAGTGGAAAAATGTATACCTTTATTCACAGTATATTTCAATGCGGCATTCACCTACTCTGGAGTCAACTTACTCACTGACTACAAATATTATAAATTTTCCAGCTAGAAATATCACTAAAATGACTTCTCTAAAATGTTGAAATTGGAATTAGTCATTCTGTCAATTGAAAGGCTCATATGATGTGGAGAGTCAATTATATTTATTACAAAAATGAAATAGTAATTTATAGGTCAGTAAAAAAATGAATTACACACAATTTTTTTTTTTTACTTGGTGTTAAATTTAAAAAAAAAAGCACCTCTTGAAAAATTCGAAATATCTATGATTTAAAATTAAAACATTCAAATAATCTAAGTTCCTGTTGTTTAGTCGGCCTCTAAACTTTTATACAGTTTGAGTAGCACCAACCAATGCTTGTATCTTTCTGTAGAAGTTCAATCACTATCACTATGAAAATGTTGATGTTTAAATTGAAGTCGAAGTCACTATTGAGATATTCGTGTTTGAATGCATTGATTCGGTGTAATATTTGGATAATGAATTTTTTTAGGAAGAAAAAAAGAAAGAAATAGGCTAAGTATATCGTTCAGTACTTGGCATATAACAATTTGATTTTGATTCATATTTCTGATCTCTTATTCCTGTTTCCTTTATTACTTCATCTTCCGTACCCGTTCCCTTTATTTCTCCTTTTTATTATTTTTTTTCTCAGTTCCATTGTTTATAGTTCTTGCAATGGTCAATTCAAAAGAAAACGGGTCTGCGATCTCATTGACCCATGGCATGCTAAATAACAAACATTAACGGTGTTAGAAGATTTGTACTGATGAGAACACTAATCGCACTAGGTTTAGTCTGCATGGACGAACCCACAAATATCTAATTCATTTTTTATTGTTTTATCTCTTTTGATTTGTTTTTGAGATTTTCAGAACATTTGTTTTCTGTCTTACTTTGGTTTCTACGCAGCCAGAGATTTTTTTTATTTGAATATGGAAATTTATATAAAATTTATTTTTTTATATTGACTAAATGAATAGTCCAACTTTTCAAAGCTCATATCAATGTTTTATTAAATCTTTTTTTCTTTTTTAGAAGAACTATTCTATTTAATTTTTATACTTATTACTTGTCCAAAAGAATGTAATATATAGAGGCTTTTCGTAGACCATAGAATATTACTAATTATTCGGGTTGGATATCTTATGACAGTCTCTGTTCGTGTCTTTTATTTAAGATCAAATATCAAGAAAACTGCAGCCTCTTATTCATCTTTGTTGAATGAAATCAATAATTTAAAAATTCAACAATAAAATGTATATGTAATATAATATGTACTTATAAAATTGCCTCACAAATTAATTGGATAGCTAACTATTTTTAACAGAAAAGAATATTGGAAATTAATTTTTATCTTAACACTATATTAATAATGAGTTTGAGATATATGTTAATATGACCTTTTTTGTTTATTTCGTGTTAGTGAACACATACGTAAAATAGTGCTATGCAATTACGAAACACCCTGGATATAAAATTTATTGTTGTATTTTAATGTTATTGATGTTATCCAAAAGAGATTAATTTGGTACTGGACACAGAAAGCTCTTTATGATACTTGATATAAAAGGAAATGTATGAACAAGGCTGTAATATGGTATCCAACATGAATAATTATATTTACAGTAACATATTTAGAATTATATTCAGATAGTGCAGTTAGTTTTTCATTGTAAATATGTAAATAAAAACATTATATCTGTATTTAATTTATAGGTATGAAAGACCATGTGTTTTACATATTTAAATCCCTTTTCAGCACTTGTAAAATGACATTTGAACAGTCATCAGTAAATTAGGGGGAACAGGTGGAGCATTTTATATGAGTAATAAGCATTCTTGAAAATTTTGGTAAATTTAAAGGAGAAAAAAATTACTAAAAATATAAACATCCATTTTTTTTTTTTTTTTTTTCAAAACCATGAATTGAAATAAATTTTCTATTTTATTAGTTGTATTTTTATGAGTTTTAAATTGAATATATAATATCAAAATTACATTCTACTGTATATAACTCGAATTCTTTTATTACAGTCATTTAAACGTAATTTTCTGAGAACTATATGGTAATTTGAACTCAATCATTGGTTACTGTTTTACAAAAAGACTACATTACCCCCATAGATTTTATTTCCTTCCCATTATAACATTTCGGCTTTAATATAGTTTCAAATATTCTTATAAAAAATAATAGTCATTGGTCTTGATACTCCAAAACTTCTGATAAAACGAACAAGAAAGAAAAAAAAAGTTAAATTTGACTAATAAGAGATGGAATGGAAATTACTGTATCTCAGTACGTATTACTGCAGTTGCTTTATGAGGTAGTGTCAAAATTGTATTTTGGTGGTCTCTAAATGGAAAACTTGTCAGTCATCCAGAAGTTAATAAATCTCTTTATAAGTGGTATTTGCATATAGATCACGATGGTGTCTCATTTCCGGGAATATATTAGCTAAAAAGTCTAAGTTTTTCTTTACTAATTTTTTTAAGAAGGATCACTGAGCAGATTTCAATGGCAGTAAGATTCCTTTGATAATTTCAAAATCAGATATAAAATAAGTATTTTATTTCACGAGAAAATTTCTCTTTTTCTTTTTCTTTTTTTTTTTTTTCCATTACAGACAAGTCTTAGAAAAGCTGTATAGGCATTTAATACTTGTAAGGAATTTGTAAGATCGGGCGTTTTCTTTAGCAACAAAATCAGAGACTCGACGTTCATCATTTTCAGAAATAATGTTTTTGTTTGCAATGTGTTATGTTTATACATGTATAATATATGTACTGATAATATACATGTATACTTTCTTTCACTTGTGCAATTTTTCCATAATTTTAAATTTAACCTTTGATAATCCAAACAGGCCATGCAATATACATGTTGGTATTATCAACTCCACCCTGTACTACTCCTACTCTATGGTAATAATATTAATACTATAAAGTTAATTTAATAATTACTACTATAGAGTAACATACTAAAAAAATAAATTAAATTGATTGTTACGACTTTTTTTTTTTAGAATATTTAAAAATGGTATTAAAACTGAAACATTGTAATATAGATAATATAAAATCTGTGAGAGTAATGTGTTTTTTTTTTTTTGTAAAACATAAATTGTTTATCATACTTATTTTTACTCCCACTAGTGCTTAATACCACTCATAATTAATCATTTTTTGAAGGCATGAGAATTATTTATCAATTGTTTTCTATTTTATTTTATTTAGAAAGCGGAACCAATATCCCAGAGCCCTATTACGCACCCTCTGTATGGATCTGCTCCACCACAACCAGCTCCCTTCCAGCCTCCACAGGCGTCCGGTTTCCAATCACAGCAGCCTAGCAATTTCCAACCGCAGCCACACCAACCATTAGGGTTCCAACAACAACAGCAGCAGCAGCAGCCTGGCAATTTCCAACAACAAAGTTTCCAGCCTCCAGCTCAATCATTCCAGCCGCCTCCATCACAGTACATGGGGCAGCAGCCCATACAGGTGGGTCCATGAACAAGGAAACATAGTAACTTACGGAATATTATTATTGTATTCATGAGAAGAAAACAATTAAAATAAAATTCTTGTATCTTCAAAAGCAATCTTATTTAGTAGTCTTTATTTTATATTTAATTTTTTAATTTTAGCACATAAAGTTTATGATTTGAGTCATTTATTTACGAAGTGTCCGTAATCATCATTGATGAATTTTTCAGCCCAACCGAAATATAAATTAAAAAATTTAGAGAAAAAGAATAGTCTATTATTATATATAAAATGTAGGTAACTAATTAACATATTGTTTACAATAAAATTCATTCATTTTTAGTTTTCATTTCAGTAAAACGGTTAACAAAGATTTTGATGAAGTATTTAGGTTCGTTTTTGAAAAAAAAAAATTGCACCATTGGATTCATTGGAGGTTTTTACATGAGAATCTATACATATCTCTATCAAGATTCGATCCAGAATCGAGATTATTTCCAGAATAATCTATTGGCTTCACTTTAGAAATAACTGCTTCATTTTATTTTATAATTTTTTCTAGTGCAATTCTAGGATATAAAGATTAGATAATAATTTTTTGTATTGAGAGATCTATAATTTATTCTCGCCTATTAATCCTTTAACTGACATATAACAATGGCTAACAGGTGTTACCATATTCAGAAAAATGTATTACTTAACAGTCAGGACAAAAAAAAATATATTAAAATTCAATTTATCTTAAAATCATCCTAGTTTTTTTTATGTATTTTAATGACTTACATATCAAAATATCCTTTCCATCACTATAACTCACTGGTGAGTCAAATCTCCCGCCACATCAACCGCCAGTCCTCTTGGTTTGCTGCCACTCTATCTGCCCTCCGCAGTCTCAGCCTGCCAATTATCCTCATGCCGTATAGCTTTTCTTGCAAAAGTCTCTTTATAACATCATCATTCTTCATTCGGGGAACATAGCCTGTCCAAATATGAGAGAGAAAAAAAAACCTATGTAAAGCTAAAGATGATGTTTTAAGTTATTTCTTGAAAAACCAAATGGAAGCAAACTGCTTTAACTGGTTGGAAACATTAAGGAAAGTTACATGGCAACTGCTCACTGGAAATTCAACAAACACATGTTTAACCTCAAGGTGACAGGATGACCTATCTGTTGATTCTATCTCATTAGAATTATTTGTTATCGTATTTATAATACGAGTATGCTTGAAATATTCTCATTTTTTAAATAATATTTTATCATTAGATTTATTTTAATCAATAGATTGAAATATTTGTAGAGTAAAAATATAAAATTGTTAACTTTTTCTGTTTTATTTTCAAAAAGAGTGATAAATATTATCAATTAGATATTAGTAAAATGGACAAAATAAATTTGGTGATTTCATACTTCTTACTATTGATATAATTTTCACAGTATTCTAAGATGCTGTTTAAGTTTTAATGCATGAAATAGTATTGTTTATGAATTCAATGTAGCCTTTGAAATTGTTTCACTCCAAGCACTCCGTTCTTCCCACTCCCATTCATCGTTCAATAAGCGGTATTCGTCGATGGCTGCCTCAGAAGTTGATATATCAACATTCTATTTCTTAGCTAATAATATTTCATTTGTATTGTAGATAATGTTATTTACGGAGATGTTAAGAATGATGTTTTACCTTTTGCAGACTATGGGTGGAGGTTACGGAGACCCACCAGCTGCTGTTGCACCAGCCAGGGCCCCAGAACCGGTCAAGCATAAGCCTCCTCTTCCTGAGAGGTACACACACATACAGAGGACCCTGGATGATCTGAGGACAAAATGTGTCCAAGCAGCACAATCGAACCCGGTTCGAATTTGATTTAATATCTTTTTTTTTTTTAACCATTAATTTCAACGATTTCTTTTATTATCTTAATTTACCTAATTAGAGTTATTTATTAATAATGATCTCATTCTTCAAAATTATTCTTTGTGATTTATTTGCATTTCAGTTAATAATTTATTAATTTCATTTATAGATGATGAAAAGAAAACTTGATGATGTGGGAAAGAAGTTAGAAGCCCTCTATGATAGCTTAAGAGAAGAAAAGGTAAACCGTTTAATTATTGTTTACAAATAAATTGTATATTTAGCTGTGTATTGCAAAATAAAAAACTAAAATATTTTTTGAGGATACTAAAATATTGTAGGTGAAATGGTTGACTGTCGTGAATAATGAAGAGAAGGATAGTTGGGGTGATCAGTCAAATAAGAACGCAAAAATAAATGAGAATATTTATTTTGACATTTGCCGACGTTTCGACCTGAAGTTCAGGCCTTCATCAGGGCTAAGAAAAGAACCAGATAACAGGGTATGAGAAACATAAACAATGTAGGTAAAAAAAAATTAAAGTAAAATGAAGTTGTTAGAATAATGACAATAGTGATTAAAATACAGGTGACTATTGTCATTATTCTAACAACTTCATTTTACTTTAATTTTTTTTTTACCTACACTACTTACGTTTCTCATACCCTGTTATCTGCTTCTTTTCTTAGCCCTGATGAAGGCCTGAACTTCAGGTCGAAACGTCGGCAAATGTCAAAATAAATATTATCATTTATTTTTGCCTTCTTTAAAATATTATATATGAAAAATCAAAGACAAAAAGTTTAACAAAACTAAAATTATATTATTTAAGATATTTGCCAGGAATTTTACAGCATTTTTTTTTTTTTCTTTAATCAACAAACAGGAAACTGACTTCCTTTAAGATATCTTTAATATTTTATTTATTTAAAATAATTAACCCGCTCTTACAGAAATCTTGATAATTCATAATAAACCTTTGATTCCATGGCATTACAATTTATTGGGATTGTACTGTATATGTATGTTATAATATCCACTTTTGGGACAAAAAGCAAGATTGATTCACTCTACTCATTCCAACCTTCTCATTTAATAAAATTATGGTATTTCTTGTATTTTGTTAATTTCCTAATTTTTAATTGTTCTAACAATTATCTCATTTGTTACAATCAGCTGTCAGATTCTACGATACGAGGCCTACAAGACCTGACGAAATGTATAGAGACAGTGGACTACAACTCTGGAATGGGTGAAATCACTCGCTTGGCGTCAGGCGTCGACTTCACCCAAGTGGCCACCTTCATGACCGGGCTCAAGATACTTGTACAGGCTGCCCACCAGCTCAGGGTCAATTAGCTCTACTGTCAATCTTTATTTATATTTTTTAATGAAATTATAAAAGAGTATATAGACTGTATAAAGTTTAGAAACAATGTTATATTGTTTTGTATGGAATTTTAAAATAAAATTTTAAATAAAAAAAATTAAAAAGATATAAAGAAAAAAAATATATATATATATAAAATTATATTATTGTGTTGTTTATGTAAATATAACATTAAATAAAAAGGGTAAATACTGCAGATAGTGTTAGAATTTGTGCAATCATTGTATTTTATTACCTGCATTTGTATTGTTATTTTTGTTAAGTATTAATTGATCACAGTATTTTTTTCTCCTGTTTTAAGATTTGCTTTATGAAAACAATTTATCCTTGTGCTTAAGTGGTATAATATCTAAACCTGTAACATTGTTAATAATACATTTTATCTAATTTTTAATCTTTTTTTTTTTTATTATACAAGAACATCAATATGTTCTTCTAATGTGTGTTACTTGTATGTAATAAGTGAACTACCTTCATTAGAGTGTTAGTTTTATAAACTTATTATGGAGACAGTGGAATAAGTTAGGGCAGCATTTAAGTTGGAAGCCAATGTTAGTTCAATCTCAAAGACTGACTTTGTATTTCATGGACTGACATTCACATTCTGTCTGTAGCAGTTTAGTAATCTGTAGGATAATTTGTTTTCTGCTATAGTTGAAAAAATCAACTAATCATTCTAGACAATTTTCATATTGGTCAGAGTTATGCCTTTTTAATATTCCTCAAAATTTTCAACTAAGCTGTTATTTTTCCACTTGAAAAATAGGCAAAATTTAGAAAAATTTAATATCTGTAGCTTTCTGAAAAAATGTTTATTTTCTTGGGTAACAAATTTATAAACTGTTATTTCCTGTTGTTGGCCAACTTTTAATTATTTCCTTTTAGAAAATTCAAAGGGCGTCTACCTTCTAATTTTCAAAAACTTAACAAATAGATAAGCACGAGTTGACAGAAGTTCAAGTGTGATATTCTTATGCAGGTTGAATGTTGTCTGATAGGAAATAAATGAGCAGACTTAAGAGAATATTGTTCTTATTTTGATCAGAACAGTTGTAAGAACTAATTGTACACTGATATAAAGTATGAATCTCTATAAAATACTTAGTTGAATCTGCGCACCCTGAGCGATCGACTAAAGAGAAATGAGCATGGAGATAAACGTGACAAAGACAAAGAAAATAAGTGTCAGAAGGAGGACCGATCAGGGAGATCGTCATTATATTGGATGGAATACAAATTGGACAGGTAAGTGACTTCAAATGTGTGGGAGTTCATTTGAATGAGAATAACTGGGTGGATGAAGAGATAAGAGAGAGGACTGAGGCTGCCAGAAAGTGTTTTAATGCCATTATAAATGATTTTTTTGGAAGGGGGAGAAAAGGGGTCCCCAGGATACAGAAGTAGCAGTCTTCAAAAATACTTCCTTTCAATCTTGACTTACTGTAGTAAGTGTTGGACCCTAACAAGAGCCAACTCCAAGTAATGGAGATGCACTACCTCAATAAGGTTGAGAGTAGGACAAGGAGAGACCGAGTGAGGAACACCTTTGTCTTGGGTCGAGATGTCACTCGTTCAACATTTATGTACTTAGGACTTCTCGAACCTTCAGATCTTTGATTTTTGAAACTTCAGAGTACCATTTAATTAACTATTCAAGATGGAGAAAATTACCCTCTCTTATTTCAGAATAAATAGGATAAAAGTATGATCAAAAGAAACTTGTATCAGTTTTTTATAATTTTGTAAGTTCTGTTTTCCCTCAGTCAGTTATCTTTTCCAGCTTTAACTGTTTCGAATTGTGCTAAGACGTCTCTGAATCTGACGCTTAATTTTTTATTGTCATTCGTACGGCCACATCAAACTGGTTAGATATTTAAAGATTTATTTTTTTAACTTATCTAGTTAGAACTTGTTGAATATCTTAATAGTTTGTTTTAAAATATACGAATGCACTCCGTGAATAAAAGAGAAAAATGTGAGAGGTATTTGTGCGTTTGTTATTCCTTTACCCAATTTTATCAGAAATTGAATTAGTGTTATGGTCACCTATATTTTAACTAAGGATGAATTAGTTAACTTTTGGATATCACTCATCGAATATCGCACAAAAATTTATTCTTAATATATTTAATATCTGGAGGGACAAGCCAGACTTAAGAGTTCTTTTGCCCAATTGTAAATATTGCGCATAGGTATGTATGTGTGTTTTGTTTAATTTAACTCTTTTCACAGAAATTGTAAATCAAATAAAGAATTATCAGATGTGAAGAAAAAAAGATAAAACGATGTAAAAGTAAAGTTGTTTGGGAGTTCAGATTATTGCAATTTGTGTGCAAATATTGGCAAAAAAGATTTACTCACAGAATGTTGAAAAGGTAGATCCTCGGGTCCTGGCTTTTTAAAAAACGCTATCTTAATCTGAACTCAGTGTTCTGAAATAGCCAAGTTAGGAACATCCTCTAGTGACTAGAAACCTACATTATATTCTACAAAGCAATGGATCAAATAATTTGATAGTAATCAAATTATTATGGTTGAGAATAATCATATGAATAAAAAAAATCAATGGAATCTGCATCATTCTAAATTCATATGTCCAATTGAACAAATTCAGATAGTGCTGTATTAAAATAATATAAAACATCAAATTTATTATGTTAAAGAGTTATCAAAGATGTTTTTTAAATAATCGATAATTACAATATTATCATTTAGGTATTACAACATGAGTGGTTTGGCCACGTTTGTCGGATGGAGGAGGAGAGAGATCCGCGGAAGATTCTGGAAGCTCAACCCACTGGGAGGAGAGGCGAGGGGCCACCCCAGAATTTCCTGTCAGGAGTATATGCAGCGGATTAGAGAGAAGAGAGACAAAACCCTCCAGGAAATGAGGCGGCTTAGTAGGGACCGAGAGGCATGGCTGCATTGGATTGAGGCTCCTCGACGCTAGTAATGGCACGAAGAGGAAGATAAAGAAAGAAGTATTACAACATGCTCATCCTAGCTTACTCTTCTGATTCATGGATCCTTACTTCAAAATATATGGGGTACATCCAGACAATGGAGATGAGATAGCTATGAAAGATAGAATCTGCCACACAACAATAAGGTCAAACCTTAAAGGACAGCCGGTAGAAACCACTTTAAAAGAGAATGAACTAACATGGTTTGGGCACTTCCTAAGGATGGGTATGAAAAGAACAGCCAGGATAACATATAAGAACAGGACAACATATGAGAAAGTGTTCGGGAAGCAAGGACTGAACTGGTAAAGGAAAGGGAAACTTGGTTCAAGCTCTATAGAGGGTTTCCCCACACTGAGAAGTGGTAGAGAGGTAAAGGATTATGATGATGATAACAATATTGAATTACCTATTGGAACTGTTTATAATAGAAGTGTTATCTTAAAATGTTAAGCAAAAATGCTAGCAACATCTGTTAACAACAAAATTTTATTACATTTTCCAAATGTAGTACAGATTTAGATATGATACAAAAATATATTATTATATTTCTTTTTATTTATATGAATTAAATTAATTATAATGTTTTAAAAAGCAAAACAAAAAATAATGGACATAAATACTTAACAATAAACTTATGCACATTTTTGTTTTATATTAAATTAATTGGAATAGATTAATTTAACTGATAAATTCATATAACATTTGTTACAATATGTACAGTTTTAAAATTGTGCTACATAATTAATGCTTTTTTAAAAGCTTGTGCCTTTCATGACACAGTTTTTTCAATTCTTTACAAAGATTTTCACTCCTCGAGTTACTACTGCTCCTGTCCATGTTAAAATCTGAAATTGACGACTCTATCATATCCTTCATTCTGTAAATAATATAAACATATTGCATTAGTATTATAATATAAACATATTTCATTAGTATAAATTAGCTTGTAATAAAAATATAATTCTACTGTTAACATTAAGAGGACTCAGTGTTTAAATCACCTTGTTTCTAATGAAGCCATGAAAGTCTTATAAGATTCAGATATATTGTCCAAATTGGAAATCATAACCTGCAGGCTCTGTCTTGCTTCTTCCCATTTTTTATTCATTTCTTCTATTCCCGAACTTGTAAAGGATTCGATTGTCTTCACAATTTTTTCCTGAGACTTTATTCTAAAAAGAAGTATTATAGCACTCACAATAATTATTTTCTTAATATCTAGATACAGATTACATTATTTTCACATACATAAAAGCACCTAAAGGGAACTTGAAAATATGGTGTTTTTTTTCTGCTTTCATTACAGATCTAATAGATCTTTTGCCGCCTTAACAAGCCTATTCTATCTCTACCTATCTTGGACTATTTCTTTCCAGAGTATTATTTTATAAAAAAAAAAAAAAATTAATTAGAAAAATATTAAAAATTCTATTGATCATCTATTAGAATAGATATATCAGTTACGTTTCAGCAACTGCAGTGATCATTGAAACTGGCAGATCTACATGGAAGGAGGAGAGATATGGGTCTGAAGCCTCTCACCCAAAATGGAAATTTTTTTTCTCATTTTTCAAATTAGTTATTGTGAGTGACCTAAGCTAAACAATTAAACAATCATAATAAGTTTTATTTTTTTTTAAATTATAACACAAAGAAAAGTCTGTACCACTACAACCCATGAAGGGTCTTAAGTTCAGTACATTGTTAGCATGTAGTGTTTCAAGGCCAACGATTGTGCAGGGAGATGACCGGGCTGGAATTATACTCCACCACCATTTTTTTTCTCCTCTTAATTACTTAAGAATACCCACTTTATCAAGGCTAGGTGTTTCCCAGGAGGGTCTCCTGGTCCCAAGATTGATCCACAGCTGATTAACCAGCAAACAAATAATTACTGCTGGGTTCAAACCTGGGACCTAGAGCTTAACAGCTAAGTGCCTAACTTACTGAGCTAATATTACAGTACAGTTACTAAATATAACCATGCCATATTAAAAAATTATCTCAAAAATTATTATTGTTCGTTTAATAAGACTTCAAAAATCAATTGCTACAAGGTAGTTAGATTTTTTCTTTTTCTTCCAAAGTAATTATCGTTACATATATTAAATAAAGAAGCTTTTATTGACAGCCCCTCAAAATTAAATCCTGAATCTGCTATTGATCGTTGATAATTATTAATATGAGATCATTCATTGGTCTAATGCTCATACAAAAATATAACTATAAGTTATATGAAATGAAGGTGCTAGAAGTGTCCAATATTTTTTTATAGCAAAAGGTATTCTACATGAAGGCATATACTGAAGTGAAAAATATGGTGAAATTTCAGCCACCCCATTAACACTCATTTGTTATTGTCAACTATAAATGTTTCTTCTTTTGTCATTTATAAATAAAAAAAAAAAGGTTCAGAGGCCATTGGGACAGAGATCGTTGTTGAACAAATCTCGACCTTCGATAGTCGAACGAATCTCTGGTTAGAAAAAATATTTCAATAACCTTAAAAAATATATATACAGATTGATACAGACAATATATATATATATATATATATATATATATATATATATATATATATATATATATATATATATACTGTTGTGACATAAATGTAACTGGTGTGCTTATTCTATAAAAACTGTAAATATAAATTTATTATTTTAAGTTCTGTTGTTTTTGTTTTTAAGTTCTAGTTTTAAATACATATCTAATTTGTTCCATATTATCTCTGTTATATATATTTAGTGAAATACTTTAGAGATGATAATTATTAGTTAATTGAAAAACAAAATTAATAATATGACTACTTGGACTCCTTTAAAAGTAATAATAAATAAACTACTCACTTAGGATTTTTTCTTTTCACACTTAATGATAAGCATTCAATGTTTTTAATGACTGATTCCAGAAATTCAATCTAAAATCAGGAAAAAATTATTATTTCTAGTGGAAATATTTAATTAGACATAAAAGAAAAAAAATTGTATTGTTACCTCCTCACCGACCTGTCTGGTTGAATCACCTATTTAAAAATTAAAAATGATAGTTTAGTAATTATTAACAATCTTCTTTTATATATTAATTAACATGTTTGTATCATTTTTAATTAATATTAGAAATAAGATAACTTTAAAATTCAAGAAAGGTAGGAAAATACCACCAGAGAAGTACAATATTATTATAAAGTGGTGTTTTAAACTTTCTAATCAATCTTAGCATCACATATATTCAGAAATACAAACCAAAATCACTATTTAAAACGTAATATTGTTAACGTGAATGTGTAATAAAGATTGAATGGTAAATCCAGTGTATAAAATAAGGAACACTGAGTTTATTTCATCTTCTGAATTAATTCAGTTTTCACTTATGTATTGGCTTTATTTTTTAACGTAGCTTCTGATTAATGAATGAGTGAAAAGATTCACATTACTGTGAGCAAAAACTATTTGTTTGGTTAGAAAAGGGGGCCTTGCATAAGAATACTTTGAAAGTATAAATTATAGGAGGTAAAGAGTTTTATATGCCTTGGTCATGATATAAATTTCAGACATAACAAAATGCTGGAAATAGTTTTATTTATTTATTTTATGACAGTCAAAGCACTTAAGAATTAATTGTAATAAAATTTAACAATAAAAGAAAATATCAAACAAGGCCTCCAATTTCGGTAATTCCACTTCATTATTTTTTTTTCGGTTCTACATTAAACCAGTCGCTTAAATTAAAATTAAATTGTTAACAATAAGCGAAGATGATAAATATATTTGGTTTATTCAGCTTTCCGACGTTTCTATCCAAATATGTACGTCATCATTAGAGCTAAAAATTAAAAATTGATAATTTTTAAACCATTACTATGCTGTTACAAAAATCCTTGTGCATAAGTATAGCTTTATTTCATATTACATATTTTAAAAATATGTATAGATAGAAAGGCAAATAAGAGGACGACCAAGGAAGGAATGGTTGCAGGATGTGGAGGAAGGCATGGCTGCCACAGGACTTCGAGAGGTAGACTGGCTAGATCGAAAGAAGTGAAAGTCTTTTGGTTATGACATAGTTGTAAAAAAATCGTTAATAATAAAAATCATACTTTAAACATTATTGAAATTACTCTTCAAAGTAAAGTCATTGTTTTCAACTACTTTCACCCATATTTCTGCCAGTAATTGGATTTGATGGCCATACCACTCTTTTTAAGTGGTTTTGAGGCAAAGAACTCTTCACATCCAATTTTTATGTCCTAGTAATTATCAAAGATCTGACGTTTTAAAAATTTGCCATTGATCTAAACAAACCATAATTTGATGGTACAATATCTGGGCTATACTTAAGATGAGGCAAAATGTTTACTGCTTGCAATTCCGATAATTTTTCCTTGTTCAAACAAGAAGGATAAGCAGGGGTGTAGTCGTGTTGCAAAATGACTTGGTCCCTGTTGACCAAAGTGGGATACTTTGCACTCAAAACTGCATAAACTCTGTCTAACTATTCATAGCAATGGTTTGACTCCACTGCCCGACTATCAGGAACAAGCTCAAAATGCCTTTGAAATTCTATCAAACACTAGGCATGACTTTTTCCAAAACTGATGTTGGCGAAGCTTCAGTTGTGCTGATTCATCTGGCCATACCCACTGCTTATGTTTGCTAGGATTTTTTAAAAACATTCACTTTTCATCGCTTGTGATCCTTTTTTTCCAAAACCTGTCATCTTTCAAAATTTTGCAAATACCAACTTGTTGCTGGGCTTGAGATGCCTCTGTCAAGTTATTTGGGTCAGACCTTGGTCTTAAATTCTTTAAGCCCAGATTTTTAAGATGGCAAGCCACTGTAGTAATAGAAGACCTTACTATGGCCCACATATTATGATTGGTGGCATGCAGGTTCTGGTTCACACTTTCAAGACAAACGTCATCATCAATCACCAATGGGCGATCTGATGTGAGTTCATCTACAAGACTCATACTCCCATTGTTGAAATGCCTGAATATGTGGCAGTATTTCGATGAACAACTGACTCACCTTCTGTTGTATCTCTAATAGTTAGAAGGGTAGAAGTTTAATAACAAAATCAACATATAAGAACACATTGCACTTCATTTACGTTTTATTATTCATTTCTTTGCATTATTTATTGTACTATTCATCTTTTTTTTTCTTCTTTTTCTTTTTTGTGTACTATTTTTATATTACTATTTTCTCATGTGTACTACTTATATTTTTCTCTAGGCTTATTTAAGTAATTCTTAATTATCTTCTTACTTTTTATTCTTATCTTATATTTTTTATGTAATTTTTAATTTTTAGCTCTGCAGATGACAGACATACTTGGGTTGTAATGTTGACAAAATAAATAAAACAAATAGAGATTTATAATCCTGACTATTTATCACCCTGCTAATTTAAATTTAAAAACAATCAACAAAAATGTCCATCTCTAAATTTAGGTATAAAACACTATGCGACCCAGTACATGTCATTTGACCCAGAGCCTTCTTCTTGTATAATAAAAATTTGTTCTCAAAGTTTGTGAGATAAATAACAAAAAAAAAGTTTAATATGTTTTGTAGAAATTATTTTAGATTAAATAAAATCCCTAAAGAGGTACTGCGTTTTTGTGTCGATAAATAAGTTCGAAATTCATAAAAATGTACTTAAACCTTTAGCTATATCAAAAATGTACTTGGTGACTTTTTTTAATGAATGAACATTTTCATTGATATATAAAGAAAAATAATACATAATCAATAATGATACTGCAAGGAATACATGATATAAATGTTTACCTTTTATGACCAATTCAGTTGGAGCATTAAGAGAATCTGAACTTCCTCGGAATGAAGGTATACCTGCTTCACTCGACGATAGCCATATCGGTGGTTCGACCAATTCCAATTGACTTAAATCGCTCTTATTCTCTTCAACAGGTACTTCACAAAGCTTCATCTCGCTCTCTAAATCCTCTTGGCGCACAGCATCTGTCTCCTCCCTATTCTCATTCATACTCCAAACAAACCTAGATACTTTCTCTGAAACAGACAATCTCTCATCAGGAAGAGAGAGAACCGCTTTTGCTGGAGGTGTTTTATGTTTCAGCGAACTCTTCTTTTTAGGAGCAATAACCTCATTTTGAAAAACGTCACTTTCTTCAGAAGAAAGTTCTTTGTACTGCTTCTTAGCCCTCGTTCGCAATGATTTCCGTCTTTGTGTTGTTTTTCCATTGTCTATCTTACCAACAGAGGATAGGCTACTTTCTGTAAAATTGTAAATATTTGCTAATGACTGGGGACATTGAGATGTACTCTTCTTTTTTATATTTTCATCTGTAGTATTCGAATTCTCTTTTCGCTTTCTTTTATAAGTTTTTGGTGGAGCATTATCCTTGAATAAAATATCAGATGTACGTATACTGTCCTCACCTGGTTTAAAGGGACTCAATTCTTCCAGGGAAGAATTCGGTGTGAAAAGTTTTCTCTTTCTCCCAGATTTCTCCTTTTGAGTAATTTCCTTTCCATTCTTGTTTCTCCCTTTTCGTTTTATAAGGTCTTCAAATGTCTGCTCAGGTGATGGTGTTTTTTTGACAACAGTGGGCTTAGTGCTATAAGTTTTCTTTGGGATAGCGACGCAATGAATTGATGGAAGGGAAGATATTGTCGTGTTCTGCCCTGAACTAATAGCATCCCAAGCTCCACTAGATCCCTTACTGCTTCTTTTATTTGGTAATGTTTTCTTTTTCATTTTTGTATCATTTGTATCTTTTTTTGGATCAATTCCTTCATCGTTATATAGTATATTGTGTAAAGGACTTTCTTTTTTCGAAAAATTGCGAAAAGTTGATGCACCTGTAAGACATTCTTGATCTGAATCGCTTCTATTAATATTCATTTGGTTATTTTCAATAAGGGAAGAATGATTTATCTTATTTTTATTGTTATCTCCCTCTTCAATATCCTGATGCTTATCTTCATTGGTTTCTTCTCCTATTATATTTGAATCATTTGAATAACTAAGTTGCCTTAATCTACCATCATAACCAAAATTATTTTCATTTGTACCTTTCCCCTCAACTTCACTAATAACAATTATTTCATCATTGATTTTAGATTTAATTTCTGTTGTTCTCTTCCAAACAGAGTTTTCAATGTCAGTTGCATGATTTGTCTTTTCATTATTTTGAGAAATATTTGACATATCTAAAGTTCTGATATGTTTAAATTCAGCTAAATCAGAATTTGTCTTATCTGATTTTCTTTTCAGTGCATTTGTTAGATCTTCATTTGTATTTAAAAATTTATTTGATTTCTCGATAGATGAAAACGAAAAACTGTTTTGCAATACCGGGGTTAGTTCATTATTCATTAAACTACCAACATTAAGGGTGGGTGGTTTTAGTTTGAATACTGACTTACTGTATTCTGAATTTTGTGAAATATTTTTTCCAGGATTGACGGCTAGATCATCTTCCTGAATTTGACCACTTTGACTGGATATTGAACTATTTCTCGAATTGAATAATTTGAAATATGGAGAATGCGGGACGGTTTTTTTATTAAACGATGAGTTATTATTCCAAATGCTTTCATGAAACTCTGTACTTAGGTTATTTTCTGGATTGACTATTTTTTCAAAGTTTTGTAGAGACATTAATTTGTTTTCCTCAGGATTCAATAAATTTATTCCTTTACGGCTAGATTTACTAGAAATTTCATCAGATGTACTAATTACGGATGAGCTGGAATGACTTATTTCATTTGTGCCTTGATTTACATTTAGTATATTATGTTCCTTGCCATGAGACGCCTCTTCATCATTGTCATTGTTAATAATTTTATTAGCATTTATTGCATCGGCTTTTTTCAAGCCATTGTCTTCTCCTGTGGATGCATTTTTTAATATTCCTAATTTTAATGGTTTATAGGATGACCGTGGAAGTTTTTTAAGGTCAAAGCTTGGTCCAGCAACAATTGGGATTTGTTCTTTAGCAGAAAACGCAAATTTATTGGCATTCAAATCTTTACCAGCACCTCTGTAACTGATATTGTCGATTTGTTTGTCGCTTTCTTTTTTTAAACACGCTTCCATCATTTTCTTGAACAAACCATCTTCTTTTTTATCGTCCCCTACGACAATTCCTTTAACCAAAGATGACTTAGCTGTTGCCTCCTGAAATTTCTGTTGCATGCCATGATTAAATACTCCTCCACTGAAAGTTGGTGTCGAATTAAGTTTCACACATTTACTTGATCTGGGGCAAATGTTTTCAATCCCACATTTCTGAAAAACATTTGAAAGTAATTTTATTTTTGATACAGAAGAAGAAGATCAAAATTAAATTTTATTCTGGGACATTTAATCCCCTCAGAGTAATAATGAACATTGGAAGTGTCATTTATTTGGTGTAAAATGACAAAAAATAATTATAGACCAATAAATAATAAATTTTAAAAGTTTTAACCTTTCAGTGCCTAGAGTATCATGTCTGATTGACAAGTTGATCAAGATACCACATCGATAATACTGTAGATATAATTCCCAAAGTAACCTAGTTTTCACAACTATATCCACAGGTGGGCTTGTTAAACTCGCTCAAAGGATAAACAACTCAAAACTGGTCCTTTTCAGTTGAGATCGGGACCTTACCAGAGATTGAACCTCTTCACTTGCTTTCAGAAACACTCAACTAATGTACAGCGTGATCAATGTGATTTTGGTCCACCTGTCTATCTGACATGACACTTATGAACTAGTATCATTCTTTGTTACCAAATTTCCTTTTTACTCTTTATAGTAAATTTCAACAAATGATCATTGCAGCTTTGACTTGGAGTTATGAAAAAATATCTTCATTTCTCTTTAATCTAAATATTTTCTTGTTCGAATCAAACTCTAATTTTTTTTTTTCACTAACTTTAAATCCATTATAAAATTTTAAATTTGAATTCAACTATCACATCAAAATTCTACTACAGATTAGTACTTCTACTTCTTCAAAAATACCATAAAAACTATATGACTGCTGTTTAATACATCTCAATAACAATTAAAGCCTTTATGTAGGAAAGCAATATTATAATGTGATGAAATATCAAAATTATATGTTTACTGTTTATTTTTTGTCAAATATGACTATTACTTGCAAAATTATTTTTAGTTTTTATATTATAATTCTAAATATTTACAAAATATTACTAATCACAAACCGTGTGCAAAGAGTGGTCATTCTGGCATTTTAAACTGTCCTTAGGTGTTGATGTCGAAAATGTCTGCCTGCTATTCTTCAAAGAAAGAGGAGACCTTAATTTTCCTGAAAAAAAGAAGTCTTCATAACAATTTCATGACTGACAACAGTTATTTAAATGTTATTCATAATATATAATTCATAATAAAATATTAAATTGCATAAAAATGATGAATTATTTTACTTGTAAATAATACTTGAAATAGTTTTATATTATACCTTAAATGAAACTATAGCCAAGAACCTAATCATTAAATTAATTACACAGATGTAACAAATAAGTTACATTTCATTCAATTTCTATTTATTTATCCCTAATTTTAGATGTGTTTTAATTAAATTCCAGTTGTTTTTATCATTTGGTTTATATTTCTTTCAAATTAAATTATCACAAAATGAAGTTACCGAAAGCAAAAACTAAATAAAAATATATAACAAAGCTATATTTATTATTATTAATAATAAAGGCTTTGTATAACATAATTATCCTAATAAATTGTTTTACAGTGTTTTAGGTTTATCTATCAGAATATAATAAACCATAGAGTTATAATTTGCAGCGTTTTTATTATAATTCTAACAATAAAGAAATTAATTTTAATTTTAATTCAAAATGCCATTCATTTCAGAACTAAACCATATGCTAATCATTACTTTACAAAAAAATGCAAACCATGTGCAATAGAAATTCATAATAAAAATGAATCAATTAATTATTTTTTTTATTGCTCAATTTTTATATTATTCAAGTCCGAGTACAAAATATGATAATCATTTAAATTTTTTGTGTTATATTTAAAACAAAGTTAGAAAAATTTATTTTAGATTTCAGATAGCGCATATAAGATAAAATTATCTATTATTGTATGTGTCGCATTAAAATAACTGCATTACCCGTTACCTGAAAATTGGAAATAATTTAAATTTATCTTATTTTTATATTTACTTATTTTATATATAAGTATTTGAATAAAAAAATGGGCTTTGAATAAAATATATTCATCCAACAAAAAAATATTCTTTTATTAATATTACAAGCAAATAAAAAAAACATTCCACCTATAATTTTTCAATATTTGTATATTCAGTTGTTTTATTTGTTGAATGCAATAAAAATTGTTAAGAAAACTTTTGTGTGTGTATATTTAAATAAGAATTCACAAATTTTGAGTAAAAAAAATATTCTAAGAATATCCATCCTGTATTCTTTTTAATTCTAGTTTTAAATCAATGCAATAAGTTGCTCAAAATAAATTTAGGGGAAGGAGAGAGTAAATTATAAATCAAAAACAAATTTCAAAATTAATGAATTTTATTTATAAAAAGAAGAATTAATTAGTTGGGTGTTCTAAAGGGATTACAGATAATAAATAATAAAAAAAATAACTATAAGTTTATTCAAATAAGTAATTATCTGTTCAATGATCCACTAATTAAACTACTGATAAGATAATGAATAAAAATGTATTCAGCATCTGTCACATGACTAAAAATGTATTCGAATAATTCCTAACTTTTTGAAAGTTTAGCTTTTGACTTATTCTACCTATCTATCAATGTCCAGTAATCCAATACATACAGAAACCAGGAAGAAAATTATTATTAAATTACCAGTTTATGCCAATGACACTTTGGTAACTACCTGTATTGAAGCATGACAATAATGTCCAACACACATTGTTACTCAACCTGTGATTGCTTTGAAATGCTTTGATCTGAAGAGATTCCTCTTACTCAGGAGGAGTAAAGCGATGTTATTCTTTTTATTTCTGCACCACTTTCCAAAAAGAACTTGTCCTATTGAAATTATCATACTCTTGCAATTGATTTGTAACAAGAACAGCGTCCATATTAAATTCGTGCAGATGGTTCTGTACATGCGTCGGAGTAGAGTTGCTTTAACTGCTCATTGTTAAATATGCTTTACATAATGCCAGTGAAATATTTTTGTTCATGGAAGCAGTGTCACTGGTATTGAACATAACTCCAGTAATATTAAGTCAGCCCTTCTAGCTATACACGGGCAGATGTACAGGGGGGCTTCAGCCCCTCCCCCCCCCCCCAAATTGGTAAAATATAACCATGTTTTATGGAAAAAATTATCTCTTAAAGTATTATTGTTTGTTTAATTGCATTTAAAAGGACTTTAGGGATCACTTAAACACCATTTCATATAAGTAATTAGTTTCTTTCTTTTTTTTAATTGTTATGAAAAAAAAAGCTGTCCGGCTGAAACCTCCTCTCCCCCCAAAATTAAATCCTGGATCCGCTAATGTAGCTATGCAAAAAACACTATAGACTACCACTAAAGTAAAAATTATATTATAACCAAAAAATTTAGTATTCCAAAGGATAGCCAGGCCATTGAGACCTAGCTCGAAAATCATGACATGCTACATTGAATATTAAAAAACCTAATTAAATATCAAGTGAAAACTTAAGGTAGCATTTTAGGTAAGCTTAATTAACATTAATAGAAGGGCGTTAATTCACAAGCCATAGTAATATATTAAAAATTAATTCATTTTGATTAGAATGAATAAATAAGATAGAGTTTTAAGTCATAATTGAAATGTAATAATAATGTCACCTTTGTTGTGGCAGCACTGACGAAGACTACAAGTAGAGCAGCTATGAATTGTACTTAACGATGAAACACTGGTTCCATTGAAAAATTTGTCTTTCTGCTTGCAGCGATGGTGAACTAAACACATGAAAGATAAAAAGATTAATGTCCCTATAAGATTGCATCATTCTAAAAAGAAATATTTCATTAATATGATATAATTAATATCATAGATTTATTTTGTTAATTAAACAAAAACTGTACCACTAACAACCCATGAAGGATCTTGGGTTCAGTACAACGTGAGGAAGTACTGTTAGAAGGCCAACGACTGTGAAGAAGAGTACCCACTTTATAGAGGCTGGGTTTGTTGCAAGAGGGTCTCCCGGCCCCAGGGTCGACCCAGGGATGATGTAAAATTTCTAGTAATCAGCTGGATTCAAACCTGGGACCTTGAGCTCTGGAAGTCAGTCCTCACCCACTGAGCTACCCCGCTCCCTTATTTTTTTTTAAGAAATTCTATATTTGGTGAGTAAATGATCTAAAAATGATAAAATAAATCAGTCTCACTACGGCTCATGAAGGATTTAATGAGAAGGCACATCTAGGGTTTGTTATTGACATTAATTTATTCTTGGGAGAAAGTTTTTTTCAACAGCTAAATCCTGACTTTAGCTCTAATTTAATCTGATTTTATACTAATTACTTTCAACTCCACCTATATGAAATATATAGTAAGCATAAGTACTACGAATGTGAAAAATTTTGTATCCGAGTTTCCAACAGAAACAAACATTTTGAGATCCTTTGAGTCCAAATGACCAAATTCACAAAATGGTCTTAGTGTGTGTGAACAGCCAAGCTCAAAAATGAAAACAGGCTGAAGAGCATCCTCTTCCCCCCAAAAAATAAGAAAATACTTTTTTTTCTGTTAGTCTATATTTCTTTTCATGCGTGATCTGAGCCAAATACATAATCATTCACATCATGTTCCCTTTTTAAATTATATCACATGTAATTTAATTAATTAATTAATTAATCACAGCTAATCCACAAAATCATAATTGTTCCTGTAATTACTGTTTAAATTCTACGAACATAAACTGTCTTTTATTTATTTATTTTCCACTCTCACTAGACTACTTGGGTGTTTGCAGTAGTGGGATGTTACGCTTGACTGCATAACAACACACTACTCCAAGTAAACCAGTATACAAGTTTCTATCTTCTGTGACTAATTTCTTGAACCGCGGAAAGTTCTCCTTACATACCAACCGAGGAAATTATTATGATTCTCATCATTGTTGACCTTATTCCTTCAAATGCAGGGCAGGTCATGACCATAAGCTCGACAGTCTACAGCATTGGGGGTTATATCTTTGCCAAAGCTGTGTATCGTAGCTAGAAAACTCACATAAGGACTTGTGAAACCCAATAGTCCAGAAGGACCCATTGTGCATTTAGTTGAAATTGTACGGTGGGGAAGTATTTCCTAAGAGTATTCCCTTTCGGGGTTACCACCCAACAATGACTCCATTCCTCAATTGTACCCTCCTGGAGTTTTTCTTCCATTTGTTGGGATTTTCCAAAACCCTCACTTGTAGGTTTTCTGCAATTCATGATGAGCCTTCTTTCTTGAACTTTTGTTTAGTCACTTCAACTAGCAAGAGTTACTGCCCCTGCTAAGACTTGCACTGCTTTATGTTACGTTGTCCTAAATGCTCTGGTGACACACAACAAGGTCATCCTCTGGATTAATGCCAACCTTTTTCTTTGTTGTTTTGTGAGAAACTGTCTTTGAATGGTCATGATTGAGCTGGGTGTTTCGGGAAAGTTGGTGAACTTGACGAAGGTGGTACCCATTTTATAGAGGCTTGGTATGATGCCTCAAGAGGGTTTCCTGACCGAAGGGTCAATCCACGACTGATCTAATAAAGTAAATAATTATCTATCCCTGTCAAATTTGAACACCGAAGATAGAACAGTGCTTTACTCAGCGATCTACCTCTCTCCATGATAATATACTCTTCAATCGCTAACATAAAATTACATATTTTATTTACTTGCTATGCAAATATACTTACAATTTTCTTGAAATGCTTCTTTCACAGCCATAAACTGATTTTTTTTTTCTATCTATAAATAAACAAAAAAAAAGTTATACTACAAAACAAAATCTTAGCTAAAAAAATAAAACATTGAGGATCCACTCACTTTATTCAAATGATGGTACCACTTATTAAAAAAATTTGTTTGAAGATTGTCCAACTCAGAAGATTCAACAAATATTAGCGTGATCGTAACAATCAGGGCTTCCTTGAGATGATGTTCAATTTCTAATGGAGATATCAATTCTAGAAGAATTTGCTTTCCTTTAATTTCAGTATCATTTTTCTTTAAGAGCCTGCAATCATGGAGATGAAATCATTTATTTATGTCAAAATGAATATAACAATATGTGGAAGGATTTTGCTTGTTAAGTAATATTTTTTGAATTTGTTAAAAGTCTAAATTATTTTTCCCACATCTCTCTCTTATACAAGAGATCAATTTTAATATATTATATATATTTTTAGGGTTATAAACCCTGGTGTTTGTTAAAATGATTAATTTTAACATGTTGAGGGGTAATGTTGAACATGCTTCAACATTTCATTCTCCTCCCTAAGCAGATTACAAGCACGTTCAGATAGGAACTTGAAAATCCATACCTCAAGTTTTCACATCAAAGATTTCATTTTGATCTCACCAAATGCAATATTTTAAGATACCAAGTTTCTTGTTTTGTTTTTCTGTACTCTTTTATGTGACAAAGAAATAATATAGTTAGAGAAAAAGGTAAAGAAAAAAATCATTATATTTTAAAATTAGATCAATATCTTTTCACTAATTTTGTACATTTTAGGTAGTACAGTAAAACTATAATTTACTGCCACTTGTTTATCGGTCAGTTTCTATTAAGGACCAGTAAAGTAGAGAACAGAAGCCCCCCAAAAAAGTGAATTTGAAAATAAATACCCTCAGTGCAAGTATTTCAAATAAAAATATTGACAGACAATTTGATAAATAATTACATCAGATAAGGTATATCTAAGACAATTATAAATACTGAGGAAATATAAACACACACAATCATCTCCTTCCTCTGTCTATGAGTTCCAATGAGTTGAGGGAGACCATAACCATACAATTTTAATACCTATGTTTTCTCTATATATGTTCAAGATATTTGTTCAAAGACAAACTTTATAATTTGTCAGTAAATAAGTAAAATTGGTCAAAATAAGAGTTTTACCTTGAAGAAAAAAAAGAATTTCTAACATTCTTAGAGTCTATAAAAAGTCTCAACCAAGCATTTGCTCCACTGTCACAGACAATGTGAATTATTCCAGTCTTTAAGCTAAAATCAACCCATAGCTCATCATATCCACCTAGCTGTAATAAAAATAATAATAATAATAACAAAAATGTATCATTCTCTGTGACAAACAAATTATATTGTAGTGTTATCATTAGGTTTAATTTATATAAATAATTTATATATATATATATATATATATATATATATATATATATATATATATATATATATATATATATATATATATATATATATACCTAGTCCTGTCATAAATATTGTTACAAGGAAATATATACAGAGTTCAACAGAAAAATTAGTTTTTTCAAAAACTTTATTGGAAAATAAAATGTATATCTATAGAGAGTAAAACAAAAAGAAATTACTCAAAATGTCCCCCTTTTGCCTTGACACAGGCATTTAATCTCTGTGGCCAGTCATCAATAGCAGCACACAGCAATTCTTGAGGAAAGCGCTCAACTGCTCGGACCAGAGATTGTTTGAGGCTTTCCAACTTAGAATGTGCTCTGTGGCATGCCATCCTCCCTAGTTCGAACCAAAGCCGATAATCTAGTGGGTTGAGATCAGGGCTTCCTGAGGGCCAACCGGAGGCAGAGATGAACTCTGGAATGTTCTTTTGCAGCCACTGCTGATGTGACCTGGCCTTGTGAGCTGGAGCGGAATCCTGCTGGAAAACCCAATGACTTCTTGCTAACAGAATATCATTTAGAGGTTTGACAACAGGTTCCAAAATAGTTTTTAGCAGCTGTTTTAACTCCTTTTTCACAAAAATGAAGCTTTATGGTGCTATCAAACTCCCCAACAAACCATCACTGAGGTAAGGTGATGACCTCTTTCCACTCTTCCAGTGACTTCCTGAGCTTCTTTAGAGCTGTGTGCGTACGCATGATCATTTTGGCGATTAAATTTGCCTTCAATTGTAAAAATTTTCTCATCACTAAACAAAATATTTTGATGAAGACCATTGGTGTAATGGTCAAGGAGCACTAATTTAGCAATAAGGATAACTAATCTCTCCACTCTAATTTTTTTCAGGGAAGTGGTTAGCCTTTTCCTGTCATTCTTCGTAATGCACCCATCCTAAGGTCACTTTTTATTATGCGAGATATTGATCTGACAAAGATTCCCGTTTCCCAAGACATGATTTGTTGTTTTTGAATGAGATTTCTTCTGAATCGAACAGCCACTGCTCTCACTGCAGTTGCCTTTCTCACAGTGCGGGGACGGTCCGGTCGAGGTCTGCCATATACAGATAGGGTCTCATTATATCTATTTATAGTGTGGTGCATGAACATACGGCTGATACCCAAAGGTTTCAAAGTGTTGAAAATCTCTGACCTACATTTTCCAACTTTGTGTAAGGCGATCACAGTTATTCGATTTTCATTATGACCCCACTTCATGTTAACTGAGTGCAAGAAAAATACAAACTAATTGGGATTACTATCCTGACATGTAAAGAAAATAACCTGATAGAGGTATGGATTATCTAAATAATACCCAAGGATGTAAACAAACAAAGTTCAACTTTTGTAACAGAATTTATGGCAGAACTAGGTACAAGTACACCATTTTAATAATGTTAAGATAATTACCCTAAGTTTTTGAAGTTTTATTTCATTTGCATAGGCTTCAAAACAAGAAAGTGTCACAACATTAGAATTGATGCTTCTGTTGACAGAATTGAGGAATTTCCTACAGGACTAAAAAAAAAATTAAAATAACTAATTAATTCTTTTTTTTAAATTGTTTTTAAAGTTATATTAAATTCTATTTAACAAGTCCATCTAATGTTTAAAGAATCATTAACAATTCTTTAAACTAAAAACAATTATCTTAAAAAATTAGAAGTTGGTTGGAGATGTGGTCATAAACGAAATTACACACAAATAAGAAATTTGATTTGTTTTTTATTTTAAAAAATTAGAAAGAGTAAGAAAAATAAGAAGATAAAAAAATAGTATGAAAATGATAACGATAAATCATTGATTATCATTATTTGTGTTTTGATCGTCCCACAACCAAGTTTTCTTACAATTTGATCTACAGTCAATAATATCTCAACATTATGAGTAAATTATGTTCTCCATACACCTTCAAGCAGATTTTCCATCACACATGAGAAATGGAGATATATTTTATTTTTAATATAAAAAATATATTTTTATACTACATATTTTATAGAAGATAATTCAAGCAAAAAAATCTTGCTTATAACATTTTAATATTGTTTAATCACATTCTCAAGACTCATCAATCAGAACCGGAAGTAAGTAAATCCTATGTTGGAAGATTCAAAATAGCTAACATAATTATCGTTCAGCTGCATACAAATTGTTGTTGGTTTTCATAAAAATTATTACATTTTCCTTAAATAAATTGAAATGGACTTAAAGAAATAGCTCCTTAAGCTGCTGTCCATGGCATTTTTTATCTTCTCACCAACTATTAATGCCCACCCCTTCAACATTTAGCTGATGATATGCAAATCTTATTCCGTTCACCAATTAACAGAAAGTATTAATCATGGGAGGGTTGAAATGGAAATAGCAATAAGAGTTAAAGGAGAAGCAATGCACTTCACATTACTTGATGGAACAGGGTATGAACAAGGATATCTCCCAAGAAGTCGTTGCACAATTTTGGATGAAAACTGGACATGACTATTTTTAAAGACACTTCCACCCTATTGGAGTTGTGAAATTAGCAATGTTCCCACTATATCAATGAGGGTATACGAAATCCCTGCATCTACTGATCTGGCCTGGACTTTAGAACGTTACCCACCCAGCATCAGTATCTGAAAGACATCTAAGCGATATCTTTTTTAGTTATCTTTAAGATATCTTATAAAAGATATCTAACAGATGATAATTTCTAAATTACTTTCTGTAGGTGGCTATAAGATGCCTTAAAGATCTTTTAAACCAGATGTCTTAAAAACATCTTGAATCAGATATCTAAATGACATATTTTGCATGATATTTTCTATGAGTATAGATTGAAGAAGTTTGAAAATAGATAATATAAAAGAATTTATCACTATTGGATCATGATATGTGAGTACATTTTTTGATTTTTTAAATTAACCTGTCATAACAGATTGATGTATAATATTTTACAATTGCAGATGGAATTCGAATAAAATTCTTGGTCATTGTTTATTATACAGTAAAAAAATATCAGAAAAACTGACAATTAATGCTATCTTCATCATCAACAGTATCATTCATTTATGGATTTTATGACTTTAGATACTATTTCCAATAATACGGACAAAGCAATAGATGATGAAATGACGGAAGTTGTAAAACCATGGTTACAAAATGGGAGTTGGACACTGAAGAAGCAGTCCCAGAAAATTGTTTTATGTGATATAAGCGTCTTAACCCGTGAGGATTATTACCTCTTTATAGTACTTGTGTTGGTATTATAACTGAGAAAAGGCTATTGTTGTCTTGGTCTATGGAATTCAGTTCTATGTATCTCTCTAGTAATTGTATATTATGTTGTAATATATTTATAAAACAATAATAATGTTGTATTAAAATAGTTACCGCTATATTCTAAGTTAATATTCCGTAATTCATTTATATATCTTTAAATGAATAAATTAAAAAAAAAAAACCTGTACCACTACAACCCATGATGGGTCTTGGATTCAGCACTATTTAGAGAAAGTACTGTTTCAAGTCTAATGATTGTGCAAGGAGGGGATCGTGCCAGGATCATGCTCAACCATCAGGTTTTCCCCCTTAATTAAGGGTACCCACTTTGTAGAGGCTGAGTGTGCCCCAGGTGGGTCTCCCTACCCCAGGGTCGCTCCACGGCCAATGAAACAGAATAAAATAATTTTTCTGTCATGAGCCTTCAGCATTGGAAGCTTAGTGACCTACCACTGAGTTATCCCACTCCCATATTTTAACTAAAACGTTTCTATTTATTTTTCCTTGGAAAACAACAAATATTTTTGAAGATATAAAAATGATGTCTTTCAGATGATCTTTATAGGATATAAAAAAGATACCTTTCAGATATATCGCAGATAACTTTTAGCTGCCTTTTTGGATGTCTTTTTGATATCCTTCTTTGGATGGCTTAAAGAAGACTGAAACCGATGCATAAACACAATTTTTGATGTCTTAAAGATGTCTTTTGATATATCTTTTAGACACACCATATCTTTTTTGAGACTTCTTTAGGCCATCTTTTGTTTATATTTTTCCTGGTTAGGTAAATTCAAACCTAGGACAGAAGGTGAAGTATATTGCGCTGCTAGCTTGGCCGAAATGGCTAAACGATCAAAGTATAGGATAAAAACAATCTATGAATGAAAATAATTTTTTTTCTTATTAAGATTAATATTTATAAATGTAGAAATATTATTTAGGTATAGTTAATGAATATAATTTGTGAGCTCCTGAAAAAATTCAAATAAATTATTTGGTGCCATTGCATATTTTAATAAACTTTAAAAACTCTTAGAAAATACAATGATAATAAAAATTACATAGGATTAATACATGCAACTATTAAATTTCCCTTAATGAATATTATCAATGGTTTATTTCTTTAAACATCAGAGTATTACCATCAAGAAAATGTTATTTTTTCTGATGCAACATTTAAGATAAAGTCACATCAACAAAACTTTCTATATATAATATCAACAAAATATCACACTTACTAAATCAAAACTCTTATAATCGAGAAGTTTAGTGGCAGTCAGAACAGCTGGATAATCTCGGAACCAAGACAATATTTTGTTTAGTTTTTGTTTGCTACTATAAGAAAATCTCATCAAAACTTCAATAATCACTTCTTGAGTTTCAAAATCACCACAGTTCAGAACCATAGCTGCCATTTTTGACCTGTTAAACAAATTTATAGAATAAGGCATCTTAAACAGTAATTTTCACATGAGAAACTTCATTTTTGTAAGTATAAAATAAGTGAATTAAAATTAGTATTTTTATTTTTATTTAATATTAATAAATTATTAATAAGTATAAACAATTATCCTTATTATGCTTATTAGCCATTGTAAATTATCTTCATACCTATTAATTATTAATAAGTATAAAAAATTAGCCATTTTTTTCCATTTACTGGGTCATAAAATAATTTATTTTAATAATTTACTATAGAATATAAAAATATCCAGTAAGTAATAGTTTATTTCTAACTCCTCTTATAACTTAATTGTGGGAATAAAAATTTATAAGACTATCACAGCTTTTATTGATCAAAACTACTGTAAAGTTTCATGAACTGCAAGGTTGTGAAACTTTGTTGCATACATTTAGGAAAACAGGACCCCTTTAATGATCAAATTACCGAGTCAATATAATTGAAGGAAATGTATTTAACCCTTTGACTGCGGGAGCTCATTCGGGTGTTTCAACCAGTTGGTGCATCCTGAAATCCAAAAAGACCTCCAGAAAAAAGGATTTTTATTTTTTTTGCATAAATTTGTTTACAATGCTATTTTGAGACACCCTACAAGATCATAGCTTTCAAAAATGTATTTTAACCTTTTTATTCGACTTTTAATAAATGGGGTATAAGCAGAAATCCCGCAAAACTTTGCTTTCTTGGGTATTTACTCATTTCTGAAAAGAAAAATAACTGAAAATTATCATAAAAATAATTTTAAGTGATCATAAAAATTAAATTATATTATTTCTAAATAAAGGACACCTAGGAAATTTACATTTGTTTGTAATAGTTATAGACAGAGATTCATGTGTACCAAAATCAGCATTCAATCAAAACCAAAATTAAAGAAGAAAAAATTAACTTATTAACATTTATTTGATGTATAAAACATTTAAATAGGATATAAATAAGATCATGGATATGACACAAATAAAAGAGAAAGGATATAGGTTTGGTTCAGAATAAATCTGCAACTAATAGCTTCCAAATGGTCAGAATCCAGAACGTAGAATCCAAATAGTCAGCTACAGGGGACTAATGCACCAACCAAGCCACAAATCTAATGGTGAAGGCGGGACTTATCCCTACCTGTTTAAGTGACAACCACCCAGGCGGGAAGCCTTATCTTGGCTGCACCAGTGACCCAACTCACTACCGGGAAGGCATATATCCCGTCCGCACCAGTAACCTAACTCTTAATGGGAAGGCAGTCAAAGGGTTAAGGGCACTCATTCACATGTATCAATTATATTGAGTCAATATTTAACTTTAAAACAAACAAAAGAAACTAATTTTACAACTGTTAAATGGTGTAAAATATTACCATTTGACTGAGAAAAAAAATTTTAATAGTCAATGTATTGGCAAAATTTGATATTGAACATGTAATTTAAGGACCATCCCAAGGACCAAAGTAATTGACCCATCCCGTAAGGATTTAAAAAGTAAGGAATATCAAATGAAAAAAAAAAAAAATTATTTCATTGACAAGAATTTAAATTTCCTAGTTCGAAAGTGAGAGGATAGATCATGCTTGTTAACGACATATTATTTCTCTCAAAGTGATCTATATCAACACCAGTGTGTAAAATATCTATTTAGTGTTTAAAATACCATTTCATAAAATATATATTTTGTATTTCTTTCCTGTAAATATTTACCAAATATTTGAGGCAATTTATAGATTTGTTTTTCTATAAATTTGCTTTTTGGCAATTAGATCATTTACTTTGGAAACGCTTCATTTATATCTTGAAAATTTATCAAATGATAATCAATAAATTAAAATGTACTTTTTCAAACATCCATCTTAATTTAGTCAAGAAATTTTTTTTTAAAATAAGATTTTTTTACACAAATCCAGTGCTACATCCTAATTTTAAAATAAATTATTGAATAGATAAAACTTTTACCAAACATTAATTTTAGAATGAAAATTCAGTTATAATCTGTAGTTTGAAAATGAAATCGGTTACTTACAAAAAAAATTCATTGCTATTCATTATATTTTTCCTCTGACGTGTATCAGATTTTACAATAATGGGCTTAAACAAGAGAAATATTTCTTTTCGTACAAGAAAATCCAACTCATCAAGACATATCATCTGAAGTATACTACTGTAACCATTGTTATTGACTGACACCCTGAGACAATCAACTTTATCAACTATGGGCTGAAAAAGAAATATCCAAATAATGTAATAATGTAGTATTAACCTATGATAAGGAATAATCTAAGGTTTAATAATTTACAATTAGAGGCATGCAAAATTGCCAATTTTTCCCAACACTTTGATATTCAGAGATGCTCATGCCCTATAAATCTAAGTACAATTGAAAATCTAGGGGATGAATGGTCGAATAAAATAAGATGGCCAACTTTATATGAACCAATTTGACGATTCAGGATTGTTTTAACAGTAAGCATTAATAAATTCAAACGTTAACATATGATATCCTTATTCAATTTTTATAAATAGAAATAATATTTTATAAATATTGATTTTTTTTTTCATTTTACTTTCATTTAAGCTGGTTGAAAATTTGAATAAATAATAAAATATGGTAGCTTTGTTTGTCGTTCAGTGTAAATAAAATATTTTTAATCGAAGTAATAAAACAGTGCATAAACTTTCTTTTTATTATTTATCTATAAAGGAGCAACTACTTAAACTAAAAAATAAAAATATGACATCACTAAAAATTACCAGTTGATGTGTTATTGGTTTCATAAAAAGCACGATAAGAGGATTATTCTGTGAGATTAATATAGAGAACAAAATATTCATTAAATATATTGAAATATAAAATTAAAAATTTATATAAAATAAAAATTATTTAGAAAATTTACGAATAATTCAAAATAATTACTATAATGATGTCATCATTTCAACATCAAACTGAACAATAATATACTATAAAAAATAGTTTTAGAGCATACCAGTAAAGACTTTCCAGCTTCCAGGATCAAGTTACAAAACTTCACATCTTTCATAATTGAAGTGTTTCGGTACAGTAGAAAACTGTCAAATAATGCAATAATTAAACCACTAAAATTTTCACCTATTGATGACCAGTCAGCTGAATTCTAGCAAAGCAAATAAATAACTATTTATTTGTTGTTATAATTACTTATTTATTGAATTAAAAATACTAATTAAGAAACATTTTTATGAATAGCAATTAAAACTTACATAGTCTAAGCTCAAGCTTTGTCCAATAACTTTAACAGCTATAGCTAAGCCATCAAATTGATAAGTAACCTGCAAAAATTTACTTATAACAAATTCTATTATTTTAAAAATAAAATAACAATTACGTTAACTTGCAGAAATATAGGTTTTTACATTACCTTATTGTTAATTCTTACAACATTTCTTAAAAGAAGAATTGTTTCATTGTTCAATTTAGGAATCGTAACTTGATTTAAAATTTTAAGAGCTGGAGTAAAATGTTCGGGTGAAAATATCTTCTGTAGTAAATTTGACAAAGGTTCCATTTTAAATTTAAAGGTCTCAAAATCTACAAACTATATAATTTCTGTAGCCATTTAATGTTTACAGAAATGCTTAGGATATAACATAATAATCTAAGTTAAAGAATTTGACATTAGTTTACAATAAAGAATATTTTTTCAATAATTAATTAAAAGATAATTCAAGACAAAATCAATTAAACATTCTCTGGAGATCGTCATTAAAAGCAATATTTGAGAACTTACATAATTTTACCAATGATTTTATTTTTCTTAATTCAAAAAAATTGCCATTTAGGAAACATTGAAAGTGATGCATTTTGGGTAATATTCAATGTTGATAATAATAAATAAAAACAATATTTCCATTAATTTTGCATTTCACGACGATAATAACCTAACATTTTAATAGAATATTTCAGAAGAAAATAAATTTACAGAAATAGATATAAATACTAAGATATCATTCGTTTTAAAAGTATAGATTTTCCAAACAACAACAAACTTTAATCCTTTTGCTTTATTTACTGTTAATATTTATCATTTAAGAAAAATTCTTGTAATTGTTGCTCTTTAATAAATATAGCATAGTAAAATTTATGAATCAGTTTTAATAAATTATAAATCTTTTTCGCTTAATTTGATACGGTAACTCTAACATCGTGATTTTTGTAATTTTTTGTTTATTACTAACAAGATTCAAATTAACAATGATGCATTATTATTTTAGTTTCTAAAATTAATGATCAATACTGTGCTATAAGGAATTATTAACTAACAATACGCTGTACAGGCTATCCTTTACAACCCCCCCCCCCTCACAAAAAGAGAAATGTTTCTGTAAAGTACAACAACCTAAGTTTTTATTGCATACATTGTTTAAATTAAAGTTATACTATCAATTGTTATACTATCTATAACAAAGTTTTCCGGTAATCACTGCTTCAAAAATCTATAGACATAAACGAATGATTAAATGTTAAAAGGCAATAATGGTTTCATGAACGGATATAAGTGCATATCTTTTTTGCAGGTAGGTACATCGTTATCAAATGCTTCTTTATAAGAAAAATGGATTTATTTGAAGTCAATTTTCAGGAAAAATGGAGTATTAAGTTAGGAAGAAAAACTGAATAGGATAATAGGTTGATACTGATGAACAGCGATGTACTAACAGAAAAAAATAAAGTTTTTCATTTCTAGAGTGACATAATCGATGTCGATAAAGGACGAGGATACTCAATGAATATCCCAGCAGCGCAAATACGTCACAGATATTGGGTTTTATAAACTGGGTATTACAGTGCATTATCGAAGATGTGAAGGGTATGCCAAAAGAGTCATAATTCGAGCAGATGTTTCTGATAGAAAATTGGACTTTCAAACTGCTGCAACTTGTCAAACGTTAGCAAGTGGACAAGCTTCAGAAGTGCTCCTGTCTTAAGTAGCCTACGTAAAATAAAAATGTACTGTTCAAACCATTTACAATTTTCACTTTACTTGATGAGCACTTACGAAATACCGAGGTATTTCGCTGTTACCATGTGCTTATAAAATCTTCTCCAACATACTTACCAAGCGCCTCCTGCCACATGATGAAAAATTCTTGAGGAGATATCAATGTGGTTTTCGCCTGGGGAAGTCCACTATTGATCAGATATTCTATTTACGCATTGCTATAAAGCGTGGCTGAGAGTACCAGATACCCACACACCACTTATTTGTGGATTTCCATTCACCCTATGATAGTGTTCAACGTGAACCTCGTTACCAGCCCATGAAAATTTTTAATATACCAACAAAACTTACACGTCTGGTAAAACTGACTATGGAAAAAGTTGAAAATGTGGTGTGTATTCAAGGCGATCTCTCTCTCAAGGATTTACAGCTATTAACGGAGTCCGACGAAAGGACTCAATTGCATGCCTATTGTTTAACTTATGTTTGGAAAAAGCGGTCATAGAGACAGGAATCCAGGCAAGAAGTACCATCTTCAATCCCACAATTCAAATCGTTGGCTACGCAAATGATTTAGACATCAATGGAAGATCGAAAACGGCCGTAAAAGAGGCCTTTCTTGGTCCTTGAGTCATCTGTCAAAAAAATGAGCCTTGTCTTGAACTCTCAGAAGACTAAATAAATGATTGTTAACGAAATGAAGCCTCCTGATGAAGTTACCATAGACTTTGGGTCCTACACATTTGAAGTGTAAGTGAATTTCTCTCTCTCTCTCTCTCTCTATATATATATATATATATATATATAGCAAATGATAAAGCTTGGCAAGCTTCGATGGGTGGATCATGTGGTCAGGATGGAGGCACAAGAAATTCCTTGTTAACTCCTCGATGAAGAATTATATGAAAAAAGAGCAAGAGGCCGCCCCAAATAGCAATGGGCTGATAGTGTAAATGAAAATTTCGAGAAACCTGCACGGTGTTTGAAACTGGAGGACAGCAGCACTTGACCGAATTAACTGGTGAAATTAGCTTGAGTAGGCCAGGATCCAGTGATAGGTTGCAGCCGATTGATGATGATAAGCACCTATATTATATAAAATGCATAAATATTGTATCGTATTTACTCTAACTACTATCATTCTTTATTTTGTCTGATGAACAACTAGTCATTATCAGTGTATTAGGATGGGACAACCAGAGCTATTGTTACCGGCTGATCTTCAGGGCCGATCGCCATTTGTTAGAAATAAAAAAGTATTAAAATAATTAAATTTAGCTTATCAATAAAGCAACTGTATTAGAGAAATGTTGAATGAAATAAAATTTAAATATCACATAATGTAAAGCAGATTAAGAAATAAATACATTTTTTTAGGAGGGAGATGACGTCATTGCCCTGGGGGCGCTGTATTTCTAAGGTCAGCACTGGTCATAATCTTGAAGACTTGAGACAAAGCTGGTCACCTAAGAAAATGACATAGGTAAAAAAGAGTGACCTCACCACCACCTCGTTACATGGTCTGAGTAGTTTTCTTAGAGGATTCCCCTTGTCACCTAGCTAGTCACTCCTGGTGTGTTCAATTATGAGCACAATGCTTTACTCACTGATACTCCATTTTCTTCTGACCATGACAATACAACTAAAAAAAAATTGTTTGGTTGAAGAAACATTTGACAAAGTTCAAGTTCCAAGCCCTCATGACTTTTCTCTTAATACATGTTGCTCGCAAATCAGCTTTTGTGTCTATTATTTAGCTTGATATTTAAGGGCTGGCAGTTCTTTGGAATAATAGCTTCTCCTTCTTTTACTTTTTTTAATAGATTATAATAGTTTGTCTAGCTCAGGGGTCTCCAAACTATGTTTCCAGCCTAAGTCTCTCAGGTTACATGATAAAATTTTAAAAAGTATTAAATTTAATAAATCACTCAAACAAGAGATTACTGCAACATTTATTGTATAAGTTGTTTCTCTTAGAAAACTCATTTCACAGCTGAAGCGTCATTTATAAAACAAGCTTTTGTTTTTATCTCAAGGCATAGCCCATGGGACTTAAGAGGTTTCAATGTGATCCGCCGGCCAAAAAGTTTGGAGACCCCTGGTCTAGACTATGAAATTTCCTTTCTTTTGACATAATCCATCGCTCCTGAGAGTTGGATAAAAGATCTAAACTACTGGATTATATGTACAGTAGATTCTAATTCACTGATCCTCTTTCAATCTTAAAAAAATAAATAAGATATCTTGGCAAAGTGACTAATATCTGTAATAAGGAATCAAATGAATAAATAATAGTTATGGTTTATCGAGGAAATAAAATAAAAATCAAGATAATAGTAATAATTCATATATTTATTTATTCATAAAAATCTTTGCGCCACCATAATTTATAAAATATTTCTTTTAAAAAATTTAAATAACATTTAATTTATAGGGATAAAACATAAACTTTTACAAATTATAAAAATGAGATTTTAACAATATAACAGTATCTGAAATTAAGACATGGTCAAGTGAGCAATAGCACTCTGTAACATGGTGACAGCATAACCTTCCTCGCCCAGTGCCTTCTCAGATGGCATGAACGCTTCCATAAAGTAAGCCTCGGCACAAACAGTTGGCAAGCAGCTGGATATTAAGACCTGGCAGAGTCTAGGCAATAAGTCATCGGCACCTCTACAAAATAGATTAATAATATTTAAGTAAACAAAAAAAAGTTTACTTTGAAATAATAAATATAACATGCAAATAAATCTATATTTTGAGTTAGTAAAATATATATAGTAGATACAAAACTAATTAAAGTTTTGAAAAACATTTGGTATCGTATAAGAACTTTGATGAGAAATCTATCGAAAAAATATAGTAACTAATTAATATTATTAGTGCATTTATTGTTCATTGAACTAATTATATAAAACAAACAATGGAATGAATTAATTTATATGCAAATATAAATAAATGTAAACTAAAAATCTAAGAAAGTTTTTAGTCTATTTTTATCAAATTATAAACTCATCTAAAACTTCTTGTGTGGCTTCATTTCATTGTAATCTACAAATTTTTTATCAACAAAAATTCTCAGAGATGAGATGTTTTGAATCTGGAGATTGGGAGATATGTCAATTTAATAAGGTAACAAAAACTTATGAAAACTCAGTTGTTTTCCACTTGAATCGAAAGATAATTTCATTCCAAAAATTGAGAAAAAAAGGTGGTCTACTAAAATTTTGGCCAATATATCCACATTATTTTGACATGGGGTGGAGCTCATGCCAAATGGCCATATATTTTTGTAGGCTAACTTTTTTTAGATTTTGTGATCCAATTATCTTACATTTCAAATGGAAAGCAAATGAGTGTTCATGAGTTTTTAGTTTAACTCATTAAATTGACATGTTTACTGATCTCCAGACTGAAAACGATTATTTCCAAGAATTTTATAAAGTTTGTAGAAAATAGAAAAATTGTTGATTATGGTAAAATGAAGTTTTGTACAAAAACAAATAAATGAAATAAAAAAATTGCAGTTAATACCAAACAGATATGAAATAAAACAATTTATTTCACTTTAAAAAGCCAACATCAATAGTAGGCAATGAAAACCTTGTAACCTAAATGTAATCAGAAAGAGCTAAGTGAAATTTGAGAAAAATACATTTTCTAGCAAGCCTATAAGTTAGTTAAGAATTGATTCAAATTCTCTTATAAGCTGGCGAAAGTTCGAATTTGTAGTAGGTGGTGGAAGAGAAGTTGTTTGAAGGAATTTGTGGGCATGGTTTAGAGTAAAAAGATAGATTATGTATAAGAAATAACAATATAATATGTAACCTCCCAACTACATATTCCCATTGAGACTATAACCCAACTATGGACTCAACATAAAGCATATTATTAAATTGAGTAAGAATATTACAATTTCCTTAGTATTTTTTGTATATGTACATGCCAGACTAATGAACATATTTTTTGAACTCTACTATCATTCTAAGGAGACTTTAGTCCCAGAATAAAATTATTTTTCATTTCAAGAATATTAAAATTCACTAAGAACTAGTATCTGATTGATCTTGCCTTAAGATATCTAATTTTATTTATAGGATATTTTTATTCTATCTTTTATTTTAATTAAATTGCTTTGTAAATTAATTTATTGACTCAAGCCCACTAGAACTACAATTTATACAACGTTGTTAATTAAGAGATGACTAACGTAACTATCATATCATGTTAAATGTAGTTTTACATGAAACTAATTGTGAATTAGGTCTTACAGATGGCTTGATAATAGTGTCATAGCCAATGTAGAAAATGGAAAATAAACATGATTAAATAAATACAGCCTTTACTTAATATTAATAAATTTGATTTTATATGATTTTAATCTTACATCGAAGTACAATGTCCCTTGTCAAACTTAGACGTAGCTAGAAGTTTTATGATATGAACTGTGCAATCGAGCATATCGTATGGGTTGTGGAGCGTTGTGAGATAGTGCAGCTTTGTTACAGCTTCTTTGCATTCCTCAGATATATCAGCCTTGCTCTCTTCATATTCATCTTCTATCCTAGTTTTAAGACCTTCGACAACATCTTTGTGAATCATTCTGAAAACAATTACACAAAATTACTTTCAGCAATTCAAGTCATGGGATATTGTTAATACGTATTGATAATTCAACCAAAATGTTCATTATAATGGATTAATAGTTAAATGTCGTGGAAATAATCAAGTGGATTTGGTTGGGATGTCTAGCCCCAAGTAACACAAAAAAAAAAAAATTAGATTTATCATTATTTTTGCCAATATTTCGTCCCAAGGTTCAGGCCTTCATCAGGGCTGCTATGACAAAATGATCCGCAAGACAGGAAAAATGTCTATTAGTTCAATGATTTTGTTAAGTAGTCAATTTTTATGCAAAGTTGGTAGTTTTCAAATTGAAGAAAAAAAAAATTAACTGACTGGATAAATAGATGTGTAAGCTAAATTGAATAACTTACAATAAAATATAACTTGAAAATTTATATCATTCTTTTTTTTACTTTCACTTATGTATATATAGTAAGTGTAAGTATTGCGATCGTGAAAATTTTCAAATCTGTTTTCAACGGAAATACGTGTTTTGAGGTCCCCTGAGTCCAAATAACTAAGTGTCACAAAATGGTTTGTGTGTGTGTGTGTGTATGTGTTAACAGTCTAGCTCATAAACGAAAAGTAGTACGAAACTGATATTAAGTATTTAAGGTTTGTATATGGGCCGGATGTGACAGCAACTTTTTCGTTAAAATCGGCTAACCGGAAGTGCCACTTCATATGAATGCTGAAACACATTTTTACAATTTTCCATAAGTCCAATGTGATTTCCATGTGGTTTAAGATGTACTCGGGAGTAGAGAGTATAAATGTGTTGGTCGATATTTGGTAGTCGTAAGTCAGCATGTAAAGTTTTGTTGTTTACATACCAGGGAACTGCTGTTATTAGTCTTAAAATTTTGGATTGAAATGATTGTAGGTTTTGTAAGTGCGTCTTTTTTGCAGAACCGTAAATTTGTGAAGCGTATGTCCTATATGGGTTTGAGTAGGTAAGGATCTGTATTTAGTTTTTGCCTGATTTAAAGTTTTGATTTGGAAAAAAGTGAGTATAGTATTTTCAGTTGCTTGTTTAGTCTTTGGTTAATTTTAACATCCTTCTGTCGAATATTAGCCCGAGATAACCTACAGTGTCCGTCTGAGGGATTTGGTTTTCACTGCTATAAACAGATGGGCACGTGCCTCGTCGAAGCGTAAATGTTATATGTTGTGATTTGTCATGATTTAGTCTAATTTTCCAAAATCAATACCAATTTTGTAATTTTAGTAAGTGATTTTGTAAATTTAGTGAGGCTAGTCTTGGATAGAGATGTTTTGTTACAACTGTTGTATCGTCAGTGTAAGTAGCAGTCAATGTTTTGTAGGAGGTAAGCATGTTATGTGTATAGATAATATAAAGTAAATGAGCCAATACTGATCCTTGAGGCACTCCTGCCGACACTGGTCGAATTGAGGAATTTTCTAAACTCTGTCGGACTAGTTAGTTCTAAACATAAAAAAAATAAATAAATGAATAGATACCTAATAAGAGATATCAGTGCAGGTTTAACCTGAGAGAAATACACATGATGAATAGCTTCAGATGTTATAATAGAATTTCGTTCTGTTTTCAGCGATTCGAAAAGAGCTTTCAATACATCATGTACTACACCAATATCTTCTTGAATAACTATAACAAAACATTAAAAATAAAAATGACCTTCATTATGAATCATTTGTGACAAAAATAAGCATAAATTAAAAACCTAAACTTATTAAATTAAAAAAACTTAAACATTAACATTAAAGAACAACAATATGCCTCCATTGACAGAGTCGTCTAGTGTGAGTAAATATTATTATTTATATTGCGAAGATGATTGAGTGCTCTATTTGTGGCAGAGGATTAATTTAATATAACTTGTGAGAAATGCCAGATTATATTTCACAGTAAATGCTGTAATATTGGTGATAAAGAGATTGAGGCATTAAAGTCTCAAAAAAAAAGTATGGCTTGGTAAAAAATGTGACCACGGCAAAAAGACCTACCAAGCTAGAGAAAAATCAGCCATTCCGCCTAGAAATGAAATCAAAGAGCCGTCAGTCGTTGATATTCTCAGAGCGGCTAATTGACTCAGCGCCCAATTCAATGATGATATTAAAAATCTTAGTCATTGTTAGAAAAATATGGTGAACGTATCTTTGAATTAAATGGAAGATTTTCAAAAATAGAAAGCCACCTCAAAGGTTGGAAGGCTCAAAACATCTGGAAGAATTAACTACTAAAAATAAAACTCTCAAATTCAGAGTAGGGGAACTCAAGGTACGTTTAAACAGAGCCGAGCAGAGCCTACTATGTAGAGCAGTAAATATTTAAGGCATTCCCGTATGTGGTGGAAAGACTATCTCGGCCCTGGTTGTTAGTGTGAGAATCGGTCTTGGGATTAAGATCAAGCACTGTAGGCCTTAAAAAGACAATCCTAGAGCGCTACACGTTACAGCTCGCTGTGTGAGACAATCTGAACGGGATGAGTTGGTGCAGAAAAGAAAAGTGAAAAGGGACTTTTCAACACTTGATATTGGCTGGGTAGGAAAACGATTCCCACCACGGATCTACCTGGGCGAAAAAATGATCCCTTCTAACCATCTTCTACTATGTAATACAGCACTCTGTTAGGTGACTCATATATTATTATTATTGTTATTTCTCTATTTTAACCAATGTAATTTTTTTATATCATATATCTTTCATCATAACTCTTTTTTATTTTTCTTGTTTTACAGCCATTATTTTATTCTTTCCAAACTTTTTTTTATCACTGTTTTCTCATACTCCAGCGTCTATCTATTCTCTGTTTCATTACCTGATTATACCTTCATCCGCCATGATCGGATTTCCCGGACTGGTGGAGGTGTAGGTTTTTATGTCCATAATAGCCTGAAATTCCATATCCTAGATATCTCATCCCCTTCCAATCATCCTCACATTGAATATATATATATATAGAGTTCTCCCTTAAATTGTTCAGCTTTAGCAGTAATACTTAAACTTAAATGATCTGCGGAACCCCTCTTCACCAATTTTACACTATAAATATGAGAATCGGTAGATTAATGTAATAAAAATTAAATTAAACTTTAATCTATTTAAGTTTTAATTACTTATTACACAATGTAAAAGTAATTTTGTGGGTCAGAGTTCCAAATTCGAACCTGGATAAATTAAATCTTCCAAATTCAAGAAAGTTATCAGATTTGACTTGTCTGATCTAGCATTAAATTTCAAATACTAGGTAGAGAAAATATTTTAATTGGGACAAATTTTCTGTGCTCAACATTTCATAGCCCCAGAATCCAAACAACGCATTCAGCAATTGACCTATGTGATTTACACTCACGGCACTACAGTAGAATTTGATGGCTCACACCAAATTAAAACCCTTTGTGTCCTCCTTGATTTCAGTATACAAGTGCCTCATGACAGGTTTTATTAATATTACATAGCACTCAATATTTAACCTATCATCTAACTTGTTTCCCAAAACATGCTTGATAAATTTGTTTAACAAAGTTATTCATTAATTTTTTTCCCCGTTTTTACTAAATTTCCATATCCAAAGTAAACGTGATTATAAAGAGTTGTTACCACAAGACTTATGCAAATGATTGAAGTTTTTAAAATTAAAATATGATTATGAAATTTATTAATAGAACTGTACCTATAATCAAAGAGGCAAAATAAAACTTTACCTTTACAAATAGCATCAAAAAGCTGAGGCTGTGGTTCACATTTTTCATTTATCATTGCATTGGTTATCATGCTATTAACTTTATCTTGCATGCTATCAATTGTTGCTTTTATTGGATGTGAACTATCTGTTAAAACGTTATCCAAAAGTTCCCTAAAACAGAAAATACAGTAGATAAACAAGAAATATGCTAATTCAATAAAATAAGATTATATCTGAATATATATTACATTCAACTAAAAATTAAACATTTTTTTCTAAGCATTATTTCTAAAGTTGAGACAAATACTTAATTAATTACTAAGGGCTAATTAATTGACTATAAATATCACAAAAAATACTAATTAACAGATCAAGTTTCATCAGTTTTAACATTAACATATGCAAAAGTAATTAATTGATTTATGAGCTGTTACCAATAAGAATGGTGAAACAAAACTTTACCTCGCAATTTTTTCATGATTTGGATAAAGAGCCAGGTCCTGATGAAGCTGTGTGAGCCATACATTTCCTTCTCCAAACTGTAAAGAAACCGCATATAACTGTTGCTTTCTTAAATCACTTTCCCTAAGCCTTCCTCCATGTAATTTTTCTTGGATTTGAAATTTTCTAGAAACATCATAAAAGAAACCATTCAATAAATCTATTTATCTTAAAAATATATCAAAATAATTATCACAATATTCACAACTAGAATTTTTTTCAACAAACTAAAGAAATAAATTATATAAACCCATTTTTTACAACTAGCTCACACAAGCGAGCGCTCATCAGTTCTACTCTCATTATAATTGCCTTCCTTCCCTCTCAAACCCACTAAGAGTGTCCTGGTTCATTCAGTCCTTACTATTTAATTCTTTCATTTTCTCTAGTTGTTCAGAGAAGCCTCACCATTCTAGTATTTCAAGCAAGAGTTGATCTCACCAACAGCTGGTGATTGCTTAAGAACACTTTGGACTACATTGTTCTTTGAATAGTGGGCGGGGTGGCCGAATGGGCTAAAGCGTGTGCACTGCACCGCCGTTGCCTGGCAACCTGACATATGAATCTAATGATCTAAAAATAGTCACGAGTTCGCGTCCCGGTGCCGGGGGAGTCTTTTAAATCCCCGCTCACACCCCCTGCCCCGGGAAAATCCCGTATAGCCTTAAAGGCGAGGAAGGGAAGGATCCCAAAAAAAAAAAAAAAGTCTTTAAATAAATTAAACAATGTACAATATTCTTTCAAACATAATTTAGTTTTCTGGTGATTATTCTTATTAATTAAATAAAGTAGTTCATTTGTTGATCAGTACCTAATATCAAAATTCAACATTTCATTGTGGAATGATAATTAATTAACTTATTTAGTTTTACTTTATAATTCCACTTTGACAATAATTCACTTAAAAACAGACATAATTCAAATTTGAATTTTATTATACAGTCTTACTTTAAAAATTCAACAATATGGCCAATGTATTGAATGATTTAAGCAAATATGGATTTTTTAAAAATTTACTAGGCCCAAATAATGAATGATAAATACTGTAATAATGTTATGTAATAAATGCATAGTGCTAAGACAATAAAAATGTTGTTAAAAATTAAACAGACATTTATTTTCTGAAATTTGTTGAAATTGATAAAAAAAAATCATTGAGGACAGCCACAGGCAACACAAATAAAACATCAACACTAGGATAAACAGCAGGGCTTGAAATGGAAAAAAATTTTAATTTTTAAAAAGTTTCAGTATCATCGGAAATTTTTATTATCAATTGTTTTTTTGGAACTAGAACATTTTACCTTGCAGCTTTTCAAGTGAAGTTTTTACAGAATTTGTATTATTAAAAACAATTTATTTAAAAGTTCTGTTGATTTCGCTAAAAAGTCAATCTAAAAAATGATTTTAATTCATACCTACTCAAACAAACTGCACATCGAAATCATGCGTAATTCATTTAAGACAAATTATAACTATATTTAATTTATAATTGGTCATTTTCTTAATAAGACTCTTATTTCTTCTCACAATTCTTTATTTGTATTTAATACATTATTATATACATATAAATTTTTCTTTTTTATATACCATTTCGCCCTTTATTGTCATTTTCAAATTTATGAATTGCACATTTTTACACCACTTGTCCACATTTGTATAATTTTTACTTGTCAAATTTTTTCAGACAAAATAAAGCATTTCTTTTTGTCAGTCAAACAGTTATTTATTGGTGGCTATACTTTTCTTTCTATAAAATCAGAAAAAAATTATTTTACTTTGTACATTTTTTAACATTAATCATTAAATAAACAATATTAATAAATTTGAAAATGGACAAAAAGGCTGACAACTTTATATGTATATGATATTGTATTAAAAACAAATTAAGAATTGTGAGAAGAAGTAAGGTTCTTATTAAGAATATAATAAATTATAGATTAAATATAATAAATCTCTCTAAAAATATGAATAACCCTAATAAGATTGTTCATCATAAACAAATTATAACTCTAATCTAAGCTCAATTACTGTCCTTTTTTCATTTAACAAAATTTTTTTAAGAGCTTGAATAAATAAAAGTTGAACTCTTACTATAAATCTGGAACTTTATTACAAAAAAATCCCCTTAAAACTTTTTTCATAAAAATGTTTCACACAAACTGTTACAACGGAACTTTTAAAAAAGTTCAATAAAAGTTTCAACTCCTGAAAAATAGAATGGTCCACATTGGTTATATCAATTGAAGTAAAGGATAAAGTGGCCACGAGAAATGCCTCTCACAAAGCACAGTTTCTTATGTGATATGATCAACTTATTTCCAGTTTAGAAAAAATTTAGATGGACAAGGTCTGCTTCCAAGAAGTGCTAACATACATTTGATAACATACTAAGAATAGTTTATAATGTACTTAATTAATTGAAAAGACTCACTTATGTGCATGATGCATTGCCCAGGCAGTTGCCCTAACTAGTCTATTTCGACTGATTGCAGCTTTTTCAACAAACTGTCTTGCCATTTCCAATTCAATATTTTGCTTTTCTAAAGCACTGGCTGCAAGTTCAATCCTTCGTTGGTATCTTGCCATCATTATCGGATCTTCTGATAAGTCACAATCCCTAAGAGGAGAAACTGGTGATGAATTTATCTGAAAGTTGGAGTCAGCAGGTGCTGATGGCGAAAGAGGTGGATTGTCAACGACCCTCCCATCAGGTATAGGACCTTTAAAAAAAAAAAAGATATATATTCCAAACATTGAACGTAATATATTTAGTATACATTGAGTTAATACTTCTAAAGTGTCACTCCTGCCTGGTAGGTGGTCCAAGATACATCAACCACGCTACAGATTCTGAAAATAGTGGAGTGTGTCTAAAGGTAGGCAAAGGAGACCAATTCTGATCAAATGAGCAGTGTTAGGCAGGCCACTCAGGCACAAAAAAATCAATCTCAGTTTGGTATAGAGAATGGAAATTAAATACAGCCTCGGCTTCATTCCATATTTGTAGTAAAAAGGTGGAATCCGGATAGGTTCGAAAAGCTCGGACCAGACAAGTGAGTGGACTCACTACCTATAAAGTCGGGACAAGGCCGTCTGGAATGAAGAAGTGAGCGCGGCCACCCCCCCCCCTCTTTTATACTTAAATCTATCTACTCGCAAAAATTGTACTAAAAAATCATTTGAATCACAAGTGTACATATTATTATTTGCAGAAACAAATCATGTTTTATTAAACATCTTGAAAAGCAAATTGTCTATTAACCAAACCACAAATCATTCAAACATTATTAAATTTTAGCAAAACATATCCTACCCAATTGATTATTTTCCATACCATAAAAATCTTAAATCAACAAAAAAGAGAAGAAACAAAACTTTGTAATGAAAGAAGTTTTTTACTTTAAGCTAAATTTAATTTCAAATGAAAAATTCCATTCCATTGCCCTCAAATTGATGTTTTTGAGAGTTCGGAGGATTCTGCATAACAGTTATCAATTGGTTTTTATAAATGAGGACATGCATGTCATAGTTGAATTTAATTTTTTTATTCTAAACTTTCTGGAGATCAATTATCTTCCCAGTTCTCTTTTGGTATCCATATACAATATGATCTTGGCCCACCACCTTACATGCAGGATTGACATTTCAGAAGGCTTGAAGAAACATTATTAGTTCTGACTACTTTACAACAGTAATCAGTAAATTAAATATAGCATTCCTTGATATAATAAAACAAGACAGCTCAATCACTATGGGTTTCTCATATGATTTTATTGACTCTTTGTCCTATTACAAAAAAATAAGATTAATTAGAACACATTAGTGCATCATTCATATCATAGAAGGGAATACATAGAAACAAAATATTGTTCAAAATGTAAAAAACTTATAAATACGGTATCCATATAAGTGTTAACAGAGGACTATTTTGGTTTAAAAAGTTGCATTTAAAGTGTATTATTATGTGGATGACTCACTACTATAAACTTGAAAGGAAGTTTTGCTTCTCTTTAACACAATTTATAGTGGTAATTTTTTCAGATGGTAATTTGAAACAAACATTTTAAAAGACAAAGAAAAAAATAATAAAGAAAAACACATTAAATTTTAATTTACTACTTGGTAATGTAATTTATTTTGCTTCACAATCAATTTGATTGAATTATATTTTGTGAGTGATAAATATTCAGGAGGCAGTCTTTTTTTTAATTTTTGCCGTTTCAACCCAAACATGTGGGTCATCTTCAGGGCTGAAAATGTTTTTTTTAAATTATAATCAGAGATATAATAGTATACGACAGCTAATTATAAATAATAAACTATAGTGATTGATGGCACATGAATCTGAACTAATATTGTAATACACATATTAAAATAGTTATACAAATAAAAAATAATGTATATAATCCATTTATATAAATTTGTAATATTTTCTCTTACCAACCGTGGTTTGAGCACTGAGGTTGTTCATGTACTGACTCATGTTTGGTAGGTAAGTAAAAAGGTCAGGGAGGGGGGGGAGGGAGGATTTCCCAGTTGTCCTTTTTCAGGTAGCAAAAGATAAGTAAACAAGGTTAGAGGGGAAGGGAGGGTAACATTTGTTGTTTGTAGAATATACATAATTTGCTGACAAATATTTCAGACGTGTACAACATTTGAGTTATTTCATATGGTTACAGAAATGTAACTATTGACTAGTATTAAAATGAACATAAGCAAAAGGTGCCAATTAATATAAATATAGCTTAGTTTGATAGCAAGTATACAAGGGTTAGATGAATAATTTTTATAATAAAGACAATTTCAATGTATGCAAATGATACTTAGGACAACATATTATACAATATTTATCATAATATAAGTTTGTGTTATATTAACGATTACATAGGCTATTGTTTCAGGAGGAGGAAAATATTTGAATATGTATTGCAGATCTTTTCTTTGTCTACTTTATGGTTTACCGGATTATTTTTTTCCAAAAAAAATAATTATTTTGGAAAAAAAATAATCCGGTAAACCATAAAGTACAGAGCTTTTCTCCAAGACTACTTGACCGATTTTTTTCAAATTTGGAATCAAAGTTAGAGGCCACCCGAGGATGATCCTCCTACCTCGACATTACTATCCATCTTTTCCTTTTAATATGGCAGCCGAAAAATCTGTGTTGGTACAGACTGTAGTGCCTAAACGAATGTATCAATTTCAATGAAACTTGGCTAAAGTATTCTTCTCAATGACTTTTAAATTTATCTACATAACCTACTTCAACAAAAAACATTTTTATTTATTATGTAATTATTCAGAGAAGAGAAAATTTCATAAGTACCTAACTTTATAACTTTCAGAATTTATACATAATACATTTCCCACTCCATATATTTATTAATGTTAATTATTTTCTGAATATTTATTTGCTACCTGGTCTTTGCTTAGCCTTGATGAAGACCATAAACTTGGGTGAAACATGAGCATAAAGCTAATAAATATAGGTTATTTTTCTGTACTTTCATGACTGAAATCCCCAACAAACTTCTCTTCAACAATTTTATCCAATAGTCAACAATTTCTCCACCACAAAGATTTAATTAATTCAAATATACATATAAACAATGAAAACCCATAGACTTGATTATTATCATAAAATTTTTGTAATTACATAGGTAGTAAAGATCACAGGAAATACCAAAATGAGAAAATTTACCTTCTTTTCTTAAGAGGATTGAAACACGGGATAGGCTTTGTTTAGCGAACTCAATCAAATTCCATTTATCTCTCAGTGTCAATGTTGAATCTTCACTAACTGAATCCTTTTTAAGTACTTCAGCAATCAGTGACAGACTTTCAATGTAGAAACAATAAGCTTTCTGAAAATTAATTAACTAATCAACTATAAAATAATTTATATATATAGTGGATTTATTAGAAAAAGTCATTTAATAAAATCAAATAAAGTACTTATATAAATGTTCTCTATGTAAAATCAAAACATATTGCCCTTGGTGTATCTATTTTTGATAAAGAGAAGCATTTGTGTCATTTAGATGCACTTACTGTCTTTTTCTATAGATAAATGAAGTCAGATTTCATATAAAGATACACAAAAATCAAGCTTCATCAAAAATGTGCTATACGAAATTCTGCAATAAACTGATAATACATTTTTTAAGAATATACAATAAATAAAATTATATAATTTGGAAAATAATCTAGTTTTTTAATGTAAACAATCATTATCTATATTTATTTTTTGTACTTGACTTTGTGCAGGTCCTAGCAGCAATTTCACAAATTTCTTTTTAATTTATTTAAATTAAATAAATAAATATAAAACCGTTAAAATAACAACGTACTCAACTTCACACACCATTTAAAACAATACTGAAACATAAATAAATAAAAATTACATTGTCATCATCTGATTTTTCACTGTCTATAGCAGAATTCAAACCTCTGATGATATCTTTTTTGACTGTAGATTCTAACTTCGTCATAATAAACAAATTTAATCCCAAATTCCAATAACTATAAATAACAAGTTTCAAAACACTTCAACTAGATGAGTGACGGTTACAAAAATATCGATTTTGATCGAAGCTATGTAAATAAGTGCTATGTCTCTGTAAGTACAAGATAGATAAAGAGTAAAATATATATTAGGAACTTCTTGTAGAATTGTTATTAACTTAAATCTTTGTGTATAAAATAAGGTGAAACTTCATATTACAGATTAAATATGAGGTTTTGAAAAATGAATTTAAAAAAGAACAGCTTACACATTTCAACGTCACAACTCGAAATTCCTTATTTTTTAGGAGGTACATTTTTATTTTTCAATATCACATTACTATAATTATAATGTCTAATTAACGTTAAATTTTAATGACAAAATTGTTGTAGAAAACTCAGATATAATACTCTAATGGCTACAATTATTGCAAATATCGTTGGTGTATTAATTAAAAAATCATGATTTTCAAGTTACGATTTTGTTGAGGCAAATAAGCAATATAAAAAAATGTAGGAACGACAGTTGGTCGTGATGCATATCTAGAGAATTTGATTCTGGATCAATGTAAGTATTAATAAATTAAAAGTTCAGTTTCTTTTTGTAGGTAGATAGTTGCAGACGAACAGATGTATAGACATGGATTTAGGGAGAGCGGACATCCATAATAAGAAAGCAGAGAGATTGAAACTATTATTTCGCCACATCAATAATTCGAATTACAAAGCCCAATAACAAATAATCTACATCAGCAGTCTACAAACGTTTTGGCCCGCAGGCAACATTGAGACCTCCACCAAGTCCCGTGTGCCGCATTGTGACTTCCACCTACGTCCCGTAGGCCATGGAAAAAAAATATTATTCTATAAATAAAACTTCAGTTGAAAATGGGCTTTCAAAGGGGAAAAAAACATGTAATAAATGTTTTAGTAACATTTTGTGTAAGTAATTTGACAAATTTAAAATTTTTTTTATAGTTTTTAAATTTCACACGTAATCAAAGAAACTTTCGGAGGCCGATTTGTAGGTTCTTGCGGGCCATAGTTAAAAGACCCATGATCTACATGCATGAATAAAAATTGTAAACTGAAATCAATTCAGAAAATAAACAAAGTCAATCAGGCTAGGCTGAGGCGTTCAAAATACGGAAGTATTTTAACACTCTCTAAAATTTCCCACTATTATTTAAGTTTTTATATATGTTCAAAGATAATAATAAATAGTGACATATCTCTGCATTTTAGGATTCAATCCGATATGTACCTTTCCATTTTTACGTGATGTTCTTATTACCTTAATCAGGCCAAAGTTGAATAGTATCGGCGGTAGTTATATTCCAGCATCACACCTTTTAAACTTCAGATACTTCTCCTTGTATAAGGACTTAACATTTAAGAACTTATTTGGGACATTAAAAGGGCAAGGAACGTACGAAACGAACAGGCAGACGTCGCATCCTGAATGGCTCGGATGGATATTGATAATGAGATCAGATCCATTGATTATATATTCTTCGAGAGAACTGGGTGAGGCAAGCGATGAAGGCTTATTTTAACATTATTGGGCTTTTTTTTTTGGTACTTCTTGTCTAGGGGACCGCTCCTGACTGCTATCTGCCAATGTTTATAACCTTTACACTGATAACTCCCATAACGCAGTGATAAGCCTTCTCTTACTTCATATCTTGGTATTATTGTATTAAATTCGTATTATTGAAAGTGTTAACAGATACAAAAACAAATGCAATAACAAAAAAAATACTTTTATTTGACGACACATATATTAATGAAATAATAAAAAAACACTTTAAGAAGAAATGTACATATAAAACATCAAAATTAAATAATAAAAAAACACATTTAAAAGAACATATTTACATAGAAAAAAAAATATCAACACTATAAACAATATATGTACAAATTATTTTCACTTAATTATTATCTTCCTTTTGTCTTATTTATTTTGGAAGGCAAAATTGTTTTATGCTATTTAAAATAGCGAGGAACGGGTCCTCTTCTCTGTGAGCCCGCCACCACATAAGTTCGCACAAATATGAATCAAGGTGTTGTCTGGCAGTTCTTCTATGTACTTTATTTCTCCACTTCGCTGAGCCCCATAATCGTTCTATGTGTTGAGTATGAACCCTAGTTGATGGATCGACAAAATTATACCGGTGATTCACTTGGAAATGATCATAGTTTGCTTCAGTTGTCGGTTCAGTTGTCGGGTGCTGTATCCTTACCAACAGTCCGAATAAATGGTCGTTCCCTCTTCTATATTTTCTTTAATTGCTTGTAATAAGGTTGTTGCCTTTCTGTCAATTATTTTGACGATAAAACATTCATCTGTTTCTCGGCAAACTCCACCAAACATCCACTGCTGAGGTAAAACTCTCCTCACATGATTTTTTCGTTTAGAAAAAAGACTTTCGTCTACTTCAACCACTTTGCCAGGTTCTAAGAAGCTCCATAATATGACGAAAATAAACGGAAAAATAAACTCCAAGGGGCCATAAAATAGAAAAAAATGTAAAATAAACAAAAACGGCCCAAAAACTAAAAATAATGAAAAATAAACACAAACGGACCAAAAGTAAAGAATTTAACACTCACAGTGTTTCAACTACCTCCCGCAGTGCTACATACTACGCCCTGAAGACGACCTGCAAAGTGGGTCGAAACGTCAGCAAAATTAAAATAAAATAATTACTATATTTTAATTTAGTATTTATCTGACCGCACCCCCGACTAACTCCTTCTCATAATAAATTAATAAGTTATTTGGCAATACAGTATTGATTTAATTTAGAAAAGTAAATAATAATCTTAAAATGTCCAGAAACAAAGGCCGGAGTGGTAAACTCAATCTTTTGGCTACGTCAGAGCTCAATTTCTCGCCGCCATTTTCCCTCTGAGTGAGCGGACCTGGTAGTTTTACTGACCTTGGTCACTGCCTAACATAAATGGGGACATTAACATGTAAAAGGTTTCCCTCCTGTGTCTTATGATGAAGAAGTTATTGAGATGTTTAAAATAAAGTTATTCTATTAGGAGTGGGAGAGAAAACTCCGAAGGTTTGAAAAGAATAGTTCTGGATCTCAAACGAATGAACTGTTTTTCCAAACCGATAAAATTGGTTTTTTTTTTAGTTCACTCGTTTGCCACTAGTCGAGTTGCTGTTTGATCTGTTTTTCGTTTGTTTTTTCCAAACGAAACAGAAGCAATTTCTGTTTTCAAACTAACCTATCAGTTCATCATGAAAATAACCCAACAGTTTTTTTATAAGACATGTTTCAACTGTTATGTTTAGGGATGTAATTTTTATCTCCCAATATTAATGTTGGCTAGGAATAAATAAAAACTTTCATTATAGTTACTACATGACAAGCATCCAAAGTCGGTGGTAGTAGTCTATGCGGACGACATTGGCATATATGCTTCCACCATGAACGCGGAGACTGCACTCACTCTGGCACAGAATGCTTCAACCACAATTGTTGAAGAACTAGAAGAGATCGGTATCAGAGTGAATCCTGCGAAGACTGATGCTATTGTCATGTCGTTTCAGAAGGGAAAGAAGCATCTACCCACTCAATTCACCGTTGGAGGAGCTTATCATAAAATCTCTACCTCGATTGTCTACCTCGGCGTCACACTGGATAAACATTTAACCTTCTCCAATCACGTTAGGCAGAAGATCAAGCTGGCACGAAAGAAGTCACTCCGGCTCTATCACCTACTGACGTCGCCGCAGCTCTCGTTGAGACTCAAGCTCCAAATTTGTAAAGCTATAATAAGACCTACACTGCTCCATGGAGCCCCTCTCCTGCGATACCAATATAAATCCACTCTTACGAGTCTCCAGGGCTTCTAGAACTCTATCCTTCGGCAAATCGTCCGTGGCACCACCCTACAAAGGGCTAAGAATCAAAGAATACGCGAGGAGCTCCAGCAAACAGTTGAAAACATTTTTAAACTGCAGTTAAAAGACTTATAATGAGCAAGTAGCGTAATTTCTAACTAAGAACAACACTTGATAAAGAAATATGGCAAAACATTTGTAACAAATTTAATTGAAAAAGGAAAAATTCCTATGCTCAGAGCTGAGCTCATCGATAGCACCGGATCCATCTTTACGCTGGGCGAAAGGATGTCATCAATAAAATCATCGTTGAGAGTTTAGGAACTTGTCCAAAATATAACCACCAGATTAATACAAGAAGGTTAAAATATTATTAAAATAAAAAGTGTTCTATGCGTAAAAAATAATTTTCAGTTTTAACTAGTTAAAAAGTAATTTTTAAGATTAAGCATTCGGCTAATATTCAAAATAAATTAAAAGGTTATAAATTTCAAGCCCGAACAATGCCAAGCTTTATACATAAAACGTTTCATTCATTTCCAGACTTGTCATTGAACGAATTGAATCCGTTTTTAAACGAATAGGACTGTTTTCAAACGAATAGGTACTACACCATGAATCGTTGCGTTGTTCTATGAACTATTTTTTTTTCAACAGTTCTTAAGAACTGTTGTTTTTTGTCAACGAACAGTCCATTTACGTTTTTCAAAAGTAGCAGAAACGCCCACTTCTAATTCCTATACCATATCCATTTTTAGAAGGATAAGGAAGAGTGGGAGAGTATCGACGGCCTTCTCTATTTGTTCAAGGTACGATTGAAAGCAAGTAAAAAGTATATTGAACGTTTATAGTATTCACTGCTTGGAGTGAACCACTAGCGGATCCAGGATTTAATTTTGGGGGGCTTCAGCCCGAAAGTTTTTTTTTTTATACATATAACGATAATTAATTTGAAAAAAAAAGAAAGAAATTAATTACCTATATGAAATTGTGTTTAAGTGGTTCTTGAAGTCCTATTAAATGTAATTAAACGAACAAGAATACTTTAAGAGATAGTTTTTAATATTTGTTTCTGTAAAACATGATTATATTTTACCATTTTGGGGAAAGGCTTCAGCCCGAAAGCCCTTTCCTCCCGTAGATCCGCCAGTGGAATGAACTACGGCGAATCTAACTTTGATACTAACTACATTCTTGCAAATGTTTCATGTGATTTCAATAATTTTTAAATAATAAAATCACTCTTACTACACACTTTTTTACATTTTATTGACCTGATAAATGGGTATCTAAATGTAACATAAGATCAATGAAGTTTGTATATTCTGCTCTACAAATCGTACAATTATGAGTTATTTTTTTATTAGCCAACCAAGTGCGATAATCCTTATCATTTTCAAGATTTATTTTTTCATTACACTGTTTAATGGCATTAACTGGTTCTTCATGAAATACTATAGGGATGTTGTCACATTTTACTAGACAGAGATCTGGATCAATTGATTTCTGGTGATTTGTCGAGCAGTGCTCTGTGAAATAACTTTTAGAGGAGTAATCTTTTTTACAAATAGGGCAGATATATTTCCTCTTTTCATGCGTTTGTTGAATATGGTAATGCATTGTATCATATCGAGAAAACTTTTTGTAGCAAATTTTGCATTTAAATGGCTTCTCGCCACTATGAAAGCGTTCATGGACTTTCAAGGATGAAAAATTTGAAAACAGCTTATTACAAACCGAGCATCTGATTTGCTTTTTCGAATGTTTAATCATGAAATGTTTATTTCGCTTCCCCTCCGATTTGAACGTTTCTGGGCAAAATGTACAAGCTACAGGCAAGTGTTCTCTATCAATGTGATCCTTTAGGTGGCATTTATGAATAAAAATTCTTTGACAATATACACATTTTACAGGTTTTAGAAATTTCTGCTTTATTAAATGTGTTTTTAACCATTGACTTGATGTAAAATTTTGTTTACAATACGGACATTGAAAACCCATGGTGTGTTTAGCTATATGATCGTTCATTGTCAACTTTTGGACACGTTTATTGCATTTGGGACACTTCTCTAGAATACAACTGGACTGATGTTGCTTCAGTCTGTATGCGTTTGAAAATTGTTTGAAGCAATGTTTACATTCATTATTTTGCGATGCTTTATGACGCGCAGAGTGGTCTAAGAATATGTTCGGACGTACGAATCGTCCACACTCTTCACATAGATATCCTTGTCTGCGATGTTCCTTACAGTGAAATCTATACGCCCTCCAGCTAAGGAATTGCTCTTCACATGTTTGACATGTAAACAATTGAATAATCTTTTCACCTTTGTTACATTCCTCTTTGAAAACCTTTTCGCAAATTAATCTTAGGTCATCCAGATTACTAGCGTACATTGTGGTTGTGTTATGAGGTAGATCATTATTTACCTGAAATACCAATATTTGTTAGACATAATATTAATAATGTTTAAAATCGATTATAATTTCTAAGGCTAACATATGCTTGTTTGAAATAAAGGGGTGACTCTAGGTTCTGTGGCGCCCTACAATCTTACTCTCTCACTTCGCCTCATCGATCCTATACCAGACAAAGGTCACCTCTACCGTCGTCACTACATCATGCCATTATTAGAATTTCATTACATATAGTTTAAACGACTCTTTGAGAGTAGAATACAATAAAGCTAGTCTGATCAGTTTGTCCTATCGCCAGCCGTGTTAGTCTAAGACCAGAAGGAAAAAATGGTGCATTAATTGAAAACAATTTCGATGTATTTTTTATGTTCAATCAAACTTGTAAGTTAAATTTATTTTTGTCAACCATCTCCAAGTAAACCGCTCATCCTTTATGATAAAGCTAAATGTTTCAGTTTCAGTAAAATATGGCGTTGGTCATATTATTATGGTGTGGGGTGTGTTTCTCAACATAGGATAGAAAATCTTGTATCTGTAAACTGGAATTTGAATAGAGTGGTCTATGCGATGGCTGATCCTGGGGATGGACTAGTCTGTCTTTTCTTCAATCTGGCACTGGAGAAAGCTGTACGGGATTCAGGAATCCAGACAGACCACACGATATTCACCCATACTGAGTTATGGAAACGAACTATGCTGACTTGACATTCTGAGCAGCCTCCCTCTCCTCTACCTATATATACCCCCATAAAATCCTAGGCTAGTCAGTAAGCAAGAGATCTGTATCAGTAGTACTTAGCATGTCGTAATGTTCATTGTTTGATTTGTTTTCTCAATAAAGTTTTTTTTCACTTTTCGACGGTTGAGTTTCATAATTCTGTACAGATATTGGGATACGCTGAAAATCTGGCCAGAATCCGATCGGCATTTGTAGAAGCCTTTAAGAAACTCATGGACGCTGCTTCAGCCATGGGGTTGGCTATAAACGATAATAAAACGAAATATATGTATACAGGGACTTGTGGGCGAGGAGGCACTGAGTGTTGGCCCTTACACATTCCAAAAGGTGAACGAGATTACGTATTTGGGATCCCTAGTAACTCCAATAAACGATGTCTCTACTAAGATAAGGAAAAGGCTGGTGGCAGCAAATAAGGCATATTATGCTTTACTGAAAACTCTCCTTAGCAGATCCATTACCAGGGGCACTAAACTGGTCATATACAAGACTCTTATACGCCCAGTTCTTACCTACGCTTCCCAATCTTGGACCATTTCAAGAAATGATGAAAATAATCTTTTGATTTTCGAAAGAAAAATCTTACGGCGAATAGTTGGCCCAGTGAGAGATGGATGCAGGATTGGGAGCTTTATGACCTTTACGGAAATATGGACATTGTAAAGTTTATGAAACTAAGGAGGCTCAGTTGGGCTGGCCAGGATGGAAGGGGAAGAAATTTCTAGTAAAGTAGTGGGCACCGCCCTTCACGGAACACGACGGCCTGGTAGGCCAATGCTTCCATAGGTTGATGGAGTGGCAGCGGACGCACAGAGCCTGCTAGGAATCAGAAGCTGGAAATCAGCAGCACAAAATCGGGCAGAGTGGCGGCGGCTCATTGAGGAGGCCAGGACCCACCCAGGGTTGTAGTGCCACATAGATAAATAGATGAATATGGCTGATCAGGTACTTCCCAGTTGAAGTTATTAAATTCCATAACCAAGAGGACAATAGAGTTCATATATTTTGTTTTAAATAAACAATGTCTCAACAATTTTTTATTTTTATTTTTTATAAAACCTATTTTAATATCTTTTTAAAGGGTAATGAAAAAGCATGCCTAAATAAATTATCATTGAAAGCAAACTGTCCCATAATTTATATGTATATATATATATATATTCTTCACCAATGCTGATATTTCTAGTAGCTTAGAAAATTTTGGAAATTTATTATAAATGCTTAAGTAATGAGTTATTTACATACTTTTTTATTGGCATAAAAGTGCTAAATCGAAATCAGAAGCAAAGGTAAAAAGCAATTGAATTATTATTTTGTAGATCCAGTCTGTTAACACTTCCTTACCCCAATTTAAATTAAAGAGACTAAGCCAATAAGGAAGTGGATATGCAATAAATTAGATCTATATTTTTGAACCTCTGAAGATACTAAATAAATTATGACAAAATATATTTCTAAATGTTCCCCTATTAACTTTACAGATGATTGTTTTAAGATCTTACTTTTTTCCAAGAATTAACTAATACTTTTATATTGTGTATTCATTTGAAAATAAGTTCCTTTTATTCTCATACCATTATAATTAATGTTATTTTTTTTTTTTTTTTGCAAGTTGAAAATCCTGAACTTGCAGAGAATGCAAGGAAAAATCTTAACATATTTTGAAAATCTACTACATTTGACAGAGTAAATTAAAAAAAAAAAAAAAAAGAATGTAATTGTAATAGAACAGATTTCAGGAAAAAAAATAACAAAAACAATTTCGCTTTATTAATGAGAACCATCTGAAGGTAATAAATTTATACTTGTCATGCCAAATTCTTTGAGTGCTTGCTGTGGTCATCGTTTAAAATAATATGAATTTCTTAGTTAAGGATAAAAATTATTCTCATTAATTCAGAATTCAGAAAATTAAGCTATACCCTTTAGTATAATTTGCAGTCTTCCGAACTTAAATAAAAAGGTGTGAGAAACTGAAATTATCAAGTTTTATTCTCATTTTATAAAATAAACACTATTTTAATAAAGCTACTTACAGTGATATCAGATTCTGATGAAGGAATATCTTTTTGTGGTGTAGGCCAATTAAGACCAAATAAATCGATTAATAGTCGTATTTCAGTTTTAAATTCCCAGTTATAAAGGCATGATATAAACTTCTTAATTGTACAATTAGGAATATTCTTTACAAACACAATGATGTCAAACTGATTTTCTTTTACTTCATCAAAGGCACTGAGAAAATTCAGTAACTGAACACATAGAAAAGGAAAAATATAACATCTGTTGTAGGTCCACACATAGACATAATGTGAATTATTTTCCTTTATTTTATTAATAATTTCAGGCTTCGAATTTACTGGAGGTTTAACTAATCTAAAATCATTTTCTTCATCATTAAAGGTATGTTTCTTTCGAGAAAGTTTACATTTTTCTATAAATCTTTCAATTCCTATAAAACTTGCCACTTCATATAGTTCATTGGAAGCAGATTCTGCAAAAGTTACTTGACCAAAGTAACATAGTTCCAATATCAGGCCTATTTTTTCTACATTCATTGGAACAAATAGCAAAATTGAATTAGTGTCTTTAATTCTATTTATAAAGCAGTGGAAAAACTTCTTACTATATGCAGCTAAAATAGTGCTGTGAACTGGAAGAAATCTTAATTCCATTGATACTATATTCATGTCACAATTAATGTAATTTTTTTTAATAAAACATAAATAATTGAGTAGTTTTTGTTTATGATGCATCAGATAAACAAAATAATCAGAACCTCTTTCATCGTAAACTGAAATTTGTGATACCTTCAGTGAGTTTGCTAAATCCATAAATAGTGGCAAAGCTTTAACAGGAACTATACATTTTCCAAAATACAAAAGGTTTATAATGCATTCAATCATATCTATTGTATGATGTAACAATAATGGTTTCTTCAAGTTGTAACCATTTTCGGTATCTTTTTCCCAATCAGACAATTTACTAAAACATTTAAGAATAATACCATGAACTTTCTTCTCATAATTGACATCCTTATCAGTTATAATTATTATGTCAGTAAAATATCCATTCTCCAAGAATTCCCAAAACTTTTCTTTAAGATAATCATAGTGTTTTTCATCAACAACGTGTTTTACATCTGAATGATCATTTTTCGTAGCCATTAACGAATATCCTGTAAATTTGAAAAAAAAAAAAAATGAACAAAAACAGTAATATTTATTAATTGCCATTTCCCTATATGTATTATAATTAGTCTCATAAATAATTTGAAACTACAATCTGATCTAATTTGAATTATTTTTAACTAATGAGTAGTTACACTGAATAAATGTACAATTGACAACATATATTATCAATGAAAATTAAAAACATTATATATGCCCAGAACTTTTGACTTTTTCCTGAACTTTCGAGAATAATACCTATAGTAAATCATTTTTTTCAGTTTTAGATTGTTTCTGGGACAATATATTTGCAATAAATACCATTAAAATTCAGCTTTGCAGATTAAAACAAGTTGGCTTTAGACAAGACATTATGAAACTATAAAACAGCCCTATAATGACTTTTAGTTGTTGGCATGTATCAATTAATTAAGAAAATAAATAAATTGTGCCATAATGCAGAATTTGATTCTATAAAATAATTATTTGACATTTTTAATTTGTAATTAACTTTTTTTTAAATTACAGGACTGTGAACTTAAGTATGACATAATTTTCAGTAAAATTAACAAGTTTCCTTTTTTAACTGAATAAAATACCAAAGTTTCATGATTTTAGTGGGCCCAATCTAAAATTATCTCAGGCAATGCTGCAAACTTATACTACTTAAAGAATTCATTTTAAGCTACATAGGAACTAATAACAAATTTATAAACAAATATATTAGACCATTTGGCAGGGCTATGTATGTTGACAACAATTCAATATATATAATCTTAACGGAAAATGTTATACAATGTTGACTGAGAATATCAAATTTAAAGAATTAATCAAGTTATTAAATAAAAATTGAGTGATTAGTTTTGAATTAAGTACTATATTCTATTATGTTTTAACTTCAGGGATTACTAAAACTGTGATATTCACTATTTAATGTTCAGGAAGACAAATCTTCAATTTGAGAGTAAATATGTGTTCAAAAATTTTATTCAGATGTATAATTCAATAACTTACTTATTATCTTCCTGAACAATAAATAGTAAATAACACTACACATATTTTTCAAGGAGATGTTGTTTTCTCAATGGTAAAGAAAACATAAAAATTCTGCAATATATGCTAGTTGTACAAATATGACCCAAAGCCAATCGATTATTACATAATAGATAGGGTCAAATCAATCACTGCATATAACAAAAATATTATATATTTACACTTTTATTATACATTGAAAAAAACTAAAAATTATACATGGCAATATAATAATAATAAAACACAAGATTTAATTACAAAACATACAATTCAAACAGCATATATTACTTAGCATCATCTAATGCTTGTAGTAGACTTAGTTCTTTTTTCTTATTCCAATCTTTAATTGCATCCTCTATCATCTTTTTATGCTTAGTATTCTCTGGCGGAAATGTTTCACGCTTTACTTTAGTAACCCACTCTTCAAAATATTCTGGTTGGTTGAAATAATGAAATAAACCAACAGGGAAGGCCATATACAGCACCATTTTACCAACTTCTAATTTCCAACCTCCCATTTTTTTTTTTATCCTTTTTTTAGAAAGTTAGAGAATACACATAAAGCTAAATTCTGTTTACCTAAGAAAACAAATAATTTAAATTAATACTAAACAATCAATACTAATGAAACAAATGTTTTTAATTTCCATTAAAATCAATTTGAATTAATAGGTTACTAATATAATTAAATGTCTTGTACTAAAATAATGAAATAAAACCACCAATAATTATGAAAATCACAGACATTGGAGAAGAAGAAGAAACTGAATTCACTGCCATCAAATGCATTAAATTTGGAGTACTTCAGGGCAGTGTCCTGGCTTCTTTTGCAGACGATAAAGTGATCCTTAGCTCATATAAAAATATAATTTGAACATTATATCAAAGACTCTTCAAAATAATTTGAACAATATAGCTGATTGGGCCAAAAGGTGGATAATAGTAATTGAAAAAAAAAATAAGAGTGCACATGTGGTATTTACACTTGATCATAGACTTGGCTCCAAAATATATTTCAATAGCATTTAAAATCCTATATATGATGAAATTAGGTATTTAAATTTCTATAAGGGAAAAGGCTAATATGGAGGAATCACATTAGACTAAAACCAAAAAAATCACAAAGATTTGTTTCTTATTTAAGTTACTCGAAAGAAATTCAACTAATCTTTTGAAGTTTTGGTACTAGTTCACAAGAGTTCCGCACGGATTATGCGTGATTCACAATCACTTTGATCACACTTGTTCCCCCCAAATCCCAAAAACTAATAAAAAAAATAAAAGAACTCTTGTGAACTAGTACCGAAGTTTTAAAAACACCAATATGAGCTTACAGGAAATAAGTGGGGAGTTACATTAAAAACTTTAACATATAAATAATTCATACCTTTAAATCTATAATATTACAAAAAATAGAAGACCAATTATTGTACTGTAAATAGAAGACCAAGTTGCAAACAATATAATACATAAAGGCTTAGACATCCTAGCTATTTCAGAGGCTGCATAAGAAACTTACAATAGCTTTCACCAAAGACTGACTTACAACATAAATACACAGACAGAAACACTTGTGAATGTTCATAGAACCCACACAGCCCATATATACCTGTATACCATATATCTGTACCACCACCATATATATATATATATATATATATATATATATATATGGTGGTGGTACAGATCTCTTTTTCTCTTCTCAGAATCAATGGTTTTTAATAAATGAGATGTCAAAAGAAAGAGAATTATAAAGAAAGATATGAATTCCAATTTTGATCCTTAAATTCCTAACACAACTTTAACAAAAATCATTGAAAAAAGTAGATTTCAAAACTAATGTTGGTGAATTAATGGATTATGACTGAACAAATCATGCTTTTGAACATTTACAAAAATCATTGAAAAAACTAGGAGATTTCAAAACTAATGTTAGTGAATTAATGGATCATGACTGAACAAATCATGTTTTTGATTTTTATTGGAAATCAAGACCCAGTAGTTTCTTAGAAACATTCAGTGCCAAAGCCCAAAAATGTAAAGTTTTCGAGATAGATAAAAGACCTACAAGAAGCCTTCTAGGTGCCACAGGACAATTATCACATATTGTTTAGACTTTTAAAAAAGGAAATATTGCTATTTATTATAGTGTATGACAAAATAAAAAATTTATTGAAAAGATAAACAAAGAATAGCCCTGAGACCCCTTAGGCACCTCGAATAATATTAAAAAAGTTTTGATATTTTTAATTAAAACAAACATGTTTTGTGGTCATATTTTAATTTTATTGTTTATTAATATTCTAAACATTTTCCAGAAACAAGTATCTGTATCCAAACAATATCCGACACAAGCTGATTTGCCATTTTGTTTCCTGGTCTGTGCATAATTTTAGTCAAGGGATAGCTATGTCTTACTGTTTTACTGTTGAACAGAATATTTTATGGTGGGTCAAGCTAATTACCTACAGTCACTATAAAATATGTATCTTCGTCAATTGTTTGTGTTGAATACTTTCTTGATAATAGAATATTCTTCAGATAAATAAAAATCATTTCTCAATATCATCTATACTTCAAAAGAATTAAGGCGAAGAAGAATAGATATTTAATATGAGAGTTCTCCCACAGGAATACAACTTTTCTATTACTACCTGCTTAGGGCTAAGTAATCACAATACACTTTATAAACATGAAAACTATGAATAGCACAATAAGTTAATTAATGGATTGACTCAGCCTAAATATAAAATAACAAAAAAGATCAGTGACGGTTCTGGAGAGAACAAAAACACTCTCAAGATAAGTTATGATCTTAAAAGTAATTAAAGGTTTTACAAATGACCAGGACAAATGTTTATTTACCTTTATTATGTCCGTTTTCACAACTGAATTATTGATATCTTTTAAAGATTGTTAGTGAAATGAGTAGCAAAATAATACATTTAAAATAACACAATCAATTGAAATAATGCTCACAAAAACTTGAAATAAATCATATGGGATAACCCTAAACTACAAAAACATAAAGGTGAAGCGGGTTTGAATAAATTAATACAATTACCTTGGACACAAAGTTAAAATTTAAGAGGTAGAAAATTAATGTAAACTTTAAATAAAAATAGAACTCTTGACGAGATAAGAAAAAGATAAGAACTGTATACTAAGCACAAAAGTGTAATAACCTTCCAACAGTTTAAAACCTCCAAATTCAAAATCCAATGGTAGGTTATTAATCACGAGGTTTTTCAAGTATTGACATTATACAGTTCCTCCTCAATTTATATTCACGATTCCACAATAATGCCCTACGTCAGCAATTAGAATAGTAAATAGTTGTGTACGCCAATGATAAAATGGGAGACTCCCAGATTGAAGAACCCCAAAACACTGCTGTCATCTCAATCAACAATCAAGATTATCTCAATGCTCTGCTGGAAATGGGCATCCCTGAAGATATAGCTACCCAAGTTCGTTTAAAATTTTATCGTTTAAGTGGATGAAGTATTAGTCAATTAAATTATCTAAACAAAAAGCATTTTTTCAGGCACTGAGTATAACAAACAATGAGTCCTTAGAATTAGCAGCTACACAGGCTTTAGAATTAATGGATGGTGGCAATGATGACAATTGGGAAGATATAATTGAAAGCTACAAAATGGTATTTGTTGTTAACTCAGAGCTTGGAATGGGAGTTGGGAAAACCGCTGCACAGGTATGGTGTTTAACTGTTTTATAAAAAAAAAAAAAAAAAATTACATTATTATGGACTTAATTATTTTAGGTAGCTCATGCTGCCGTGGGACTCTATAAGAATTTAATGAACAAACCTGAAGAATGTGAAAAGCTTGGTTTCTGGCAAGAAGAAGGGTATGATCATATGTTTCCATTGATATCGTAGTGTGAACTTTTTCTTTTTTTGTTATGGCTAAATAATAGCACATGAGTTGAAGTTCTCCCATATTTTTAATGCGTAATATAGATAATATAAGGAATTGTCTGTGGGATATACCATAACTCTCTTTAATTATTTCCTTTGAAAGAGAAAGTTCAATATCTTACAACTCGGCAGTTGATAATTTTTAAATTACGTATTTTAATTCTGTATCCAAAATTTCTAGCCCTATACAAACGCTTTAAAACTGTGCAATTTTCTTTAAGTCCAATGGTAATTTGGTTTCTCCAATTCAGCGAAATATAGAGGTGTAAACATATTCTTTTGTGTAAATTAAAAAGAAAAGAAATGTGGCAGTGCACTTTAAAATAATTAATTATTTTGAAAAATATTATTATCAAATTATCTTTTTTTTTCTTTTTCCTACACAGATGTGTATTTATTTAAAGGTTTTAAACATATGATATTACTTGCTGGTTTGTTGTCATTGAAGAGATGTTTCGGACAACATTATATCTAGAGCTGAATATCTCTCCATCAGTGGTTTTCCGATCTGCGAAAGAAGTAGACCCACTGTCAAAGAAGTAATCTGAGGTAAAAGCATTCACCATTGTTCAGATAAACGGCGTATATATCACTCTCCTCATAAGACAACAAAGATGCACTTTAGAAATAGAAATAGAAAATAACTTTATTCTGGGACAAAGTCTCTTTAGAATAACAAAGTAGAACATAATTAAAATACTACATCTGGCCAAAATAAAACAATAATAAAAAAGAGAAAGTAAAGAAAATTTACTTTATGGAAAAAAAGTTTGACTTGTAATTAAAAATTCCTAAATCATGCCAATAGAACGGAATATCTTAATTTAAATTGTGCACTTTTTTTCTTGTATCGCTTAATTAGGCTAAATTTGGTCAAATGTCTGATTTCGTGTTTTATGGAAGTATGTAATGTCAATTTTGATGAAATATTTACCATTGATCATATTCAACTGAATTTGAAATATTTGGTGTGAAAATAAATATTTTTTTCATCATTCGTCATTAATTAAGTTTATTACAGTATAATAAATTAAGTTATTAGATAAATGTATATCAATTGTGTAAATGGATGCATTCTTTAGAAAATATATTTGTACGAATAAAATCATTATAATATTTAGTACTTTAAATGTTTTTTATTTTAAAAATATAGATTCTTTTTAATTAAAATATACTGTATTTGCAAAAAAAAAAATATATATATTTGGTACAATGGAATCTTAATTATGGGCAAACAAAATTATACAGAACTTTTATGAATCAAGCTTTGCCCAATTCTGTATCTTAACAGTAATCATGCTTACTCCTACTTCTTCCATGATTGTTTTTAAAGAAACACTTCATTAATCTGTATATATTTAATTTTGTCTAAAGGGGTAGAAAAAGGAATCTATGTTCACTTTATACTATAGTAGATGCAAAAAAAATTTGTTGGAATATAGTAAAAAAGCTGTTAGGAAAAGAGATGAGAATCCGTGAACTGTAGAGCAAACTGATATTTTCTTATATACACTGTATAAATAAATGCTACTCTAACACTGTATAAAACTATGCTACTCTAACTACTAAAACATTTCAAAAGACTAGTAGGCTCATGATAAAATTTCGCACCGTGTACTGTTCAATGATCAAATACAATTAATAAAAAAATAAAATAATGCAAAGTATCATAAGATAGAGAAATCAATTGCGACTTTTTCGATAAATATAATTGACAAAGGAAACAAAGATTAATTTAAAACTTCATTAATGTTTGGAACCAACATGTTTACAAATTTCAATAAGCTGGATCTTTGCTAAACATTGTTCAATTTCGATAATTTTTTTTTTTTTTTTGTAGGAAATTTAGTAATCTTTTATATAATCATGGACATAACCCTGGGAAAAGTGTGTAATTTTTTAGTTATTCGCAAATCAAGTTTCTTTTCTTTCATAACATTTTTGACTAAATTTTCGTAGTGATTTGACTATTTTGCTCCCCTGAAGGAGAAGGAAGTTTTCGAAATTGGTGACTCAATCTTGAGATTTGGTGAAGAATTAAAGATGATATGGTTTGCCGATCAAAAACACCATCGATAAATAATATAAACCCTTCCTCTCTCGATCATGGAGGCCTCAAGTCAATGAAATGAGACATGTATTCAATGACAGTACTACAATTAACGTAAGGTTGTGTGAATGCGAATCCTATGCCTTGCGTTATCTCGAAAAATGTATGTTGTGGGGCTTTAAAACGCAGAATCCATTAGTTGCAGAGGAACTATCTGGATCTTGCTGTACACATCAAAATCTTCAAGGTCCAATTTGTCCCGTATCAATATACAGACCTATCACCGTTCCGATATTGAACCTTAGCAAAATGTTTGCATCGACTTTATTTATTTTAGAAAGAAAAACAAAAGTGAAGTGTACAATTCGCTAATTCTGAAATTCTGAATCCAACAGTACCCCATTCATGGTATTTGAGGACAACAGGAGCTTATGTTTGGTACAAAACCGATTTTGAGCCTTACTGCAATAATATAGGTGGGGATGGGGATGGCGATAATTAAAATTAAATAAAGTTTATTATTTAATAATACATATCCTTGGTAAAAAATTAGAAGATTTTATGAAAAATTAATAAAATGTTTTTTGATAATGATGATCATTAAAAGGATTTTAGAGAATTAAAAACATTTGATCTCAGATTACCAAGGCTCCACTAATAAAAGTATTTTATTTTATTTTTTTAATTTAAATTATTGTAAAAAATAATTAAAATAATGTTTACCCAGGTTTGCACTGTTGTAGTTAATATTTAGAAAATATTGAATTTCATGCAAATTAAAGGTAATTTAAAAAGTTTACTTCTGAATTGCAGAAATGAATTCATTGTATAAAAATTGATGACTTTTCAAATACATTTTTATTTTCCAGGGAAAAAAAAATTGTTCTTCGTGGTACAAATGAAGGTCATTTAAAAGAATTGTCAACACTAGCTGTTAGTTTTAATATTCCTCATTATGCCGTAAGAGATGCAGGGTTAACAGAAATTCCAGCAAATTCTTTTACTGTTCTTGGGCTGTTTGGATTAGAAGAGGAAGTGGATAAAGTGACCAAAAAATTGAGGCTGCTTTAGAAAATTACTTTTTTTGTAATTGATTCAGCTTGTTATCATTGTTTTTAAAAATTTAACACAATTAATAAATTATTGTTTCTTATTAAATAAACTGATTGTTTTTCTTTCCTTTCTTTATTATCTATGAGTTTATGTAATAATTAAGGAAATTTTGCTCAAGAAATTAAGAATATAGTCTTTAGTGAGAGATAAAGGTATAGAAGTTGTATCGATGATTAAATTCATGGGTACAATTTTTTTATTAAAGCTTATTGCTTTGATTAAACATGGAATAAGTGTTCTTATTTGTTCAATATTCTTAGCAATAGAGATTAGTTTATCAAACAACTAAATACTTAAAAAAGATTATGCAGATATACTGCAGAGAGCAGATATGACTGGAGGAAACCAAGACTCTTCATTAAGTTTCAGCACTGAGATAAATTGAAGTATTTAAAAAATAAACTTTTTATATCTCCATATTTATCATTTTAAAAAAGTAATTTACTTTACCAGTAAGTATACCTTGTTCAAGGTAAGTCAATTATTAAAAGTGTTCTCACTCCTTCCTCAATAATTGGCAAGCTATAGGTATGACAGAATACACCCATTATGTATGAATGTTGGGTCATAGCCTAGCACTACTTTTTAAAAATGAAATCGACATTCTTGTACATTAAAATTAATTGACATACTATGTCAACTATTAAGTTTCAAATGTAAAATTCACTTTTAATACTTAACACCATTATGATTATGGTTGCAGTAAAGAGAGTTACGGAAGTGTCATTTGCTTAGAAAGTTATTATTAATTTCATATTTTTTTAAATATCGGATGGAATTAAAATTCCAATCAAACAAGTTTTAAAGATTAGAAATAAATACATATAAATTGTTACATCAATTGTTAATCAACTAAAAATATTAAATAAGAAACAAAGGACAAACATACTTTCAAGTATTTGATACTTTCGGCCATCGCCCAATATTTTACAAATGGAGCAGGAGTTTCACTGGGTTTCCAAATATGAAAACCTGTGACTTTCAACTATGATTTTTGTCCCTATTTACGGAGGAATTATTTAAACGAAAATGTGTTTGTGTATAAACTAAATGAATTATGATTATAATAAAACAAATAATTTTTTGTGGATGGCATAGTTGACAATCCCACTTTGAGGATATAATTATTTTTTTTAACGGTCATTTATCTAAGCCTATATTTAAAATATATTGATTCATACATGTTAAATTTAATTTGGTGAAAAAAATATTTTAGCTTATTAAAATCAAATGATTGGAACTGGAATTATGGAACTTATAGTTGGAACTAATTACAACATTTCTTCACTAAACGGACAAATTTGGAAAGCCACAATCATTATTTTTATGTCAACAGGTCTCATAGAACGTTAAAAAAAATTGTTTTCATAAATACATTGATCGCATTTTCTTTTTGTTTAGAAACTTGTCAAACCGTCGTTCAATACCATAAGCATAATGACGGGAAAAGGGAACTTAGCCCCCTTCATACCTGAAATGGGGGTCCCAGCCATGAGCTGCGAAGTGAGCCCAGTCTAGGTTTCAAGGTTTTATTTTGCAACTTATAAATTCACATTAAAATAAAGGTTAGATAACAATACATATATAATGTAATTATTATGTAATATCTTTATATATTTTTGTTACATACTTTATAAAAAGTTTTGGTTGAGTTTTAGTGATAAATTTAATATTTGAGAGGATTCAGAGAAATGAATCCTGTACTTGCCCACCCCTCAGCTTAACTTGAAATAAATTAAAACCTTAATAGAATTTCAATTAAATCAAAAAAATGTCTAAAACTTACAAGCAAGTTCTTGTTTAAGTTTTCCTCCAGTTCTAACAATGAAACTGAATATTCTGATTAAGTATTTGCCCTTGACATAGTTTATAAAAGTTACATGATCCACAATCCAAATTCAATGATATGCCCCATCCCCTCTAGGCTCTCAGAAGCAAGTTAAGCCCACCTTACACAGTCAATATTATTGAAGCAATATTCTTGAGCGTTCTATAGTAATAGCGTTTGTAATAGTACAAATGTCAATATAATTGTCACAATATATCCCTCAGACAGTCGATATTGACTCAATAATATTGGCCATGTAAGATGGGCTTTACACCACTAGCGACCAAGGATTTAATTTTGGAGGGGCTTCAGCCCGAAAGTTTTTTTTTTCATAAAAATAACGATAATTACTTTGGAAAAAAAGAAAGAAGCTAACTGTGTGAAATGGTGTTTAAGTGATTTCTAAAGCCCTTTTAAATGTAATTACACGAACAATAATACTTTAAGAGATACTTTTCAAATATTTTTTTCGATAAAACATGGTTATATTTTAGCATTTTTTTTGGGGGGGGGGGGACTTCAGCCCAAAAGCCCTTCACCCCTCCCCCGTAGATCCGCCCGTGCTTTACACTTAGGTGCTAAACCACCGACGGACGGATCAATGGGAAGGAGAAAGGGATTTAGGGTTGAAGTCCCTCCAAAATGGAAAAATATAACCATGTCTTTTGAAAAAATTAAAACAAAAAAAATTCTTATCTTTCCTAATTTAGACCCAACAGAAAATAGATGATCTAGGCGATAAACGTAGTGACAAAGATTATTTAAAAAATCATGACAATTCAGAACTCAAGTGGAAAATTTAAAACTGAAATAAAAAAAAAGGTTTACTAAATACGGGTTTAAATAAAATGTCGTTAAGTAAAATTTCACAAAATTAAATCACTAATCACTTTGACGAACTTTCTTTCTACAAAATCAGAAAATTATGCAATTTGCGTAATTATTTTTCGATAAATAAAATGTTTCCTGTTATTTTGATGCATTTACTTTTTTTTTACATTCATTAACAAGGTCAAAAATCACAAATACGTAACGAGATTTTTGCTCCGTTAGGAAAGTGCTTGGTAACTTTTTGGAATGGACAATTATATATTGTTAAATTGGTAAAGTCCGAATTCTATTCATGAAATGATAGGTCCATTATTTAATGATACATTTTAATTGTAAAAATACATACAATATATAATCTAACTATTTAAAGAACATGTTTTTAAGTTTTACTCTTATTTAAATGTACCTTGTATTGAGCCAACTTTTCTGTACCAACTTAATGCTCCCTCATGTCAATATGATTTAAAAATCACAATGGTTATATAATTAAAAGGTATGAAACCTTCCATTTCCTAGATTTTTACTTACGATTATTTTTCTTAATCATAAAAAACTGTAAAATAATTCATTTTCAGTTAGTTCATTTTTCAGAGAGTAAAAACATACATAATGGAATTAGTAATTTTCTTGACAATTTGGAAAACTATAATAATTAAATATGAAATTTAAATATTAATAAATTATTTGATCAACTAATTAATTTATATCCTTTATTTTATTTACATTTTAAAACCGGATCCTTAAAAGGAAGGACCAGATTAAAATTGAATTGTCTAGAGTTAGTACTTGAAATTTTTTTCTCTTCAAATTGTCAGAAATAGCATGATATCCTAATATGAAGGTATAAAATTCAATCTAGGGTGTAACTTAGTCCTATGAATTGGAAAATGCTTGTAGTGGGATAATCAATTAAATTACAGGTGATTGAATTGTGGTAGCTCATAACTTTGGAGCCAATTTTATTTGGAAGACACCATTTTTTTTTAGCTGCTTATTCCTCTACAGCTACCTTCAAGTTCTCTGCACTGCTCCTAATTATATTTATATTATATAATTATTTTATAATTGAATATATTACAGTGTTATATTGAATGTTAATGATGTTAGTTGTTTAATTTAGAAAACATATTTAAGATTAAAATCTTAGTGGTAAGAAAATATTGTTTTTATAAAATTATTTGATAAATTATTACAACTAAATACCATTTGATATCGTGCTAATGGAGTTACTGGTTTTTTTTTCTATTTGAAAAGGAAAATCCATTTAAAAAACAACTTTAAAGTTTTATTCCATTTGATTTAGTGCCAAAATTTCAGGTAAAACAATTCTGATTCTTTCTCACTATTAGAATAGTATGAATTTTCTTTTTGTTTATTTAAAGAATTATGTTTGGTTAACTTCCTATAAAGTCATAACTTAAAAGAATTGATCATTAGTAGTTAGTTACCTTAGTGATTTACATCTCATATATTCGACTATCTATCTAGTCATCACTCTCAAAGCCTGATGTCATGTACCAGCATAAAATTCAACAATCAAAGTTATATTTTTACATATTATTATATATATAGTCATTTAACAGTGTTAATGGGTTCTGCATTAAAGACACTCTCTATAAAGAATGTGGAGAGGCTTGATGTGAGGGTTTTGATTAAAATAAGGCTATTCTGTAGGTTTTTTTCCTGAGTTTCACTTATGTAGGACCATTGATATATTGCTAAATTTATGAATTAATATAGTTTCTGTGATTGTAATGGAGCGTTTAACATATTCTAAATAACTAAACTTTTTTTTACCTATCTTTTCAACATTATTTTTTAATATTTATGGTTTGATGCTTCATTTTAAGGTAGAAAAAGAAATAACACCAAGTTAGACATTGTTGGGAGGTATACATTTTGAAGACAGCCTAGTTTGGTTTTCGATTGGCATCTGAGGATGAAGCTGTCAACTAAAATATTAAAAATTAAAACAAATCTATTATCATATACGTCCAGTTGAATATTAGTTTTTGGCAGAGAGCTATTTGGTAGTTTTTTCTCAGTTTCACTTTTGTAGGACTATTGAAATTTAGTTAAATTAATCAATTAATATAGTTCCTGTGATTGTAATGAAGTCTTTAATATTTACGGCTCGATACTTCATGTTAGGATGCTAAAATAAATCAAACCAACTCAGGCATAGTAGAGAGATATCGATTATAAGGATAGCTTGGTTTGGTTTTGTTTTCTGTTGTCACCTGAAGATGATGCTGTCTACAAAAATACTAAAAATTAAAACAAACCCATGATCTGAGAA